TGCAGGCCTCAAAACACTTTTGAGGGTTGGTTGGGGTAAGTAGGCCAAGTGTAAGTAGATACATATTGATCATTGCTACCAGCGGCCGTCACCGACTTGTAATGCCCGATTCTACTTGCCGTTTTCAATATTGACGTCCACCATCTCAGCTACGGTCCACGCTTTTACAGCCCGAGCGACGTCGCGACTGAAAATAGCGAGATGACTCATCGTGGGAGTCGGGCTTTTGCGCTCATTCTGCGGCGTCCACGTGAAATGAATCGCCGCACGTTGCATTATTTATGCAGTTTTGCGGTGCAACGAGCCTCATTAATTTTGCTGAAGCCGCTCAAGTAGTCGACATCGTTAGGAGGACGTAGAATAAACAATTCCAATGGAAAAAGAGCACGGGGTCTCACACCGACGCCGACAACGCAATTCAATGGTTTGATTATGGGCGACGGCGAGCTTCTTGCCTACCAACCACCGCGCGGCGTCCGTTAGGGGCACTCTGGTTTGTTTTTAAACATGAGTTGGTGTGTAGGAGGTGGGTGACATGTCTAGGGTAGACAATCACTGCCCCATTTCCTTTCTGTATGTTCGTTTGAAAGTGTTTGAGATAGTTATACACAGACATGGGTCTTTTTACTCCAGTTTTGAACAGAGCACCATTGAACGCAATTTTTTTTAGAAAGTTGCTTAGTAAAAATTGGATTTTGTAAGCTTGAATACACAGTGCCATTTGTTCTCTCTTGGAAGCAAGTTAATATTATTCATTTTGATTTATAACGAGCTTTTGATAAGATGAACCACAAATTACTTTTGTAAAAACCGTTATTGTATGGTGTAGCATTGCCACATTTAAAATGGATTAATAACTAGCAACTTGCAAGATGAGGACAGCAGGGTGAAGCTTCAGTTGCCCTCACTTTAGCACGAATTTCCTACCTTCGGCAATGCTTTGAGCCCGAGCATTTGCAAGACACGCCCATACGTTCTCATTCCGTTAGGGACTATATCTAGCATATTGCCCGAATCGTGTACAGGTGTTGAATAGACTATCGCATGTTTTTCTACCAACCTGGGGTGTGCCTTGAGGATCAAATGTAGGACAACAAGAATTTCAGGGAGGAGCCTCCTACATTTGGCAATGCTTTGGCGTCTTGCAAGCCTCAACAATGCATGCGCAGACAAAGCATGAGAAAAGGCAACAAGTGCTTGCTGGAGGCCGGGCATTAAGAGATGCCCTGCGTTTCCCACCTTGTCGGCGACTATTAGCACCGAGATGTTCTGGTGGCATCTTTTTTTGCTCGCAACATCAGAGGCAGTTTGAAACTTCAGCACCATGTTCCAGATAAAAAGAAAAAGAAAAAAAAGAAAATGTTTAGCCTTTCCACTTTGGTGAAGAAGGAAGAGCAGCGGAGCTGTAGCTTCTGTTTTCGGTGGTGGCTTTTCAGGCGAGCGATCTGCTCTTCTTTCGTAAAGGAATCTGAAGCGCTTGACGCAGTGGAACTTTAGGTAATAGCAGAACCATTCGCGCTGCTGCGCACATCGCTGCTCGTTCCGTTCCCGCTCTTCTTCCTCCCAAGAAATGTTGCCGCCATCTATCAGCGATGGCAGCAACCAGTTCTCTGGTTGCCAAGGCTGGAAAGGCTGCCTGCCGCGATCTATGAGCGACGGCGGCAAACAGTGTTGTGTCGACCACAGGTGTTGACTTTTGTTTGGTACCGGGACATGATTCTGGGGAAACTAGCCCTTAACAGCTCTGCTGTAAGAAACTCCTTTCATGCAAGGCTTGTCAAAATATTAGGTGCTGGAAAATATTGGCCATACACATTCAGTCCTTTTCATGTCCTGCAGCCACATTGAAAAGCACTGCAAACAAGTACAATCATGCTCCTGATCTCGTCACAACTGTCTCTCCTCCTGTACAATAAATTCTGCATGCTATGGTCACCAAATGTCAATAGATGCATATGCCAATGCAGCAACTGAAGCCAGCTACAGCCACATCATCTTCCTAATGCCAAATTCCTACCAATGCAACAGTAGCTTGGGCTCGAGCTAGGCAGTCCCCCCTGCAAATGGCTTTATGTTATCCCTTCAATTTATTTCTAAAATTCTATAGACCTTTTCACCCTCCGTCGCATGGGTGCTGCGATCTTGAAATCACGTGACACAGCGGTCATTAGGTGGCTTCAAATTGTCACTCGTTTCTCCCCTTCGCGTTCTATTCGTTTTTTCGTCGCATTTTACTGCAATTTTACAGTGAAGCTGTATATGACTCCGTTGGTCAGGTTTTTTTTCCGTCTGTTAACAGAACAGTAGTGGACAGAAAAGCATTGTGAGGCGCACCTTGTCTTCTATCGCATAGTTTTGACACTTGTAGTTTTCAACAAGAAAACCACAAGTGTCAAAACCACAAGATAGATGACAAGCCATGCACAAACAATGTGAAGTACATAGCTCCCCGCATGCGTCTCGGTAAAAATTGCGGTTGCGTAAGCTGCCGTGGCAACGGCAACGTACAGCCGTTTATCTAGGCCCTTTTGCTGTTTACAAACATGAACTGCCGCTTGTGTCCCAAGTGACTTCCGGTCGCTCAGTCTTTGCAAGCCTGTTGAGCTTGTTCATGTCACCAGTACTAGAAAGCATAATCTCCAACATACATCAAAGTTGGAGATTTAATGAGGGCATTTGCCTGTACAATTTAATGTCTTGGAGGAGGCAAGTTGGTGTACAAAATATTTGAAACATTTTAAGATATCTGCCGTTTCTTCATTCTTTTGGTGCTCACCTGGAGAATTGGTGGTTACACGTTTTATCGACATTTTAGGCAGCAGTGTCAAAGTGGGTTTTGTTCATTCTTGTTATGAATCAGAAGTTTGCTGAGACATCAAACAAACTGAAGCACCGCCTGGTGACGCTTGCAAAGAAAGGGGTCTATATAAAAAAAGTTTCGGTACGCTGCGTTTCGACTGTAAAACGTGGTCCGCAGGTAACGTGCACTGTCATAAAAGAAATACCAACAATTTACTTATATGAAAGACATGAGGGAATGGGGTACAAGACTTGATCCATCAAGAGGCGCTGGGCCTAAAGAGAACTTCCATCTTGCAAGGCTTGATCCACGATTCAGGGTGGTTTGAAACCTATGGTGCATATGCAGAGAACGAAAGTGCCTATTAGGTAAACAGAAACAGTACCTTACCCGAACATGTAGGGCAACGCACAGTAGTCGGATGCAATAAACTCGCACTTGAGCAAATGTCGGTTAACAAGTATTTCAGAATAACAAACTTTCAAAAATCTATGGTGGTTTTCCTTTGCATTCTATGCAAAAATGTTTGCTCTACGAAAAACGAATTTCGGAATAGCGAATATTTCAGTTCAACGAACTTGATCGGTGGACCCAGGATTACTGTTGTGATCAGTTCAACAAAGTTTTGTGCTCTGCAGTGCTGGCGTAGCTGATGGCCGCCGCCGCCTTTGCAGCAGCGGTGCGGTAGACAAAAACGAACCATGCGGTGCATATTTTCTTTTCTTTATTATTGGTTCCTTTCGGCCATCTTAGTTTTGGGTAACAACGGCAGTTTGTGCGCCCACTTACGTAATAAATATAACGAAATGGAAGCGGTTGTCTCTCAGACAAATTGAAATACTTTCAGCGTCTGGGCAACGGTCAAAGGCAAGTGAATGTTGCGAAGGACTATCGGATGCTACCGTCGACGTTGTCAACGTTAGTGAAGCAAAAGTCGAAGCTTGAAAGAGAAACTGCGTTCAATCCCAACAGGGAACGGCTCTGCACTGAATATTTCAAGCCAGTGGACAGTGCCGTTGCGGTATGACTTCCTCACAGCAACTAGCTGTGCCAGAGGATATGCAAAAAAAAAAAAAAGATACTCTCTGGGCAACTTTGTTACTTCATGCGCTTTCAGAGCGCCGGTGCAAATGAAAATTATTGACTATATTCAAAATGAGAAAGGCAGCAGCGTAACTGCAATACACTTTGTATATATCAATGTACATGACTCCATAAATTGCATTTCACCCTTTTGACTCAATGTATGCTGTGCCCTATGCTGTTCCCTAATCCAGTGAATATATTCAGTTTAGTGGACTCCTAGTTAAGGGAACTATTTCTTTGAGTCCCTAGAAGTTTGCTCAAGTGGGAGTTTACTGTATAGAGTTCTAGAACTTAAACGATACTGGCTATTGAAGAATATAACAGGCAGCAAAACATTCACCACAACAGAGATCTTGAAACATGCATTGGTAGTCCAGCAAGTTATGTTTCAAAACAAATTTGTGCGCACAAACAAGAAAATTGCCCTTTTACCACACTATTGAGGCAAAGGCACTGGTAAGGCCTCATTCATACAAAAATTGATCACTAACCCGTAAGAATGTCCAGCAATAGGTTTCGTGGCACTTTAGATTCCGATCGTTGTATACACTTCTGATTTTATCCCTTATGGGAGGGGTGAGGATGAGAGCTTTCTCAAACAAAATATAATGGTGCAAGGTAACTAGTGTAGGTAAATGTTAAAGGGGTCATGAATCGATTCTTCAACTTCCTTCTTAGCTTTCCTCAACTTACAAATTGTGCAGTGTTACCAAAGGTACAGGGGCATAAGTATACCTCTAGCAGTTCAAGAGGAGGAAAAGGAGGAACTCCCCTCTTGCTCATGGCGCTTGGATCCTCATTTTTGTACTCGCACGTCACCATTCTCCCCCTAGGAAATTGGCCCTTGATGCTCGTCGCTCAACATTCAGACAAAAGTTGCTAATCCCCCCCTCCCCAGCCTGTGGCTTCCACAGTACTATGCACAACTAGCATATAAACCGGAATATAGGTCGAATTTATTCTTGAAATTGGACCTGAAAAAGTCGACCCTCGTCTTATATGACGGTCATTAGCGGAAAAACAAAAATAATCTCGCAACACTCAGTGCCTGAAGACGCCATTTTGTTTTATATTGCAATGGCCTAGCACTCGTCCACTTGTCACAATGGTCACGATTAACTTTTACTTGTGCTCCTTGGTTTGTTACATCTACCGCAGCAATAATGAGCGGAAGTAGAAGACAGTTCACAGTAGCCTTTTAGAACAAGGCAATCGCCTATGCAGAGATCCACCGGAATCTTGCAGCGCAGCGAGAGTTCAGTGTATCGGAGAAAAGCATATGCTACTGGCAAAACCAGAGACAAAAACCGGCGGCGTGCAGCAAGGCGAGGAAAACTTAATTTCGTGGAAGGACTGCAGTGTACCCCGAATTGGAAACAAAGGCGGCAAACTTTATTCGGGATCTGTGCGCCAGATCGATACCTGTGATGTCGGAGAGCATCCATATAAAAGGCGTTGAGGTTGCTCGTGCCTCCGAGCTTTCGAGGGCGCAATTCAAAGGGACGGCATCGTCCCTTTAAATTGTGTTAGTGAACTCGTCGTCGGACGAAGGCTCTGAGGAATCTGAGTAGTAACACTCGCATACTTCCTGTTTTATTGAGTGCAAAACAATTAAATAAATCTGCCGTGTTTTCTCGTCCTTTCATATACTTGGACAATTTTGTCACCAAGGTAAGGTTGCGTTTTCTTGCCATAAAAACTTCTTTTGCATCTTGCAACTTGTAAATTAAGGGGTCGACCTATATTCCAGTTTATACAGTATCTTCCGTGCACCCCTAAGCCGACAGTGCTGTGGAAACTATGTGCTCGTTGGGCCGGTCACACTTGTATCTTCAGCCACATGATCACGCTCCCTTGCACATACCCACATATGCAGAATGGGGTCAGGTGATGATGGACAGGAGGGCGGGCGAGGTTTGTCAACTGAAGTCCCAATTTTTCAACCCCGCAAGGATGGTGAGAGATCTCACGGTAGCTGATGTTGGTTCTGAACCTTACTTTATCCCATTGATGTATTTCAATGTCTGTGTGGCAACAAGCTGAAAGAAAACTTGAAAATGAAGCACAGGTTGTCGATTGCTTGCTTCACAGAATAAATAGCCCAGCTCGCGTCCGATTTTGCTGCCCGTGGGACGCAGTTTCTTAGCAGAAAATCCTCTTTTTTTCGGTTCTCGTTCCTTATGGCGGAAAAACCCCAGTCGTCTGCTCTTGTTCCTCTCCCGAGTGATGCATGACGGGAGTGCATTCTGGTGCACACTTGATTCTCAAGGTGCAGCGAGTGCATAGACGTGTGGAGTGGCGACGCCGAAATGAACGCGTGGAGTGTCGGCCGAAACAAACATGCTCCATGTTGCGAGTGGGTACGCATGGGCACGAGTGCCCATGCATACATGTAGTCATACACTGTGCACGAGCATGTGGCTTCGACTTTTATCTTGTTTGCGTGCAGAAGTGGCTTCAACGGCATTGCAGAAATTACACTAGCCTTGACAATGAAGTACAAAAAGGTTTACGCCAAGTCTAGACACTGTTGCAAGATCACCGAGCCAGGAAACCTAAACCGAGCCACCACTAAATGTGTTCCGTTTCAAAATGGTGTAATTGGCAAGACTGAACCGCCACCAAATGTGCTCTGCGGTAGAGCACAAAAGTACATCACCAGACATGAGTGTCCAAAATGTACTTACAATGGCTAGCGGCGCCTCATAAAAGTCATGCAATGACCCTCTGCTTGGCCACTTAAGCCACACGCAGTGCCGTGCAGGGTACAGGACGGCATCCATGGTGCAGTGATCCAGGGTCCCGCCCGTAGTGTTCCGCTGCTGCCTTGGACAAGGTGAAAGCCAGCTCACTGATGTCATGGTCCCCGGTACCTGTGGTGTGTAACCATTGTGTTTAAAGGTTATACAGCCACCGACCGATATTGCAGACCCGATGGGGATCGTGCAGAATTCCGAATAATTGAGCAGTATGAAAAAATGATTTTAGCCTAAAAATCACTTTATTATTACGACTTAAAACGCAAAGTTGCTGCAGCAAGTGATCGATGGTTTGCTGTACGGCATGGTACTGTATGGTACTTCGCATTTCAGCGAGTCATTTTGTCACTGTATACAGACGAAAGCATTCGGACAAGTTACACGCTCACGGCTGCACAATGCTCGCCAACTGTAGGGCCAGTCGGTAGACTTTCCCCTCGGTGAAGGGCAAAGTCCGGTTTGTAAACGCTGTGCCGCTGGAATAAATGCGCAGATTGATCGCTACTTCCTTGGCGATACAATCGCTGCCTTCTCACGTCGACACACGGGAAATACCGCAAACAAAAGCAGACGCCGTCATGACTTTGCAAAGTAAAACCGGAGAGGCCAAGAGCAGAAGAATTGCTTAGAGTGCTGACGTGCTACGAGGCATCAGCAACCAAAACCTGCCATTTAAAAAAAATATATACTAGTTTCTTAGCAGGACGTGACGTCACGACAACTGACAGCAGTGATTGGCAGGCGGTGTGCATTCTTGCCACTGAATTCATAACCTGTCACCGAATGTAGTTTTTAAACATGGCAGATATAATCTGGCCTGTTTTCGTCCACAATGCTGCCGCCTAGTCTGTCGCATAAATTATTTTTGTTGCTAAGGGGCAATTGGGGCTTTACGTAAACATAGGCTGGACGTGCGTGTGGGAAAAATAACACGAATGACGGCCCCCAACATTGGCTCTTCAAACAAACTGCCAGAAAACAAAAAGGCCAATATGTCAACATTTTTGTCCTTTCCCCATTTTTGGTGGCTGTCGTGTCAGATTGAAGTATAAGTAACTAGTAAAATAAAAATAAATAAAAAAGTACATAACAAAAGGTGTAAATAAACTCTGTAGATATAATACCAGTCCCAATGGTTTAACAAAGAGGCTGGCTTTCTCAGAATGCCCCCCTCTCACTCGAGTCCGTATTGAATCTTAATATGAAGTTGCCCCGAAAAAGCTGCAGAAAATGCACATAGTGACAGAGCCCATAAAGACCACACCTGCCTTTCACATGGCCTTTCGAACTAGATGCAGTACAGGACGCAGAACGGTACCCATGGGCTAGCTGCAGCTGTAGCCCAGTGCTTGTAGTATCTCGCAGCTGATGGAAGGGAGGGAGGCCAGCTCCTTCATGCCGTGGTACCGGGAAAAACAATACAGATGAGCCACAGACGTCAAGCGCCTTGAGTATTTCTGTGCATCCACGAAGCCAATCTGGGACAGCAACGACAGAAAACTTTAGTAACACAGTGAACAAAAGAGTAGGCATGCAGGCGAGCTGTGAATTCTGAACACAGCTAAAACCCAAGGCACAAGAAAGCAGAAAGGAAGAGGCCTTTCCACTTCCTTGCATGTCGGGTTTGAGTCTCGCACGGGGTAGCAAAAAAGCAACAATACTGGCTCCCTAGTCTTTTTCTGCGTCAAGAAGCCTTGGAACAAAGAAATCCTACTGGTTATTCATCTTGTTTTCTCTTCTCGGGCGGATTATAGTGCACGGTGCGGAAGCAAACTGCCTCGAAAGGGCTCAACTCACACTTCCAAGAAAATGATTGGCGAGCAACCTCTCCATTGTGTGCTATGTGCACTGTACGTTTTAAGCAGGTCTGTTTTCTGCTAACACAACAGCGGTAGGAATGTTACTTGTGTCGAGCTGGAGAAGCCATAGTGGGGGCTACCCCAGCTACGCCCACGCTGGCTCTAATGGCGGTTATGTGCAACGCAGACAGCTTTCCCCATTTCAACCGAGTGCCTAGGCAGACACAGAAGCAGCCACATGAGACGATCGAGGGAAGACGCAGAGTTGTACAGGCGAAGAGGGAACGACATAGTGTAGCGAGCTTTTTAGTCCAGGCTATTCCTCCGAGAAATGCAGTCGGTGGAAATGTATGTCAGTTGTTCTTGCCATTAATTTAGGTAACGAATGCAAACATTATACTATTTTGCATCTTTTTCTACTGCAATGCTGGTCACCCGCAACGAAAAAACGCCACAAACTGAAAGAAAGTCTGGTTGCAATGTTAACACGGACACCAAGTCCACCAGGAAAAGCCATCTGTGCCATCCACCTGTTCATAAGCGAGCTGGAGTTTATCAAAGCACAACCGAGACTCTCTCGGGAGTATTCGGTTCCTTGTCACTAGTTATTGAATGAAAACACAGTGCAGTGTTGATTACTGTCAGCGCAGCCTTGCCACTAGCACTGCTGTCACTCGGGTGGCACATATTTCGCTGGCACGACATGGCCTGCGAGCCACATATATCCCTAAAAGGAAGCTGCATAGAATGCACTTACCGTGGCTAGCGTCGCCGCCCAGAGAGCTTGCACAAAACCTCCGCATGACACGCAGTGCAGTTCAGAACAGAGCAGCACTGGCTAGCCAGTTGCTGCGAAGGCTTGCAGTGCCTTGCTGCTGCAAGTCACCTCCTTCATGCCTTGTGGTACCCATCAGTTTCAAAACAAACGCTGATGAACCACGACCAGCCATCACCTGTAGCACAAGGGGGAAAAACATATGAATGTGCAGTCTCCTATCTGTTTGCTTTTGTCTAACGTCTCTGAGTTTTCTTTGAGAAGAAAACAGCAATGACACTTCTTTCACAGTAATGTGCAAAAGAAACAAAAACGGCTCGGTTATTATACTGCCTCGTAAGTTGTGTGCAGCAAAGGCACGGGTGCGAGGGCACAGCTCTGCAGAATGTCCTTTTGCGCGGGTACTCGTGCAAAAAAGGCGCTTTTTACTGTCATGTGCTCGGGCCTGCGCCTCTGCTGCACACAACTTATGATACAGAGTGTATAGCACGCCTCCGTGAGCACTCGCGTACGGCGAGAAATCCATGATATCCAGGGTACGATAGCAGGAAACCTCGCAAGGGTGCACGAGGCTGCAAGTGCGCCAGAATGTGCAACTGGAGGTGGTGACAGAATGACATAGTTTGAGAACATGAGTTTACTTGGGTCAAAATATAGAAGCGAAAAACGTAACTTCCTTGCCGGCTGATGTTTGGAGCCATCGGAGCACGATCAACTATTTGTTGTGATCGGGGTATTACGATCGGACGCGGGTTGGTAAAGATTTGAAAAACCCGGAAGAATAAAACCTGTTGGTGGCGAAGACAGACAGCGCAGTTCCTTGTTGACATGGGATGTAATATCAAACACATTATTCCGCCGGATCAAACGTTTTTGTTTAATCAGGCTTAGCTCGGAAGTCTGCCGGCAGGTCTGGGATGCGGTTTTTAGAGCTCTTTTGGCGGGCTTTCAGGTTTCTGCGATGCGTGTTTTCATCGTGAGCACAGGCTCAAACAATAGGCAGCGGCGCCAAATGTATTTGAAACGAAGAAGCAGCTCGGACACGTGGAACGAACACATCGAAATCACATCACAGGAAAACGCAAATCACTCACCTTTTGTTCGACGATGGTTCGCAAGACACGATTCAAATCGACGACACTCGATTCGGTCACGATATTCAGGTAAAGGACGCAACAACGTAGGCCTTGCCGTTCCTAATAACTACATAAATACGACGATACGACACGATATCAAACAAAGGAGTCGGAGAAACGCAATCTGAAGCGCAGAAACGCGGTCCCGCGGTTGCAAAAAGCAAGAAAATAAACAAAAAAAAAAATAATAGTCAACAAAGTAAAAATAAGAAAAAGTTTCCTCGCTAAAAACCGTGACGTCACAGAAAACAAAACAAACAAAAACAAGCAAAACAAAATTTCTTTGTCACGTGACGTTATATTTCGTTATATTTGTGACGTCACTTCCGGTGACGTCGGGTCACGTGACCTTCCATTATTCCTCCTCCGAATCGCTCGTTGCCGTATGCGCTGCCGCCAAACTGTGCCGCCAGGTGGCCAGGCCACTGACGCTGATACGGCGATAATACGATTCCCAGGTCCCAGGCACGTCCCTCGTTGACAGATCTCCACCCAAGGTAGAGTAAAGCCGTTTAATTATCTCGGTATAATTCTGGTCCAGTTGATTTCGGGCATATACGCGTCTCACGCTGCAATGGTAAGCTTTCGTGTAGCTTGGCGAGCTGGTCCAGATCGGCTCCGCGATCGGAGGCACATCGGGTAGATTTGACGATGGATGCTTGGATTGCCGATCACTGCATGCCCCCAACGACACACCCCGACGCTGTTATCTTCCCCGTAGAAATCAGTGATAAGCACCCGCGTCCAGCCGTTTGCACCTTCCTCCCTCTGAGGGACCATCGGACAGACGGACGGCTGCGGTAGTGCGGGCCTGTCAATGCGCCGCGCCCATCTCCCGTAAAAGCTTTTTTTTTTTTTTGTCCGACTCGTTTTTTAGGCGTTCCTTTCGATCGCGCGGAGATGTAGTCAGAGGCAGAAAACCGCGTATCAGAAGTGCCTCAAGTCCGATCGATGGAAAGTTCCACTAAGCGGGAAAACGTATGCATCGAGGCGCGGCCTCGTTCGTCCGTCCTCCCTGCTTGTAGCGGAGAAGCAGACGTAGTGAGGCAATGCAGGATGGTTGGATTTTCCACAGCAGCCAGTTGCAGGTTGCTCCTCCCACAAAGCCTTCCACTCGTTCCACTTTAACAGAGTGAACGCTGGAGAGGAGGTGAGTTCCTCCTCACCTTCTTTCCAGCATTCACACTGCTAAAGTGGACAGAGTGGGGCACAAAGCACTTTTAGCATGTCCCTGACCGTACCTGGTGTTTCTGCGAATACTTTTAAAAATTCCTACAGATATGGTGCTTGAGAAGAAAAAGAGACTCTTAGAGAAGAAACTGACAGCCACGGCAGATGTCGGGGATTGCAAAAGAACACAGTAATCAGTAAAATAATTACCTTTTTAATTAATGAAGATAAATATATGGTTCCAATTAGAAACTTGCTGAGTATCAACGAAAACCCCTAAAGTAAGTCAATTTTAGGAAGACGAAGCACGCGCAAAGTGTGTGTGCTAAAGTTCTTACTCATGCAGCAGGCGAAAGGCTGACGATGCAAAAAAGCAAATGATTCAATACTGCATTTTCGCGTTGCCAGCCTTTCGCCTGCTGTACAAGTAGAAACGTTAGCACAACTTCACGCTTCACACATGCTTCTTTCTCCTAAAATTGTGTGACTTTGGGCCCGCTTCAGACAGGTCAGCTTTCCCTGGTACAATGCGAATTGCGTGGATCGCGTCCGGCTCGAAAAGGACGAACAATTCGGAGACGTCTGAAGCGGCAGCAGCTAATGAGGGACGCAATGTTTTCACATGACACCTCATGCCTATGATGATAACAACTAAAAACTTGGTTCTAGTTTGAAATCAATTGTTTTTAAGAATAAACCATTTCAGAAAGAGGAGTTAGTATTCTCAACGCCATTTAAATGTACAAAAGCATGTTTATAGCACGTAACTGTATGTTTAAAGTGTGTGACAGAAATAAAATTTAACGATAATGGCAACTGGAAGCAATTGGTTGCTGCGTGTGAACGCGGGCGGCCTTTGTTGCTTGTGTTGTGACGTCAGGTTGCTGGGAGAAATTGCGCCATCTGAAGCAGCAACCAATTAAAGGTACAAAAACATGCTTATAGGGCGTAACTGTGTGTCTAAATAGTGCAAGAAAAATAAAATTTAATAGCAATGATGGCAAATCGTAGCAATTGGTTGCTGCATGTGAAAGCGGGCAGCCAGTGTTGCTGGTGTAGCGACGTCAAGTCCCGACGTTCGCCATGGCTGGCAGTTTGTTCCAGAAAAGTGTTTCTTTTTTCTCAGCCAGCCTATTTGTAGGGGTTTTCGAAAGTAGTCTCAGAAACACCCCGTAGGTCAACTCAGGTCCGCCTCCCATAGTTAGACACACTACTGTTTTGGGGAACAGTTGCTATGGTGACCTCAGTGTACTCTATGGAATACACAGACTTCAAAGCACAGTGTAATGGTGGCACTTTGCCATACTCTATGTAATTCACCTCGAGATTCGATCGGCACGGCTCATCTGGTAGAAAGCAGAACTACACTTTGTTTTACGCTTACTTAGAGCAAAACGAATGCTACGGACGTGAGGCCAAGCCATGGGAGGCACCAATGCAGCGTTCACGCACTGGAGTCAACTGCTAAGAGCTCGTGCTCTGTACCCTTAACCATGCTCCGTGCCGTTAGTGTGGATGCTTTGTCTCCACCCCCATTGTGGACAGAAGGAATCACCACATGCCTTATAGAGAGCCATGGATAAACAAGAGCACACTTCCCCTAAATTGAGTCTGGGTCTCGAGGTGAATACCCCCTTCATGTCAGTGTTACCAACTGTTTTTCGCAAAAAGAACCTACAGCCACCTTTCAAAAACCCTACATGCTGACTGAAATGGTGTTACTTAGCCACGGAGATAAGCGAACATTGCTGACTGGGAAGGACAGTCGTCTTTGGCTCCATCGTCCCTCCCTGCAATCGCAAGCCATTGCCAATCACAAGATTTTTTTTTTTTTTTTTAAAGCATTCTTTTTCAACTTTTTTTTTTATTGGATGTTGAAAATTAGCTTCCCTGTTATTTGAACCCGATTTGCCTTCGATTTTAGGTGGGCTATCACTTGGCATATTACGGTACTTTACAACCCTGCTAAGGACCGCCCTTGCCTCCCCTGTGCAGAGGATGCAGTTGGTGGACGTGAAGGCGTGGCTGGACACGGTGGTGCGGTGGGCGGCCGAGAGCCCCGGGGAGTTCATCTACTACGTGCTGCTGGGTCTGTCACCCTTCTTCCTCATAAGTGCCTTCCTCTCCTGGAAGCTGGCCAAGCACCTCGAGGCAGAGGACAAGCGCAAGAAGCAACGCTCCAAGAAGAAGGCCAACGTTGCCGAGACCAGGAGAACCAAGTCGGACTAGGTTCGGTCCCCTTGGATGACCGGGACCAGGTGTCAGGGCCTCTTGGAGAAGAACTTGGATCAGGATGTCCAATTCTGACTAGACTAGTAGACTTGGCCCTCTTGGAAGACCGGGACAAAGTACCAGGACCAAGTGCCAGGGTCTGACCAGTCTTGATCCTCTTGGTTGACCAATACCAAGTACCAGGACTTCTTGGCCAGGATGACAGAGTCTGACTAGGCTCGACCCCCAGGACAAGGACTTGGACTAGGAGGACCAAGTTTGACTAGACTCGGCCCTCTTGGATGTCTGGGACAAAGTGCAAGGACCAAGTGCCAGAACCTCTTGTACCAGGAGGCTTGAGTCTGACTAGAGTTGATCCTCTTGGAAGACCAGGACGAAGCACTGGGACTATGTACGAGGACCTTTTGTACCAGGAGGCCCAGTGCTCTTGGTTGACCAGTGATCCTCTTGGTTGACCAGGACCAAGTACCAGAACTTCTTGGCCAGGAGGATCAAGTCTGACTTGGCTTGATCCTTTTAAAAGATAAGGACTTGGACTAAAAGGATCAAGTCTGACTAGACTCTGTCCTCCTGGTCAACCTTCAGGCTGCCACTGCACTGGTCCAAGCTGCACTGTGAATTGGCTTGGTGGTGACACCTCTTGACCGCCACCACTGGGCTGGCTTGCCTTACATGGAAGGCGCCTCCCTTTTCATACCACTTCAGAGACTGCGTTGTCGAGGCTTGGACACCCACAAATTGCCATATTTACTCAAATAATTTTAGCGCCGTTTACGAACAATGCCAATGCACCCACTTCTGCGTGTAGTATCAGTTTCTTGAAGTCTACCAAAGAAGCTTAACTAATGATGAGGCAGAGATGTAGGTTCCCTCAGAGAAATGATATCTGCATTTCAACACTGAGCACAGAGTTTCAATTGTCTAGAATTTAGTGGAGATATCATTTTCGGGAAGGAACATTTTCTGAGGCTCATTCTGTTGATATCAATGAATAGCTACAAGTGGGGGGTATGTGCGTAAACAGTGTTGATTAGAGTCAACATGGCAATCTGTGCAGACTATGCCCCTTCTGTTCTTGCCTTGGAAGCACTATGTCCAAGACTGTCTCAAACGAGATTGTGGCTCACTTAATTTTGTGCAAGCCAACCCAGCCACTTGATGGGGGACCCTTGACCGCCCATCTCTGTGCTTTGGCAAGGCACAGTGTCGTGGGACTTTATGGACTACCGCAAAACGTTTTGACAACCCTGGAGCCACGCAATACGAAATGCCACACCTTGCCACTGGTCAAATGTAAGCTTTGTGGCTTCACTGCTGCAGTGGTCAGGAGGTACAAAGACTAGCACAAACGGAATGAGAAACTATAGTTGGGAACACATCCATGCTCTATCCTGTCCATCAGTTTCATGCATTTTGTAATATTTTGTTTACTTCAGAAGCAGCTTGGTAATCTTTTTAGCATGGGCTTGAAGAGTCTAGACTGGCTAGCCCTTCAAGGTTGGATGCAAGGGTGCTTGGAAGACTTAGAAAGGACTGCTGAGAATCGTCTCTGCCCAGCCTCCAAAGTATCCATGAGTGTCTTTGGAGGGAGGGTGCCACTAAAGGGGTGTCCAAACAGGACACTACAAAACGCACGACTCCGTGCGTTTTGTGAAAATTGAAGCGGACGCACCCACTTCAATTTTCATGATTTGTCGGAGTCGTGCGTTTTGTAGTGTCCTGTTTGGACACCCCTCAAGCCAGTCTGATATTTCAGTTGCACAGAACAGATACACCCAAGCAAATGTCAAATGTTATTGATTGGGACAAACGCTTTACATTTCTGCTGCACATTTTTTTTACCATCTCCGATACATTTTAGAAGGCTTGAATGTGAAAGGGTGTGCCAGACTTGAAAGTCACTCTTTTCTTTTGTACATTTTGCATTCCATGGAGCTACTTCTACGCTGCTTTTTGTTTCTGCAATGTTTCGAGAGAAGCCTTTGAGTCAGATCTTTTTACATTTAATGCTGGAAACGTTTGAGGCGTGTTGGTGGCAGGTTGGAGGTCATATGCCGCTCTTTGCGTGAATCATTTGTGTGGGATGTGCTTTTGCTCTTATTTGAACACTAGATTTTGAGGTGGCAAGTGGCAGGAGAATGGACAGTACTAGCCAAGGCACCGGGGAAACGACCCGAACGAAGAATACTGCTACAGTATTGGCGCGATTTCTTGGCACATAGCCTCAACATTGTTTCCACTTTTGTAGACGCCATTCACACTCTCGCAATAAGGCAGACATTACCAAACTAGATTGCACTTCAGCAGTCTGCCTAGAAAAGAGTGGCAATCTGGTCGGAACGTTGCTGTTCTTTGTCAGATAAAAGTGCCGAGCCTCAACGAATGATGGGCTTTGAAAGCTGAACAACTTTAGCGATAACGAGAAATTCCAAATGTGGGGGGCCGCGAGGAAACGTGCTTCGCAAATAGATCTACAGTTACTACGTTCGATTTACCTTCACTGGGTGCACACAGTCATATCTGATTCACGAACGCAGCCAGTCTTAAATCGCACGCCGGAAGTATACACTGCCCCGCATTTTTGTGCACCGATGTAGGCTGCTGCAGGCGAATCAAATGCAGCGAGGGTTGCAATTTTTGTGCGGATGTTGGAAACATTGTGGTTCGGCAACAGTCCGAGACGCACTGGGTGTATGAAGCACCGATTAAACGCCGTTTTACAACCGCTGTCTCTTACTCTCGCTACTCGACACCCTACTTGATAAAAAGTGCCGGCAGCACAATGACTGTGTCCACTGACAAAGCGAGAACAGCAGGGTGTGCCTCTCGAATGCCGGCTTCCAGCACACGCGATACGCCTTCTGCCATGCTTTGACTGCGCTTGCACGCTCAAGCGTTGTCTAAGGTACAAAGCTCGTGCCGGAGGCGGGACAACCGAAGCTCGATCCCTGCCATGCCGTTCTCAACATGTTAGTGACAAACTTTGTGCTTTACGATGAGTCACTCTTATGCAGAATTGCAACACTATAAACAAAATATACCATAGTTCATTTTAACTTTTGTTTATTTACAGTACTTTATATTGCTAGGGGCTCATGAGCCAGTAGTGATCATAGTCCTTCCAAGATTAAAAACACAGTTTCAATCAATCAATTGGTATCTTACAGTTCTGCATCTTTGGGAAAATATTAAATTTCAGACTTGTAGCCAGAAATTTTGTGTTTCTAATAATATACTAAGCTCTAAGGAGAGCGACTGGAATTTCACTGCCCCAAAGCTCGTCGGCCCTCCTTTTTGCTTTTTCTAAGTGCCACTCTTTTTTTTTTTTTTTTTTTAATGTACAAGAACTGCATTACAACTTAGACTACTAGACAAGTTATAGAATCCAATTCCTTGTTTTCATTAAAAACCATACTGAAGCTAACGCACACAAAATAATAAGAGCATGTTGCATGTGGTCTGGAACAACACAGCATAGCTGGAGAGCTCATCAGATTCAAGGAACATACATCATTTTGTGCAACCCACTCTCCAGACAAACGAGTTTTCGGAAATTAATTGTGAAAAAATACAACCGCGGCTGTCGTCAAGCTACTGCAACGTTTTTAAAATGGAGGCCATCTGGTACCCTGGACTGCCCTGTCACGTGCTGGGAGGAGGCGGCGGCTTCGGAAGGTCCTCTTCGGCTTGGGCTTGTATCCGGTACTCCGGGTACTGAGGAAAGCTGGTCGGGGCGGCTGCGGACATGAGCGCGTGGTGTCACTACCGCTCAAGAGTAAAGCACAAGCCACGAGATTACTGCAAAGGACGTTTGCATACTGTGCACTCCTTCATTAAAGGTGTACTCTGGCTGTTTTTCGAGCTACCCAAACGAATTTCATTTTCTGAATACCCCGATTTCAGTCTTTACGGTATGCTATTTAGCGTCTCGAAATTCAAAATGGCTATTGAGAAAACCATAATTGAAGATGATGCCGAAATCAACGTTTAAATTTCTGTGCGCTCTCCGGTGGTGTTACGTCACAAATGATACAGACTTCCAGGTCACACAGGTAGTCTTAAACGGAATACGTCGAGCATTTTTTCGTTCTTCTCGGTGAATGAGCTTCCAATCATTCTTTTCCCACCATTAAACGTCTCGTGATCAGTTGGGAACGCGGTTTACCGCCCACTTTGTACCATTTCTGTCGTCACATTTCAGTGTTGCCAGTAGGGGCTATCGGTTTGAGAAATACGACGAGAACAAAATTATAAACGCAATAACTTCGCAAATTTTTTTTTTTTTTTTTAACACAATTTTGGAGTGTTTGGTACAGCCATGTTTATTGGCGTGTTGAGCCAATTTCGAGGCAAATCTTGAGAGAGTGGGAACTTTAGTGCACCCCCGTGCTCACCACGTGTTCAAAGTCTTTCACACGATCTGCTGTACAGATCGCATTATTCTATCCTATATATGCCTTTTTTTTTTTTAAATAAATGTGTTTAAATTAAAATTAGATGCCCTTTATACAACGCTTTCTCCCAGGTTAAGTGTAACAATGCCCTTAATCTCTTATCTCTCTATTGCCAGAGACAGAACCAATATGGCAATCTTACAGCAAGCACTAGCTGTACTCGGTAGGCAGTAAGATGTGTAAGGCATATGACTCGTGGACCTTGCAAAGACCTCCGTAGACCAAGGCCACTACCTCCGTTCGAAACCATGCGATGCTAGTTCAACCGCTCACCTGATTCTGCACTAGTGATGGCTCCACCAGTCCTTTCTTCCCGTTCCTGAAAGAGGAACGCACGGGCAGATGAGAATTAAAGAGAGTGAGCTTTAACCCGACGTGCTGGAAGGAAGCACAAGCGCTCCCGAAGTGGCAACAAATGATGTTTTAGAAGCCATTCGGTCATGCTGTTGGATGTCGCGATCCCGGCGGTCGGTGCTAAGTCCCGGCAAATGGTACGGGCGATTGCGTGTTGTCTGTCGTTTCGGCGTCCCAACTCCTGACTGTCGAATCCTCCGGGGATCGTCATACTGCAGGGCGACCCACAGAAGAATGGGCATCTGCTGCACCTACCACCGCTGTTGCGACACCAGCAGTGTCGCGGCCAGCAAGGGCAGGACACTTCAATCGAGTCATCGGGTGGAAATCGTGGGACCGCCTTTTGAGAACGCGGAAAACACGCCAGTCGGAGTCACTTCACCGGGTTCCGAGCTGGCTAGCTAGAAAGGCACAGGGCTACCAACAAGGGAGGCCCATTCGTTTGCACGCTCGCTTAAAGAGCATGGAACGCCGACGTAATAGGAGCTACGGAGACACCGCTTGCCGGTAAGCTCGTCGTTCTACTCCGACAAGTGGGTGAGTGGGCAAGGCCCCACAAAACATTACTGGCATTATCGCGACGTCATTACTCGGTGCGACCTGCTCGACCTCAACTCCACGGCCACTTACCCACCACTTGTGGCCACAAGCGGTCGCTCTCCGACGAAGGGACCGTCGAGCGATTTTGAGCCAATTGTCTGCTTCCGTGTTTGCCAAGTTAAAGGGCACATGGAAGTACTTTTCGCATGTACGAAATGTCAAACGCTGGCTGGGACTCGCGGATTTCGGGGGTTGCAAATAAAGCCCCCATGGCAGACTCTCAAACATCTTGGTCTCTGCAAACAAGAGTGGTACGGTGCCTCATGCAATGTGGCACAAGCACGATGCCCCACGATTCTGCTAAGGAAGCGTTACACCAAAACGAAAGCAGTCCACTTCCTGATCCGAAAGCGCACAAAGCTTTGAGCCACCACATCAGCCGAACGCCCGCCGACGAAACCGTGTGCCGTCGTATTGTGTGTTTTATATCTCGCCAGCCGACTCTAGTGTGTGCCATAATCTTTGACCTTTTGCAGGGCCACTGCCCACTTTCGATGCGAGATTATGGAAGGGGGCATTGTCCACCTCGGCAGAATTCGAGTCGACGGACCTTTTTCGAGTAACGAGCGCCATCTGGGGGATTGTTTGCGAACCACAAATGAGGGGCAGCCCAACGTGCCTCTGCCCGTCGCAACATGTTGGCAAGGTACCATTGCGTCAGCTTTCGTTGTTTTTTATGCCGCATGTAACCGGTGCTCGAAAAAGAATTGTCAGGAAACACGAAATACGTGCAAACATAGGTGCTGAATATGTTGGTCGTGCGGGACGGTGCCCTCCAAAAGTGGAGACAGTGGGAGGCAAGGCCAGGGAAAAGGTGTACGCATGCATCGAGGATTACTGGAAAAAGGTCTACTGTGCTGTGACACTTCAAGGACCCCACTGAGAGGTTTAGGTTGCACTTTTACTAATGCAACTTTGGATTGAAACAAAGGCTCTTTCACCACTTCACTTTGAAAAAAAAAAGAAAAATCTTTTGCAGATGGCCACGAAAATTTGGAAGGCAATTGTAAACTATAGCACTATAACTAGGCACTGTGTGTCTCGTTACAGAGTCTGCAAGCTTGTGGCATTCTTACCCTAAAGTGCCACACACATAAAAATAAATGTTGGATGCATCAGACGTTTCGTCGTGCGTGTCTCTGGCACTTAAATGATGTTCTCTGCCGAGGCAAAACAGTGGTTGTAGAAGCTACAGCACATAGTCCGATCGACAAGAGGTTGGAACATGGAAATACCTTTTGAGCTGCCTCTTTGAGAAGAGCAGCACTCTTCTTCTTCGCTTCCATAATGGCGATGTTCCGAAGAATCTCCTGCAATGTGAAAAAGTGATCGCCATACAAACCTGCCATGCTGCCCTCTCAAATGGAGAGCATCTGTTAAGGGCTGTCCAAACAGGACACAACAGATGCTGTGCACGGCGTTTGATATACCGGAAGTGGAGGTCTTCCTCCGGTTCCAGTCCGCTTTAGGATGTTTTTCTTTTTCTCAGGGGCTAAGCTACCCTTTACCTGCGTCCTTGAACAGAGGCTTGGCGTGTGTTCATCACGAGAGCTTGGACAGCCACTTGCACACTCTGCCGGCTGTCGTCAAAGCCTCCGCTGTTGTTGCCAGTCCTCAACCTCCCAAAAACAAGGAAGGGGAGGAGACAATAGGGAGGAGGAAAGCCGTGCTGTTCGTGTGATTGAAGTCCTCACCAAACAAGTATGCGCGTGTCAAACCTTTCACGTTTTTCGAGAAGTGCAGACATTTACTTTTATGCCTACTCTGCACGGCATTTGTTGGGTCCTGTTTGGACAGTCCTTTAGTCGAAAAATGGGTGGAAGTGTCACCTCTTGGGTGGGCGGGTCCTGCCGTCTGCCCCGTAGCCACGCTACACGAAATTTTGGGGGCAAAGGAAGGAAGCTTAGCACCACAAATGCAACGAAACCATCTCCTATCGAAAGGAATGACAAGTGCACAGATTTATTGTTTTTTTGCTAGGCTTACCATCCCACTCGACTGGCACCTCTTGGTCAAGCTTGTCCTTAATGTATGGCTCAAACCACCTAACTGGCCGCCGCTTTCCCCTGCTTGGCTCTGGAAGAAAAAAGAGCCAAAAGGTTCAAGCCGAAAAAGAAAAAAAAAAAAATGCAACCATCACCCAACGTGTCAGCCTGCTGCAATGTGAAGTGGAATTTATGTGCAGTCAGCTGTGGGCGAAATTTGATAGTTTTGTATGCTTTGTTTCACCGTAACTTGGCCAAGAGCGATTGCTATAACCCATTCAAGAGGCAAAGCAAGTGACAAACGTTACCAAAGGTACGGGGTCGTGAGTTTAACCCTAGCAGATGGAGAAGAGAGGAAGAAGGAAATACCCCCTTACCTTCTTTTGACGTCGTTCTTCTCCTAGCTGAGGACGCTACGAGCCATCGAAGCCAATGCGATGTCGTGTGAGTGTCACGTGACCTTAGGGAAAAGCTCAGCGACGCAAAGGCTAGCCACCTTCGTCTCACCGTCGACTAGTGAGTAGAAACAAAGGCAGGCAGCTAGCCTTGCGTGTACCCACTAATCCTTCCAATCACAGCTCAACGCGCTCTGACCTCCACTCGTGCTCTCTCTCCTCCAGTCAGTTGCCGGTTAGTACGGGCGGTCAAGGTGTTCCCCGAGGACAGGGTGGTCACCGACAAGCGTTCGCTCACCGGCAGGGATCTCGAAGTACTTGTTTCCCAGGTGGTCGCTCCCCATTTCGTTGGCCGGCAGCTTCTTGGACGCGATCGAGGCCCAAAAGTTCTTCCAGATCTGGAGGACAAGCCTCCTGCCGCCACCGTTGCTCGCCATCACTCTGCCAAGACAAACTGCCAATCTCGAAAATAGATATGTAAATATGTATCTGCATATAAACTAAACTTTACGGTCGCGCAGTATGCGACTGGCCATCGCACCTCCGATTTCGGAGAAGCAGAAAAAGCAGAACTGACCAAAATTGACTTTGGCTATGATATGTCCTTACAAAGCAAGTATTCGAGCCAATTTGAGCCACGTTTGAAAGGTATGGTTTGGTATGGTTTGGCAGGACTCTTAGTATTAAAAATATCTATTTTCAATCTTATTTTAACGAAAAAAAAAAGCCTTCAAGAGCCATTTGTTACGTTTATTTTTTATTTATTACGTTGGTGTACCTGCGGTAACTGCGGCGACATCGGATAATGGGGTAACGGCCGAAATTCCTCCCAAACGGACACGAAAATGGCTGACAGGCATCGTTCTTCGGGTTCTTCGCGGCCGTCCAAGCCGTCCAAAACCGCCGCCGTCGTTCACGAAAGGGACAGCGATAGCAGTAGCAGTAGCTCGGGACAGAGCGACGATGGATCCAACTCTAATTCCAACTCCCTGAACGCCTTCGCGAACGACGGCAGCTTTCTGGCGCGCTTCAAGCAGATGCAAGAGGCCTGTCAGCAGCAGGCGCAGTCCCAGGCCGACGACGCGCAGTTCGCGGCCCCGGCGCCCCAGGTCACGGTGAAGACGGAGCGGGACGCCGACGACAGCGGTGCGGCCAAGAAACGGGCGCTCCCCTTTGTAAGAGACTCCCCGGTGGCCGCAGCCACGCTGCGCGATGCCTGTCTTAGCGTGACTCGCCATTAGAACTGCCCGAATTTTCGAACGAATGATTCATCGGCAGTGATATACGGCCTTGATGTTACGGGGTGACTCATATTTAACCGACCCACAAGCCGCGCTCGTTACGAACTCCCCCGCTGAGCAGTGTTGGGGCGTGCTGCTTGCAGTCACGGTCAAAAGATGCAAAGGGAAATTGCGTAACGGTGGGACAAGGAAGAGCTGAAGCTGGGTGCAAGTTCTGAGCTTCCATAGGCCCGCACTTTTGTGCACTGTAGTCATGCACATCAGCGCCGATGGCACAACGTGAGCACGGGACGTTCACGTCACGGATTAGGACAAAGTTTAAAGGGGAGGACGTGTAAATGTTTCTACGCTAGGTGGCGCCAGGTGCCACCCTATATAGGTTGCACCAGCAATCGCCAGATACAGTGACGTTTCGTTAATATGGCCACCTCCATTCCCCCCCTCCCCCAACCAAGGCATCCATAATGTCTGTTGCCCATAATAACCAAACATAAATGCATGTATTTACTCAGTTCATCCTCGAAATATATTAACTGGATTAATGAGACATGGCTGGATTCAGTTTGTAGCCACCTCCATTCATGCATCCAATTATCTAGCCTCAAAACGGAGAAGCACGTTGCAAAGACCCGAGACTGCGACGTGGCGTGCAAGAAGAGTAGGCATGACGTTTGGGAGGGCAGGTGCAGTTCTGCGGGTTTGTCTACCGACCGGGATGTAGTCGAGATGTGGGGTGGCAGGGCCCCCTTGCGCTCGTATGCTCCATTCACCCCAGGATGACAAGGTGGTGGAAGTTACATGCTCGTTGAACCATTCAACAGCCGGTTATGCTCCAGATGATCATGCCTTCTCCACATACTAATGTTCAGAGAGCAACGTCCGGCGGTGAGAGGCAGGCGATTGATTGGTCCGGCGAAAGCAGTTTCTACTGCCCCGTCAGCTCGGCGGTGTTGTAGGTGGGCAGACGCTCCCTTCGCCAAGCGGGAGAGAGTTTACGGGTGGAAAGGCAAGCGTAGGCTGATATAACTTTAGCTCGGACAGGAAAAGAAAAAAAAGACACATAAAAAGAAGAAAGAAAAAAAGAATTGCAAATGCAGTGAGGAGGGTCTTCGTGGTACTGCATATAATATTGCAATGAGATAGGCATGAAGCGTGGGACCACTCTGCCTCTGGTAGAAGAGAGCGATCGTCAAACCTCTCCCCTTTGCGCCCAGCATAGCGGCGCCTGGAGCCCCTGCATAGCGTGCGAGCCCCCTGTGTCTGCCAACAAGAGGGCATAGAGTCCCCAGGAGGACGTGGCCATACCGAGTTTAGCGGGGCACTGTGCCCCTGTCGCACTAGATCATTTGTGTTTCTTTTTACAGTGACTGTTCTTGAAGGGGTACTTCGAGTATCTTTCGGTGCTTCCGTTCCACTTCCAAGTTTGTAGCCATTTTTCTAGCCGAGTGACCGACCTGCAATGGTCGACTTGGAGTACATTTCCCCAATCCACCATTTTTTGAATTCCCGGTTTGAGGTTTTTTTGGCAAGAAGCTGCATGGGCATGGGCATGGCACGAGCAAGTGTAAACATTCCTTAGAGTGGCGATGTTAGATCCTATTGGGCCCCCTCGCGCTAAAGTGACCTAGACTGAGCTTTGTAATCATTGCTTTTGTACCCACTGTGGCTTACCATTTGCCCCCAGGTTCATACGGCTTCTCCCCTCCCCTTTCTACCAGCACCTTTTTTTTTCCATGAGTTCCATAACAAGAAATCCTAGAACCTAGAACCAGGGGGCAGCAGTTCTGAAAGAAGGTGCTTTGGTCTGTGCTTGACACTCGAAACCTTCACGTTTCACATTTGGAGGGTTTTAATCCCTGCCAAGGGCTCTTAAATTTAATTGGGGCTTATGGTAGAAAAAGTGTTGTGTATCTTAAGTCGGAAGATCCCCGGGTAGTCCAAATTAATCCTCACTCCTTCATTCGGTTATGCCAGCTACCCTCCAATGGTTTGGTTGGTGAAACCCCATATTATGGGAGGGAGAAGGTGGGGTTCACGAATCCCCTATACTCCATTTCACCTTGCGTCCGGATGCAGCAGACGCTACGAGTAGGGCTCCGCATTTTTGGTTTTTATTATTTTGGAAATTCGGCATACTTTTTTCAATTTTTATTTTAAAATTCAATTTTCGGTGTATATTTGTGCCCACAAAAGTTTATCTTTTTTTTTTTTTCCGGTGAATATAAAATAAACTCCAAAGGACACCGGTTCAGATGATCCTTGTAGTTCTGATATTTGTGATCACTCAAAAAATAACGGCACAGATACCTTGAAAAAGAAATGGACTCTTCATTTGGCAAATGTGTGCAGCTGTAAAAGAAACAAAGAGAAAAGAACACAAAAGTACAAACATCCAATATGAAGTCTATGCCCAAAAGACATGGGACTTCACCTTCTGTACATCAAAATTATGTGATCTTATTATAGCAGTAAACACACATGTACTTTCCCAGGTTCTCCTCATTGATCCACACTCTTTCTTTCCTGTTAATATGACCCTGAGCTTCGAGGATGCTCTCTCGGCGCTAGCACTGTACACTGGCAGGCTGATGAAATGAAGCGCTGCCTGAGTCAAAATCGGCCAATCAACCAAATGTGACCGCCAAAAGAGACACGGTGCAACGTTTTGAAGCACAACATATTTCGTGTACTCACTAAACTCTGGCTGCAGAGCTTGCATCAAGTCAGTCTTCCTTACGAGTTTGAAAACACGCTCGTGCGTGGTGAAGTCGTAAAGCATTTCGGGCTTCACGTTCCAATCGATGATGCGCACATTAAACCAAAACGTCGTGATGGCATTCAGGTATCTCACATTCGGGCACATTTCGATAGACACTGTCGTCCCACCTTTTCGCCGCGGCTCTGCGGTACAACTGGAAGGTCAAAGTGACCTTTTTCGGTTAAGACCGCATTTTAGAAAATGAACTTGACGTATTTTTATCGGTTTAAATCGAAAACGCCGCACCTGCAAACTGACCTTTTTCGGTTAAAACCGAATTTCCGAAAATGCATTCGGCGTACTTTTATCGGTTTAAACCGAAAACTCTGAACCCTAGCTATGAGCTATCCTAGCCAATCCCGCTCTGTTGACGTAGACCGTGATATGCTTTCTGCACATTTCTGTGCCCTCTCCAAGGTCATGTGACACTCGCAGAGCTTTGGATTGACTCCGATGGCTCGTAGTGTCCGCTGCGCTCGGACGTAAGGTGAAACGGAGTATAGTGAGGTATAGGACGTAAGTGGGATACATTACTGGGAGTAAATACCGGAAATCCGCCTCATCTGCCAGAGACATAATTATTAGAGAAATGCCACACGAGACGGTGCTAGCTTCTGCGATGAAAACCTGGGACATTACTGGGCACACCGCCCCTCTGGGTGGTGGGCCCAGTATTGTCGGTATAATATGTATAATATGGTTAGCTCACCTTTCTCGAATTAAAAAGCGCCCAACACTCCAGGTCATCACGGCATTCGCTAGTGCCTTCTCTGCACTTCGCACTCGGAGCAAACACTTGTCGGTTTCAAAGCCTTTGTGTTTGACATTACCGTTTGCTCATTATTGTGAGCAGCCCTTAGTAGGAAACTGGTGGTGAGCAGTACTTGCACGCAGTGTACACGGGACCAATTTCCGGCTCAGCACGGCTATGTTCGGGCAAATTGAGAAGGTATGAGGAACGGTTACGTAAAAGAAGTAAACTCGATGTGTGTTTCGCCAACGTACAGTCTTCACCGATATGTAAGACCCTTTCGTCAAGGCAGTTTATGTGGCATGAGGCACTCTATTTTTAGAGAGAGAACAAAGGCCTACATACTTCCTCATGCCAAGAAATGGGGGCCTGGCCGTGAATCCTGCACGGTCGCTCGATACTGCCTCGTCAAGCGGGCCTTTCGTATCGGTGGAGGCTGTACTTACCTTTGACATCACCCGAGGCATAAAATCCAAAGTCACTGACAAAATGAGAATGGCAGACACCACAGCGTTGTCGGAGCTTGCATCGGAGGAGTAATCGGTGCTCTTCTGTATTTTATTGTCCCGCCTTCAGCTTGTGCTGGAGGCAGGACAACCGAAGCTCCTCCCTGCCCTTTTCACCTTGTTGATGACTCTAGCATTTAATTTGTGCGTTACTCAAAGTACCCCGCTTTTTCCAACTTTACCCCCCGGGGTTCCGACGCGGCTTGTCGGGGTCGGGTCGACACGGCGGTGCCGGTTGGCGCAGCCAAGTGTCTAACGTGCTAGTACTTATTTCCTTTAGGTGGGTAAGAGAAGGGGTGGCAAAGTGCTAAAGACGGGCGTTGTCCACAAGCCCAAGGTGGACGATGAGGTAAGCCTAACGTTCTGCGTTCCTTTCCTTCTCTAGCCCGCACTGTGCTTCGTAGCCACGCTAGCGGTGCGGTCACGAAATCCGCACGTAGGTCTCCTCGTTTTCGTTTCCACAATTGCTCGTGAAGGAGGGGACGTTCAAACGAAGCGGGAATTTCCCTCTAGACTCCTAACGTATTACGACTGTCTTGGGCGTCTCCGTCGGCTTGCGAGTGGCTTCTTGTCAGCCGTTTCGGTTGGCTCGGTCAGTGCTACCCAAACTTTGAAGTTCCCGTCGAGAAGTGCCGACGCTCAATGAAACGGCCGCATTTTTGTCTCCGATGTTGCTGGCAATCCTGCAATTTTAAGCGATCTGGTTGTCAGACGCTCCTAGCCGTATTTATTTGCCTTTGTTGCTCAGCCTACGATGACTCAACACTTTTGTCCTTTTCTGGGGAACGGGCCTCACTACAGTTTGGGAAGCACTGGTCTATGCAGCCTTTCCGTAAAGCTTTCGAAGTAGAGGGCGAACGCGAAATATGGTCAAATTACTTTGGTTTTCTCGTTTGGCGTAGGCCTCGGAGGAGGTATTGCTAACTGCCCTGGAGTTGCATTCATTTATCAGTGTTCCTTATGCCTTTCAATTGTTAGGAAATTGCTAAAGCAAAACACGTTGGTTTGAAGCCTTAGTCCAAAGTGAGTGTTACTTCAGTGGCTATTCAAACTTCCATGTTACAGACCAAAGAAAGCCTTAGATGTGCCTAAATTTATGTGGTAAACACAGCCCCTTGAAAGATTTTTTTTTCAGGAACTTGACATGTGGAATTACGTCTGGCACAAAACTAGCTTCAGCTTTTATTTGACTAATTTTCTGTGTTTTTGAAGCACAGCAGATGTCGCAAGAATATCACGTGGGGCATTCCTTAGAAAAGAGGCGTGTTTTTGGTCCCGGGTAAATAACCTATGCATCACAGAAAGCTCAAACTCTGCAAGAATGGGACGCTAGCGGTTGGGATGGAACGCGGAAGTTTGAGAACATGACACGACCTGGATCAGAAGATAGTTGAGAAAGACGAAATCTCTCTTACACGATGAGCCGAACCTAATGTCCTCAAAACAAGAAATGACATTGTGGATGTTTTCAGTGAATAAAAACTTCTTCGCAAGAAAGAAAACTATTCTTTCTCTTGCTGACAATTTTTTTTTTTCATCTAAATAGATTTTACAGGAGCCCACGACGTCATTCCTTGTTTTGACAATATTGGGCTTAGGTGGACGTTGAATCACAAATAAATTTCTTGTTTCTCAGTTATCCTTTGATTCGGGACAACACCACATTCTCAAACTTTCGCATTCTATCCTAATTGCTAGCGTCACATTCTCACAAAGCGTGAGAATTCTGCGATGCAAAGATTATATTTTCTTGGGCCGAAAAACACGGTTCTCTTTTTTTCAGGAACGCCCGGTATGTTGCACCACGAGCTGGTTGGCTTGCTTAGTGTAAAATTTGCCACACTCCTTGTCCCTTGCTGCCCCATTATTGTCCCGTTATAAATCTGTTTTGCAAGCATCCAATTGCTGCCGGTAGCTCCGTACAAATTCTTTACGCAGCTTTTGTTTAGTTGGAAGTCGGTAGGTAGCCTTTGGCTACCGCTTGTACATAGATACGTGCGGCAAGCTTGCTTTATGAAGAAAATTTAGTAAGGCACCATATTGCCTAAAAACGGGGCGCTCGAACGTGCCAGAGCATTGGTGAGCTCGGCAGTCATCCCAAGACAATCCGCTATGGGGCGGGTGGTTTTGCCTCGGGCTTGGCTTGGCTCGGCGGTGGCTACAGGAGGCGAGCCACTTTGGTTTCCAGGAGGAGCTCCCCAAAGACGCCTGGTCGCGTTACCTGGCCGAGGTGCGCAAGTACCGGGAACGATCGTGCGACGACGAGGAGAAGACGCGGCCGCTGGTCAAGTGATCGGCCGTCTGCTGCCGATCGGCCCTTCTTGTAAATAATGGCTGGATAGGACTGCCCTCTGTCTCTTTCTTTCTCTCTCCCTCTTCCCTCGACCCCTTTCTCTTTGTGTTGACTTTGTTTGGGAATGTGTTGACCTCGTTTTATATAGCTACTACTCGTCTCGAAGAGCACAATCTTGTGCGGAAATCCTGCTGCGTGGGAATGGGCGAAGCTTACTCTTCCAGCCTGTACTACCTTAACGTCCTGCAGGGACACATCCAAGTGTAGAAAATGGACATTCTATTATAGCGTCGGAATGTGGCAACTCATCCGTGCGTACTTGTGCGGTATTTCTTACCCATTTGCTGTATTGCTAAAAGATTGGAAACCCATTGCTAGCAAGTCAGTACTGTTGCTTAAAGGTATTTTGTTAGTGGTTGATTTCTCCTGGTGAAACTTGAGAGCACAACTTTGTCTTGGCCGACAGCAGTTTCGGCCAAGAATTCACTCTAGAATTTTGTCGGGAAAAATGAATCACTGAAAGATACATTAGAATTGTTTTTCAATCGACACACTTTAACATTTGGATGCCCATTGTGCTTATGCTTGGGCAAACCATGTATTTACTGCTTACTGACCGAGCTTGTGTGGAATCTACTTCCAGTAAGGCAGGCTATGTCACTTGAATTGATGTCACATAACTGGGCCATAGGATGCTACTGTTGCAGGTCTTGTGGTCCAGAAACAAAATCGAATTGGTGACTTTCTCCAAGAATGCATGAGCTTAGAGAGCCAGATTTGTAAAGCTTGTTCAAAGAATGGATTTTTCTTTTTAAAGACATTGTCTTTTGTTTAGTTCTTCCAAATTGCAGTTGCCAACTCACGGAGCTCTAAATACTATGTAGTGGGGGAATTCCGAATGTTTCTTCTCCATTGTAGTGGTTACAGAGGAATTTTGTGGGCTTCAAAACTTTAATTGTGAACCACGAATGTATTTTGCGCCACATGGATGCTGGGACTGGTGCCTTGCAAGATCCCACTCAAGATGTTTTGTAGAGACCGTTTGCTTGTACAAAGTTTGTCTTGCCAGTGCAGTTTGTGTGTGCTCCAACTGCTACAACTCTAAATAAAGAAAAAAAGGCATTAAACCCGTGTAAACCTTCTTTGTTGTCCGTTTCTTCAAAATTGTGCCCACTTTGAACTTATATATGTACAATGGTCACCAAACTTAGTACCATCACGAGCTGGTCAGTTTTTGTCACTTCCTGTGCTATTCCTGGGTTTACTGGCCGAAAATTTTGACACCCCGATCCCAACCCAGCCTGGGGAAAACATTCCAGCTGCCGCAGTGACCAATTTGGCTTGGAGTAGCCAGAAATAGATAGTTTGAGTAGCCGGGCAGCGGCACTAAGTTCAAGGAGCATTGTATGTCTACAACAAAGTAAAAAAAAAAAAAAAGTGATTTAAAAACAGCCTTTCCACTCTGGTGAAGAAGGAAAACCAGTGAAGCTCTACTATGATGAGACGACCTCAAGGACGCCGCCTAGAGGACAGCTAAGATGACTTTTAGGACGGCCTCGAAGACCTCTTGGACAACCTCAAGGACGACCTCGAGGAGGACATCTGGGACGACGCCTAGATAACTTCAGCCTTTCCACTCTGGTGGAATCCAGAGTGAAAAGGCTCAAAAGGTTGCCGCCATCTATGAGCGAGGCCGGCAAGCCGATTGTCTGGTTGCCGCCGTCGCTCATAGATGGCAGTAGCTGTCTAGAGCTTTGTGTCGACGTTTGTTTTGGTACTGGACACAATCCTCGGGAACTTAGCCCTTAACAGCTACGCTGCAAAACATTGATCGGATTTATTTGATTTAAATCAGGTTAATTTGATTTATATCACTAAAGACTGGTAAAAGAAATTCTTTATCACTAGTGTGGAGGTATTTTTAAACGGCAGATTAATTGTCCGATCACCGACAACAATAGGGAATGAATTTCTGTAACTTTATACCTTTAAAATACAATTTAACAAAGTTCATTCGGGTTCCTATCATTTCGTCGAAACTCGTTTCGTGGACAACTTTTCATGGACACGTTTCATTGACATGATTGTATCATCTCCACTTGTTACGCGAATTCACACCGTAGGGACATTGCAAAACGCGCGTATCGCTGGGGTGCATGATAACCGCCCCGCCCCCGTTCACGCCACTTTGCAGCAGCTCATTACAAAAATGCTAACCCACCTGACCGACCCGTACATGCCACTTTGCGGCGACAGGTTCTTGCAGCTTGTTGCAGTTGAAAGTAATTTGAGCTGTTGATGAAACGATTTGTCTATGGAAACAATCTGTCGGTGAAACGTCGTTCGATATACTGATGGCCACCGCTGCGCACCCTGCAGCAGAACCCGCTGCTGAAACTGGGAGAGACTGAAGGAGAGATGATGACAGAAAAAGGGTATTCATAAACTCTACTCTGTTGCGTTGCGCCGTGGTGGTGGTGCGTCGGGTGCACTTCTGATCCGGCTGTGAACAGAAGGCGCCATGCGGGATGTGCATTCCTGCATTGTTTTGGAAGGAAACAGACAAAAACCTGCCTTGTCAAAATGCCGTAAGGGGGTGTGCCAGAAGAGTCTGGGAAAGGCTTGAAGATAGGTCTTTATGCGCTTTTTGCCCACTCGGTTGTCCGAGAACATGAATAGGTGCCACGAAAAGGAAAAACCAGATGCTGTTGGACCAAGATTGCTTGTGTGGGAAGCACTTTGGGTTGAATTCACGAATGTCTGGTTGCCAGACTTGTTTATTTTTTTCTGACACAAATGCGAGAAAACCGCCAAGTTGTATGGACCCTCCCTAGTTGTACGGACTACCTGTAGACTACCGATGTTCGGCGAGTCTCCAAGTTTGAGCGGCCGCCCGATTGTTTGAACTGTCATATGCTCGTTCAAACGATGGCTGCCCATAGACCAAATATGGACCCGGTAATTGCAGTAAAAAGTAAGTGCAGGCCCCAAGTCTTTGAAAGGTGCACCAAAGTGCTCTTTTAGATCCTCATTTTATTGTAACAACTCGATCTACGAGTTTCAAGCAACTTAATAAATCCAAAATTACATTCATCTGTGGCCAATAAGCACGTTAAAAAGAGTGATCAAAGGTCCCGACATTTGTGTTGGTATGGGACGATAGAGGGCACTACCAAACCTTGCTGATTATGGTCAAACGGCGCTTGTCAGCCACCTGCGAGCGATTGGTTCTCACGTGGACGAGTTGGTTGCTCGTCCACGCGAAAACTTGCCGCTCACGAGTGGTTAACAAGTGCCATTCATTGCTCGACCATATTCAGCAAGGTTCGGTAGCAATAATATGCTAATCGGCCTTGTTGTGACAACAAAGGCCGTGTTCCAAAATTTACTCAATCTTGCTCCTGGGTAAAGGTTTTGTACCTTGACGTTCCAAAACCTACCTGCATCCAGTGCTTTTCAATCTGAGTTATCACGTGACGTGACCCGCCCGAATAAGTCTGATCCCTTTGGGCAAGATTTGGAACACAGACAAGATGAGGATCTTTAAAAAGTGCTTTAGTGCCCTCTTAAAAGTCTTGAGGCCTGCACATACTTCTTACTGCAGTCAACGTCAACGGTCAACGTTTGGTCTATGGGCCGGTGTCGTTTGAACGAGCACAAGAGTTGACACTATTGTACCAAAATGAGTTGCTGGGCGAGTTGGATAGACAGCGCTCTTTCCTTCCTGTTGTCTCTTCCTTACGTAACTTATTTGCGCTGTTTAAGTCAAGTTGACACTGGTGGCTGGAAGGGGAAGTGTGCCGGGCGCCATATGTGCGCAATGATAAGGAGGGGCACGATAAGCAATGACAATTTCTAGACAGCCTAGATTGTAGAGAGGATCCATGTTAAACCATGGGGACCATTTACAATTTAATGGCAGATGCCACTGGCGAAGATTGGTTGCAAGTGCACATGTGCTGCGTTTTCGCGTGGCGAGGAGGAAAGCAGGCGAAGAGGCTGAGACTCGCAGATGACCAGGGTGTAATAAAGGCAGGTGGGGAAACGGCCCATAGAAGCCTACCGCAGCGCCGTGACCGGATTGTGTACTCGTCTGCTTGCGGGTACCCCCGATTTGCGACAGATGGCGCTGCGGCGAGGGGAAAAAAATCGGAATCGGATTTGCATGGAAATTTATGGGGAGTGCGCAAAATCAATTGAGAGCACGACAGTTATCTATTGAAAATCCACAAGAAACCATCTCCGTCAGTTTAGCCGGTCGCCACCGGTCGCCCACTTGGAGTTAGAGTTTGCGGTGCTCCACATAGATGGCGCCACAAAAAAAGAGAAAACCGAGGGGTACACAATCCGGTCGCTCATTTGGCTTTCGTTTCCCCACCTGTCTATCTTACACCCTGCAGATGACCAACGCGTTCGTCACCTTCTCGCAGCTCATATTGCAAACGTGGCCCATGAACCACGTGACCCCAATCGAGCAGTTGGAAATTCTTTGTAATGTAGGCTCTCAAAATTTTTGGCACCGCTTAACTCGTCCGCTGGCTCCAGCGCCCCTAGCGGTCCCCAAAAGTTTCTTTGTGGAAGTTTTATCGCGGAATTTAGGCGCATGACCCATTTAACGGATGAAACATGCACAATTTAGGTAGTTTAGGGTGAGGGAGTTAAAAGAAATTGAAACCCGAGTCAAAATATAAAGAAGCTATGTGACTTTTCGACACATGCTGCGGGCAGTACGTGCGTTGCAATGAAAATGTTCTCCACGACTCGTCAGCAGTCTGTAGACTAGTCGTTTTGATCGAAACTCTGTGCAGCCCTTCGCTCCTGCCCAGCAAACTTCCTCTTCCAGCCACAATAAAGACGCACTGAACGTGTTCCGTGGGTGGCCCAAGCAACTTGGCAGTTTTTCCGTGTTCATGTTGGAACAAAAATAAATCTGGCAACCACGTGTATCTGTGAATTCAACCCAAAGTTCTTCCCACATGAGCAATCGTGGTCCAATGGCATCTATCCACGTTCCCTTTAAGGTTAAAGGTTGTTTGGGGAAAGTAGGCTCGGTGTAAACAGTCGATACAAGGATATGTTGATCACCGTCACCAGTGGCCATCACCGACTTGCTATGCCCGATTCACTCGGTCGAATTCCGCTTGCCATTATCAGTATCAACCTTGAGCACTGCAGCTATTGTTCACGCCTTTTTCCGCTCGAGTGATGTCGCAACTGAAATTAGCAAGCAGAATCTCATCATAGTTTTAGCATCCATTCTGCAACATTCATGTGAATGAACCTCCGCGCATCACATTATTTATGCAAAGTTTTGCGGTGTAACGAGCCTTGTTCATTTCGCGTGGGCCACTAAAGTGGTAAGAATTTGCTAGGAAGACGTACAATCAACACTTCCAACCCAAAAAAGATCACAGGGACTCTGATGCCAACAGCGCGACACTTCAATGGTTTGATGACAAGGGACGTGGCACTTCTTCCCAAACAAACCATTGCGCATGCACGGTGCCAGTGGCGTGCTGCTAGGGGCACTCCGGTTTGTAACTATGAACTGGTATATAGACCGCCTATATTACAGAGCTTCCAATTGCTCGATCGGGGTCACGTGGTTGATGAGCCGTGTTTGCAGTACAAGCTGCGAGGAGGTGGCGAGAACGTTTATTGTCTGCAAGCGTCTCCGCCTTCCCACCTGCTTGCTTCCGTGCCACGTGACAACACAGTACATGTGCACTTGCGATCAACCTCTGCAGCGAGCGTTTGCCGTTAAATTTGAAACGCTCCCCATGGTTTGAGTTGGACCCTCAAATCGATCTAGTCCGTTTCATACTTGGTGTGCAAAGCTGGTTGCACGAGCATGGGTTTTGATCTCCTGGATCATTTGCGTGCATTCTCACGCAAACAAAATCATAGATGGAGCCACACGCTCGTGCCAGTAGCTTTGACAGCGTTGTATACTAAGTAAGAAACAGAGTATAGGCTCTCTAAGACTGTATATGGGTGGTGGTGCCCTCGTGAATCTGCAGGCACTTTCTAAAACACTTCTTGTCTTTTGTTCTTTTTACAAAAGAAAACTTGCATGTCCGTCATCCTTACAACTTGCCCTCCTTTCCTAGTCCCTTAGCACATCCCTCCTAGTACTTGCTTCCTTACTCTTCTTAAAGAGAAGGCTAAGCAGTAAAACCTACTAGTATATGTGGGAATCCATTTTTTTTTAGAGCGCAGCTCTTACGCGCCCGTTTTTGGCCTGAGCGGCGTCGCGGTCGGCGTTAACCGTGAGTTCACGTGACCTTTCGGGAGGTCACGAGGGTCACGCGACGTGACGAGGGTCACGTGACCTCACAGTTGCGCCGACGGCGACGCCGCTCGGAGGGAGGAGTAGCAGGCAGGACGAGGATGTAGGGAGGAGGGGTATACCCTCCCTCCAGTACCCTTCCACCCTCCTCCTCAAGAGCTGCACTCCAATTCGGCCTTTCAGGGGTTGTAAACGACTTTCCTTTTTTTGTTGCTTCTCCCACAAAAGGCCAAAAACGGATTCTTTGTACGGCTGCTAGGGTTTCTGAGTGGCGCTGCCTACAAGTTTGCCTTCACCTGCTGCTCTTCCTTTCTTTCACCGCGACCTGACACACTACCATTCTAGCGCGAAAGGCAAAGGCTCTCCCGCTATGCAGGAGCTATGGCATTGCATTTTCATAGAAATCCAGGCATGCCGAAAGGCCTTGTCAGCGCCCCTTGAAACTTCTGCTCCGCAACCTCAGGTTCTTCGGCAGGAGCCGTCTTATGAGCACCGCTGCGGCGAATCCGATTTGCCCGCATGCAGAGAAACACGAACGGAGCCCAGTAAGTTTGCAAACGTGTAAAATACTCTTTAATGCTTCCGTCAGTCGGCATGTTTCTCACACAATGGAACCATTTTTTTCCTCACGCTAGCCTAAACAAAACAGTCGTACCGCTTTGAAGCACTTGTTTCCACCGATCTGTTCACATAAGCACTTAATTCGCTTTTGTATTTAATGGAAAATCAAGAAGGGGAAAAAAAAGGAAAACCTTGCAGGAAGCAGACTGGAAACTGTTTTGATAGTTTTACAAGGAAAGAAAAACAGGCTGTCCCGACGGCAAAAGTTAGGAAGAAAAAAAAGTCTCCACCTTGCAACTCGACCACGTGAACATTTACATAAATAACTCGCACGTTGCCCAGTTTTCCGCAGCGTGGCCATCGCTTGGTTACACAGCGTCCAAGCAGTTCTGCTGAAGACTTTGCCGAAGAGACGCTCGAGGGTGAGAAACGACCGGCTGTCCCGGCGGGACAAGTTTTGCTGAAGCTGAAGAATCCCACCGAGGACTTTTGCTCAAGAGACGCTCAAAGGTGACGAGCACAGGCCGTCCCGACGGGACGACTTCCGTTGCAGAGTTCCGCTGAAGAGACATCTGGAGGTCAAAGGACGAGTAAGTCCCTGCCCCAGGTTGCCTGGAATGAGGAGCGGGTTCCTAGGAAGCGCTTGCAGACAGCAGGGCCCGAACTTCGTCCATCAGGCTGGAGAGCAGCTGCCCGTTGGTGCTCTTGCCGTCCACGTGCAGACGATTGGGATTCTGCAAAGGAACGAGCATAGTCATCCTCACCACTGCGAGTGTGATCATCACCATTGAGCCAGGACTAGAACCATCAAAAAAGCATTGCTACCTCTTTCCCAGACTGTTTTGTGGATGGTGCCATGTTTTTGCCTAGGGCAGAGCGGACACAACTGGCCATAATTACGATTCGAAAACACTTGTTACCGAGCTTTATGCGCGGTTTCGTGAAGCTCAGGTGACATTGTTTTGCTCTGTTGGGAACCGTCTTAATGTTTCTGGAGGACGGAAGAGCGCTTCTTGCGGTTCTGGATAATGCTTTGAATAACTGGAAACACTGAATTTAGGCGACAAGATTGCGAAAGTGACATTATTTTTTCGATTTCAAATAGCATGTTTGGCAATATTGTTACGAAAATTGCATGGAATTCGCAAAAATTAGGTTTTTGCAAAAACTTTAAGTCATTTACAGTACTATACACCTCAGATGTCTTATTCTACCAGCCCCAAACTAGCCAACTGGATACAAGTCCGTTCGCTTTTCTTAGTCGCCCATATATGCCTTCCTGCTGATGAAACGAACAGAGCCGAAACTGAACTCCACAGGCAGACGACGTCCTCGGGTGCTACTCACCATGTGTTTGACCAGCAGGCAGATGTGGTCGTCCTGTATGGAGCGGCTGTACAGCGAAGCACTCAGCTCCACTTGCTCCACCACTGGAAGAAGAACGCAGTCCGCCCATCAACCACCCCTTCTCTCTCTTACTCGCAGCTATTCTGCGTTGGCCTGTGGTTATCGGGCTTCTGCAATCCCTTGTCCCTTGTGGGCAGGCCGCATACACACTACTGGCTTTTCAATCACCGACTCTTTGCGGGCGCCGCCATTTTGTTGCTGAGTGCAGGGAGAGTGCAATTGGCGATAGTCACGGTTAAAAAATTAAACTTTCCGAGCCTCAGATGCTATGTTGGGAAGCCCGGGCGATGTTGTTTTGCCCCATCATTGACCGTTTTATTGTTTCTGGCGACATTTCTGGAGGACTGAAATGTAGGGGTGTGCAAATAGCGGGTCGAATCGGATAGCGCAACGTCATCCCTAGCTTCTGCACTGCTGAAAGAACCGGCTGTCTTGGATTTCCCTTGCATTGTCAAGGCTATGAATGACGCAGCGCTACCTATTTGATCCTAACCACTATTCGCACAACCCTACTGAAATGTATTCCCTGCAATTTTGGATGAAGCCTCAGACCAATGGCAACAATGATTTGAAGCAATAAGATGGCTGAAGTGCTGCTACTCTAAAGCATTGCATATTTAGCGGATGGCTTTAACCAATGCAATAAACTTGTCGGTCAAAGACCCGTTCCAAGCACCAAAGCAACATCGCATGTGTGACTTCGCACTCTTTCGCTTCAATGTAATTAAGCAAATGAAGATACAGTGACGTCTCGTTAATATGGACACCTCCCTTCACCCAAAAAATCGTCCGTAATGTGAGTTGTTCGTATTAACGAGACAAAAATGCATGTATTTTCCCACATTGTCCCCCAAAATGTTGTCCATATAGCGGGGTATCCATAATAACGAGACATGACTGTACTCGCAAAGTGTTCCAGTGACAACAATGACAGGTAGCTACAAAGCCTTGTACTTTGGCAGGTTGTGGCACAGCGCCTGTACTCTTAATATTGCGCATGAAGCACGTCTCCTACTGGTATTAGGGTTGCCACCTTTCCTCGAAGAAAACACCAGTCATGCCGGGGAGGGGGGGGTGATAATTATGTGGGATCGAACTGGTAAAAAGAAAAATGCAGTATTGACAGTAACATGCATAGATTAGATACATACCATTTAGTCAAAAATAAAGTGCCCAAAACAAATCCCGCACCTCTACTAATTCTGTGCAGAAGGGATGAGGAAGCACTGAAGCACTCGGCAAGCCCTTTCTATTGCGCACTGCTCCCATCACTTTAGGACACACATAAGCTATAATTCTGCTACAGATGTGACCCTTCCCCGGAGACAGCCTGCGCATGTTTCAGCACATCCTCGCGTTTGGGCAAAGACCTCAAAAAAGTGCCAGATAAAAAAATGAAAGACATTTACAATCCTCTGTAATACCGAATTAGAGCGCAGCTCTTGAGGAGGAGGTGAGGGGGGTGTGGAGGGGATGGTCACGTCTGACGTCAGACGTCACGTCATATGTGATGTCGGCGTGACGTCACGTGTGACGCCACGAGGGTAAATTTTTCCCGCTAAATTTGGCGGTAAATTTTTTCGCTTAATTTAGTAGAAAAATATTGCCGGGTTGAGTGGCGTCACTTGTGACATCACAAGGGTAAAATTTTCCCGCTAAATTTAGGAGAAACATTTCCCGCCAGATTTAGCGGGAAAATTTTGCCCTCGTGACGTCATTATGGGAATCATCCCATAATGCAGTGCATGGTTACTCAAACTGGAAAGAAACACAACCAAGTTTGAAAGCAACGAAACAAATACATTTTTTTAAATGTCATGCGAACGTTTGTGACTGAAAAGAAAACAAGTGGAAAAAGTGCGGAAAAGAGGGATAACGCCGTGGCCGCCCGCCTCTTTGGATGAGCGATAGTACCACGTGCGTCTGTCAGGACGCCGACAATTGTTAAAGGTTGTACAACCGCTCATTCAACACACTCCCTCCCTCCCAAATGCACAGGCAGCTATCGGGAGGAGAGGGCAGTCGTGTGTATGAGCATTGCTTGTCTCCTGCACCCCGCAGGTGCGGGCTTTCTGCCTTGTCTCATTTCCCTTTCATGTGCCCACTTGCTGCTGCAGCCGCACCCGCTTTGAGCAGGCTTGCCGTCGTTTCTCAAGCAAGCCTGCTCATGTGCTTTTTCTGTTTGGGAGTCCACAACAGATTTTATGCCCTTTGTGTAAACCCCCCCCCCCCCCCCCCCCCAAAAAAAAAAAAAAAAAAAAAACTTTCAGCTTTTTTACGGTGGTGAAGAAGGAAGAGCAGCGGAGCTGTAGCTTCTATTCGTGGCGGTGGCTTTCCAGGCAAGCAATCTGCTCTTCACTCGCAAGGGAATCTGAAGCGCTCAACGCGGTGGAACTTTAGGTGATAGCAGCCTCGCAGCAATTGTGAAACCATTCGCGCTCCTGCGCACATCGCCGCTCGTTCCGTTCCCACTCTTCTTTCTCCGAAGAAATATTGCTGCCATCTATGAGCGACGGCAGCAACCAGTTTCTGGTTGCCGAGGCTGGAAAGGTTGCTGCAATCTATGAGCGACGGCGGCAAGCAGGCAACCAGCAAGCACAACACTCTGGACAGCTACCGCCATCTATGAGAGACGGCAGCAACCAGAGTGTTGTGTCGACCACTGGTGTCGACATTTGTTTGGTACCGGACACAATCCTGGGGAAACTAGCCCTTAACAGCTCCGCTGCAAAAAACAAAAAATTGTTGGCAAGCATTTTTTGTGCTGGTTTTTGTGTTAACAGACTAGAAAAAGGGTCCCCAAACCCCGCCCCTGCACCAGATGCAGCCTGCGCAGGCGTTCCAGCCCGCTGCTACAAACGCAAAAATAAGCGCAAGTGAAAAAAAATGGCACTGCGACGAGCATTAAAAGCACATGTGAAGATATCAGAAAAGATGAGAAAAAAATGCATCAAAATGCGAGATCTCTTGCCATAATATTGTACACTGTCATCCTCAGCATTATTATTTGTAGTTCTGCGCTTCCAGCCTGTGTCACTATGATAAACTTCCTCAGCGTTCTCACGAATACAGTCTAAGCTCGTTACAACAGACCTTGGTTTTCACCAAGATTTCGATCTGTTGTAAAAGGAGTATGTTGTATGCAGATACGAAGTTGAGTCAATGGCACATAGAGGAAAACCAACAGAACTTCACAAATCGGTATGTTATATCCAAATGTCTGTTGCAACCAGGTCTGTTATAATGAGATTAGACTGTATAGGACTTAGCATCCCGCGTCATAACTTTGCATATTGTCATCAGGAGACGTACTATTCTCAATAATCTTGCACCCTGTGCGAATATTCCTATGCACTTTGACTTACGCCTGGTGCGTTCTCCAAGTAGCCATTCTTTTGCAACATCATTAGCAACATAGTATTTAAACGTAAAATATAGTATGTATTCATCCACCTTAGATCTCTTTTTGTATTTTTGCTCTAGTTTAAATTTCAGTATTTAAATGCTTTTTCAACCTTATTTATTTAGTCTTTTCACATCTATATTGTCCTAAATATCCTGTGGCCCTCGAGACTGCCACAGGTCCCCAATCCGACTCTTCAGCCAAAAACTATTGGAGACCCCTGGTTTTCAATAGTTCAATTGGTATGGGGAACAACAACATTTTCAAACCTTCAACTTGTTCATATAGTATTACAAAAAAAATGTCTTCGGCATATTTACAATGAGCCTTATGGAGCGCCAAGTACTAACTTGTTCTACCGCTCCCATGTGATTACTGCATTCAACTTGTATAGATATCGATTAAGTTTGAGGTATAAATTAGAAACAAGAAACAATATTACTAACTTACGTGATCTGGCTCATCTTCAAATAAAGAACATAACTAGTTACTCAAAAAGACATAGAGAAAATTGGGTAGTGCGTACACCTCATTCGAACTATGGAAAAGATTGCCTAAGTTTCATACTGCCGTCTTTATTAAACCGATATCATCTTGCACATTTTGATTTATTTACCTGTAAATACAGTGAACTCCATAGAATGTATGAAACCGAGAGGGTATAATTTTGACAATTTTTTTTTTTTTTTTAAATGTATGCACTCTAAACATTTATGATCACAATGATTTTTTTTTGGTGAGCGTTGTTGCAATGTATTGTTAAAATTACTTTTCTTCCCGCTTTTTTTTTTTTTCTGTGAATACTTTAGCACGATGCTGCTTAGCTGCCAATATTAAGGGTCTGTGGACTCGTCAAGCTGCAATGCTGTAGCTTTTTTTCACAGCTTCTTCATCTTCTTTGTACAAGGTGAAAAATAAACTGATTTGATTTGATTAGACATATTTCTGATTTCCCCCCTTCCCTCCCCCCAAAAAAGTGCTTGGATAGTTTAAAAAATTCCTGAATGACGGTAAGTTTTAGATACAGACTGGCAACTGGCCAAACAGGGTAGGTGGCAACTTTAAGTGGTGTAACTACTGTGTCCTCGAACGTGTTCCCTCGATTTCCGCCTATTGACATCATAAAGTGTCACGACGTTGCTCGCCAAGATCCTGGTGGCGGCAGAGCAGCGCAGGCATATGCAGCAGCAGATGCCTGTTCTGCTGCAGGTTGTTCCGTAGCACGACAGTCGACATTTGTACGACCGATCACTGTGATTGCAACATGCGACGGCACGACAGGCTACTCCTGCGACGCACTTAGGGACTACTTTTGATGCATGGGCAAGAGAGGACGGTGAACGCGTCAGTCGGAGACATACTCCAAGGACCGTACTCTCACGCCGAGGGGTGCGGCCAATGAGCCCTGACGGAAACGACAGGTCGGGACACGTGCACGAAGGGGGGAGGGGGGGCCCCACCTGTGAAGTGGCAGTGGAAGCAGATCTTGGAGAGAACGTGCGAGAACTCAAACTCCACTGCGTCCAGCGTGAAGCCGCTCTTGGCCGACAGCTCCCCCCCACGCAGGAGCTCGGCAAACGTGTCCCTGCATTCCGCATTCGTAAAAGTGATTGTTGTAGACAAATCTCTTACTCGGATTAATAATACTAGAGTCAAACAATTACGACAGACTGCACCGAATTCCAGCCACGATTTAAAGGGGAGCTCCGGCGAAACACCGATCAACAAAGCTGAACTGTTGTAAACAAAATAATTGATTGAAATAATATTTTTAGTGAAGTTATTGAATTTTTAAACTTTGGCCCTCAGCACTTTTCAAAATGAAAAGCTCTTCTGGTAACACGAAGGACGTGACATAAAATGTCGCAAATAGGACAGTACTGTTTATTGCCGACGGCTTACGAGAAGTTTGATGGTGCAAAATAAGCGTTGTAAAAACTCGCTCCCCCCCCCCCCCCCCCCCCCTTGACACAAGAAAAACAAAACAAAAGATACACGCCATACTTTGTTTTTAGACTGCCTTCTCGACCTACAGGTTTTAAGAGATGTGACGTCACGCTTCTCGAAAGTGCGGGCAAATTTGAACGTCGGTTTTGGCGTTACATTTATTTGCCATTCTTTCAATGGGTAGTATTCTGATTTTAGAGGTAATAAATACTAGCATCCCAGGAAGAGGGATTCTGAAGACGTAGTTGGCTTGGGTAGCCCAAGAATCTGCGCTCGTTTAAGTCTAAAGACCTAAACGAGCACAGATTAGGTCGAAAGACCTAAACGAGCACAGTTTGCAAAACGACGTCAACGTTGGCAACAGTCGGGATAACGCGTTGAACAATTTTAACTGCAGCATTTATGGCCACACAAGTACTCGGCACAATGAAATATGGATCTCGTGCTGATACGGGGGAGAACCTGGATTAGCTCGATGAGATGTACCTCTCTGCTGAAAGATAGCGGAAGGCATTGACACATCCACCCATCGAGCTCATGGCGTGTTCTCACATCAGTGGTTTCCCGAGAGAAAGAACAACAAAGAGACCGACAAAAGAGCAGAGGAAGAGAGCAGATGACAGGTTAGGTGTGTTCGCTTTACTGCGAAACGTTGAGGCTGTTGGAGTGCTTGTCAACGCTCTTCTTTACACAATGAACGTTGCCTTGATTTCCTCGAAAAATAAAGTGAAGGAAGAACAGGTGCCAACCTTACAAGCAATATCTGGCTGCTTGTTAGTGTTCATTAAAGCTTTGACAGCACGCAGGATCCAATGGGATCACCAATGTCTGCCGTCACGCCCTGTCGTTCAGAATGTGGTCGAAGCGCATAGGAAGGAGGCAGACCCGTTCCTCTAGATTTATTACCCTGTTTTCCAGACTATAGACTAGTTTAAGCTTTGAAATTTTACTCGGTGCAGACTATCTACGGGTGCAAACTATACAAGGATTTTTATCCTTTAAATCACTCGTTATGATGAGACGTGACGAAGTTTGCGAATCGCAAAGTATGTTAACAATGATTTATATACCTACGATACGAGTGTCCTTGCAAGCCAATAAAGCGGGCATTTGTCGAGGCGTGCTATGTACGAGAATTTTTTGTGCGCAAACTATCTAAAGAAAAACTTTCTCTTCAACCGAAATTTGCCCCTGCAGGTTGAAGACCGGGTGTGGACTACCAGTTCGGAAAATACGGAACACAGACTCGATTTTTTTCCAAGTTGGATACAACTTCCCACAAAAAGGAGCTTGCTGCTGATGTGTTAGTCAGCTCTTTCAGCGCTGAATGGCTTCATACTTTATTGCAAAGTAGACTTCTACCGAACGGGAGGGAAACCGTCAGAAAGCGTCTGCATGTTCCACCCACCGCTTGTACATGGTCCCTATGAGGTACGAAGATACCGGCAGGTGGAGCTTGAAGTCCAGTTTCTCATGCGTAGAACCCGTGTCCGTCTGCAAGTGAGGAAACACACAGGGTCACCAGAAGCTCGCTCACGCATTCCACTACTCTGACTTGCGACTCTGCAATCTGCTCAAATCATACGCTGACTCCGCATAATTTGTTTCAAAACCCCTTCCCTCGTGTAGTCCACTTAAAAAAAAGCCTCCCGAGGCACAATAGGCTTCAGAAAGCCTCGCGAGGCAATCAGAATGTAATAAGTATAGTAGAACTTCGTTGATACAATCCCAGATAATAAGATTTTTTTGGCTTATACGTTCACGATCGGGGCCACAGGAAATGCCCCATAAAGTTGCACCGTTCTCTTACCAGTTTACAAGTTCCTGGATAGTACGATTTCCAGGGAAGTATGTTAAACGTTTAGACAACTTTCGATTCGATGATTCGTTTTTCGGCGGTCGGCTGACAGGACTCCCTTCTTGCAAATGCGGAGCGCTCAGCGAGTGCTCGATTTGTAGTCGCTAGCCGCATTTCAGTTTCAATATTTCACGCTACCGTTTCGGTAGCACTCATGACAGCTACCCTGCCGATTTCCTCGGCGGCACGCACGAGAGAAACTTGTGACAATAGTACCAAATAACTGTATCACCGCCGCGCCGCAAGTCTACAAACGAGCTGTTCAACAACTGAAGCGGTACGAATGCCCCAGTCCCCGTTGACGGTTGAGATCGATGCGAGTGAAGTTCTCGCGCTATGTACGTGCGTACGCTTAATTATCGTTTCGTAGTAAGGATACAGAGATCAACTGCCCTGGCAGTAAATCAGAACTGTACATTTCTGCCACGATCAAGGAGTTTTTCGCGTTGACCCCGGGGCCAATGAGGCACCAGCGAGCCACTTGGGGTGTGTTTGATAAAGTGAACCGAAGTTACTCCGGCGGGTCATGTCATCTGACATTACAAATAGTAGAGCAACGTTAGATGTGGTTAGATTTCACAATACCCGTGTCCATGAGATAGAGTAAATTTTGCAACCTCGGTGCGATAGTGGGGTTAGTGCCAGAAGCGGTAGCGGTATGTTCGCGTATTGCTTTTTAAGCGGCTGCAAGATAAGCACATGATTGACAGTTACTCTCAGTAACTCCTACAAGCACCTTGAGCATGCTGCCTTAAAGCAATCAAAAAGAAACAAATAGATATACTTTTTTTTTCATTTTCACGGTTTTTGGGTTACCGTCTCAGTGGCACGTTTCCCAAGTAGTGTCCGGTCGCGTTCTGCTGGTTCTGCTGCCGTGTTTCGTTGTCACGACGAAATAGAAGAATCACAATCAGATGCGGCGACGCAATGAGCATAGGTGGCCCGCCGAACACCGCCGCCTGCCGCACAGAGGCGGGCCACCGATGCTGCTTCCGATGTTCGCCGTGTGAAGAAACTTGCATGGACCGCTTCCATGCGTCGAACGTACACACCATCTTAACTTCGCTGCCCGCATCGCGTGCGGCCACCAAACACGTGGGCAAAGTATGCGAAACTAGCGAAACAAAGTTTTGCGAACAATCGTAAAGATGGCAAAAAGCGAAGCAGAGTTGACAGAACACGGGAGCAAGCAAGCATCCGTAGCAGACGACGCGAGCAGTGCGAGCACCCGGAGGTGCGGTAGCCGTGGCAACAGAGGGAGAACAAGTGTCGCGGTCAATGGCAGTTGTGCACACCCTCGAGCGCGCGTTTTTGCAAATCACAACTTTGCAATTGTGATGTAGGAAAACATCAATCATGCCAAAATTATGTGGCAGACACCATCATAAAGGGCAACGAAAAGGAAAAAGAAAAAAAAAGAACACTGCTTCAAAGCAAGACCAAGATGGTGACCATCCGCAAAGTTGAACGCAAGCGGCAATTGCTGAAAGTATGGCTCACATTTGCGGCTTGAGTGCGATTTGGAAGCCGCCGAGATGCCGTAAATATTTTCTCGGTGAATTAGGAGCTGATTATTACCAAGGAGGCAGTTTAAGGAATACACAACCCAGAATTGTAGCTTCCTGATTTTACGGTTCTCAAGGACTGTAGCAACATTTGTATCATACGATTCCCTGGAAAATAAGTTTCTTTCCTCCCATTTTTTCTAAACTTATCAATGAAGTTATACTGTACTTAATGATCTTTTTCTAAAATTTCTGTCCATACATCTTACAGTGCAATCCACTTATAACAATACCATATATAATAATGTACTTATAACAATCAGTTTCTAGTCTAGGTGCGACGATAATCAGTTATAAGGATTGAATTTTCGGGTTTTCTTATTGTTATAGGTGGGTTGCACTGTATACAGTTGAACCCGGATATATCGAATTCAAAGGGGATTGTAAAATAGTTTGATATATCCATAATTTGATATACAAAAATATGTTAACTTAAGCTCCAGTTAAGATTTCCGCGGGTCCCTGCTAATACCGAAGGGCGTGACAAACGGGACCTTACCAAATAGAGCCTCTAAGAGCCACTAAAAACAGTAAAGCTTAGTTGGTGAAGATCATAAACACCCCCGCGTTACGGGACAGTGCTTGCAATCGTTTACGTGGGGCCACAACCTCTACACAACACCGGCAACAAAACACAAAAATAATTTTAAAAATGAAAAAACAGAAAAAGCGAGTTGCACAAAAAAAGCAAAACAACTTTGGATCCACAGAATAAAGTTAAGCAAGCAACAAAAAAGAAACCTCACTAAATTCGGGCAGCAAAAAGAAAAAGGGGGCAAAGCAAAAACGGCCAAAGAAAAAGGCAAACAAAGATAAGGCATCCAAAGTTTGCTCAATCATTGTTGTCAACACACTCAACTTGATAACACACACCACAGCGCACTATAGCAAATAACACTCACACCTTACACACGAAAAATAAAGCAAAATTCAAACAAACCGCGCTGACTGACAACTCTTTTTATATAACTTTGTCTTCTTCAACCTCTAGCACCACCGAATTTCCCAATTCACGCGCACCGATCTCCTAGATGCCTAAAAATGTTTTCTCTTTTTCTGTCAGGTGTAAAGATGGTGTACTTATACAGTTGTTATAGCTCCTGGCGATATGTTCTGCTTCGATAATTTCTCGAGTTAATTGGTTTCTGTTCCTGCCTAAAATTGTACAGGATGGCAAGTGAACGTCGCACCCACAATCCCGGCAGTGTATGCCTAGATGCCCTGAGTTGGCTCTGGAGCTGTTGTTGTTGTGTTCCCGGAGCCTATCGTTAAGGCATCGTCCGGTCTGACCAATGTACACTTTCCCGCACGAAAGGGGAAATGAGTACACCACTTCATCGGCACACTCAACGAACCTGTTCTGATGGTTTTTGGTGCAGCATACTGTTCGGTGGAAATCAGGTGAGTTGACTTGTTTACACAAGTTGCCAAGCTTATTGGGAGCAGTAAAGACGACACTCAACTTGACGAAAGCTTTTTCTTTTTTATTTTATTTTGTGGCTAAAGAGTCGCGCAGGGACTACTTAGGGGAAAGAGCTACCGTTCCAATAGCGGACACTCCCTGCCCTCCCTACGCAGGCATGTGCCCTTCCTCTTGCTTTTGCCATCCACTTATTTTTTTACGGTTGTTTTTCTTTCTTTCTTACAACTGCTCTTTTGCTGCTTATCCTCGCGCACATAGTTTGCTGGCATGGTGGTCTGCCATCCCCGCAACGTGAGCTATGTGCTCGCGGCCGGCGCAATTCGACTGCGGGAGAAAGGACGGGCGGCCGTGCTTTGTTCCCTATATCAAGTGTCCCCGACGTGGGAGTACGATACAGAAAGACAACGCTCCCATACTACTGCGTGCGATTTTCAAGGGGATATTTAGACCATTTGATATAAACAATAATATGAAATACCAGGGTGTGATATAACCGGGCTCGACTGTACGTGTTTCACGTGATGTTGATGAACTTTTGCCCCCACGTTTTTGTATGGGTTAAGACAGAATTTTTCAGCTCGCTCCAGTTCTCTTGCATCGTTATCGACTGCAGTAGCAGGAGTTGTTGGGAACTTAAAAGAGCATCGGCTGGTACTCAATTTTTATACATAGCGGTCTTTATTCGGGTTTAAGACGATCCGACGATCCAGAAGTCGACTTGTCGCTGGCCCCAGTAAATGCTGCCGGGGTGGATCCGAAAGGAAACAAATTGGGACATGCTCGGATTTAAGCGGCCCAATGACGTCCTCGATGGTGATTACCAAGCTCTGTCATCGACGGAACCACTGGCCACTCGGCGTTCTTGGCGCTGGTTATAGACCATTACATTTAGCGCTCTCTGAGCGGCACCATTTTGTTCGACAGCAGCGCCCTCTCCATACATCCGGGAAATTCAGCGGGTTCGGCGGGGTAAAACGAGAGAGAGGGCACGCGCCCGACTCCGTTAGCAGACGACAAACCGGAGGGTTGCCATTCTCAATGTTTGGGCTGTACCGGCGGGCTGTACGGAACATCGAACTCTCGCTCGTGGCTGCCGCTGTGAAGTGGTTTGCGTTCTTAGAATAGTTATGGCCACTCCAAAATATATATAGGCAGCCTATAGCTCTCTGTTGTTCTATTTCGGTAAATGATCAACTGACATATCTTTTTTCACACTTAAATAGCAGTCGAGTCAGCCGGCAGTACTACCCTCAACTACTGCGTGTATTGCAGCAGGAGAGCACATTTTTATTTATTATTTCAGACTACCACTCATGGTTGCTAAAGGCCTACACCAGTACCAACTTTGTGTAGTAAAAAAGATACAGCAACCGGATTTACTTTTCGCCGGAGAGACCGGCCAATCTGACACAGTTTCCCTATTTTTTTTTTTTTATTTGCACGCAGGTAACAGCACAATTGGACCCTGTTATTCTTTTTATCTAGCATAGTATTACACAATTACTGGCATACCAAAATCTGCGCATTTGCGCCTGAAATTTCCAAAATGACGCGATTTTAAACAGAGTTTGTACGCCAGCCGGATGCTAGGTACAGCCCACTCGGCGGAGCAGACGACATGCGGAATAGAGGGGGAGGGCATTTTTTACTCTCTATTACCCTCTCTGCTATGACCCTAATGGAAGGGTCTATATACCGAAGCATGGCGAGTGCCATGCTCCGCCGGCTCATCTGAAGTCCGAATAACGACAGGTATGCGTAAACGTTGAGAACCAGAAGACACTCCTTCGTACCGCCGACCACTCCGGCAGATGCGGTCGATCGCGTTGCATAAACGACTCTACCGAGCCGGAAAACGCCGCCTCCGCAGATGGAAAAATGCGGAGTGAAAGTTAATCAACATGGCATTCCGCGAGATTTCGAGCTGGGAGTACGTCCCGCAAAACCACCCTACAAGGAACCCCAGAAGGGCCGCCCGTCGGTCACTCACCACCAGCATGTAGGTGAAGGTTCCCCGCAGCCGCTGCGCCATGCTCACGCTGTCCACGGTGAACGCAAACTGGCCCTCGTTGGCCGTGCAGGGGGGGAGCTGGAAGGGCACCTTAACGCCGTCGTGCGAGTCCACCTGCAAGGGGGCTTCTCCTTAGAGCTACTAAATAGAAGCCACGTTTTGGAAGAAGCTCCGGCAAAATTTTCTTATTCGCTCATTCGCCTCAAAACGAGTTCAGCACATTGACACATCTGAACTAGTAACGGAAACTACGAGTCACAATCTTTTTTTGTTTTTGCAAAGTTTTGGGAGTATGTATTAAATTTGGCTTGAGAGGCCCTACTGGCAACACTGAACATGTGATGTTCGATGTTGTCATGTCGGGAAACACGAGGGCAGTGCAGCTTGTTCCCGACAGGTTGCAAGAAGTTTGGTAGTGTGAAATGAATGCTGGTTTAAGCCTGAACCAACATAACAAAAAAAACATGAGCAAAGTACTGTGTTTCTTAGACTGCCTGCTCGACTTGCAAGTTATACAACAGGCGACATCGCTCCACCCGATATGCGGGAAAATTTGAACGTTGATTTTGGCACAACCTTTGTTTGCCATTTTCTCAATTATTATTTTGAATTTAAAGATAATAAATAGCATGCCTGGGCATTCCGAAAATATGTTTAGTACAGGTGGCTTGGAAGACCGACGCCCTTTAACTTGGTGCTTTTAAATCGTTCTGCCGGGTAACTGAAACGACAGTGATTGTGCACAGACAAACTGACGATAGTTAAAGGGCAACTCCGCTCAATTCCGAAGATTTCGGGATAATGATTGATTTCGAATTAAAAAGCCCTAGTAAAACACACTACGTTGTTTGCTTTGCGAAAAATGGGATATATATTTTTAAATCTGATTTTAAATACGAGCGGAAATCGAAACCAAAACTTCGGCTCCGCCCGGTAACATTGGCCTCGGGTCGCCAAGTACATGGCCATCACGTGGTACGAGATGTCACGTGATCCTCACCCCAACGACGGGCGGGATGGGGGCGGCGAGCGTGCGGTAGGCGCGAGTGTCGTCTGCACCGCACTCTTCGCCACGTTTTGGTGTCTATGGCATTCGACGACGTCTGCACAACTGCGGCATAAGTGTGCGCGCACGTGGTGTCCGTAGTGTGGACGAAACTCCGAGAGACAATAATCACAATCGGTGAGACGAAGACGGCGGTTGTGACGCGGAAGACGGCGGTAACGGCGGGACCATGGTGGGCGGCCGAACGCCTCCCAAGAAACGCGCTGCGCAGGCGCGTTACGCCAATCATGTGGACACTGCTGAGCGCCGAGAGGCAACGTTGCTGATGTCATGCGCTACGCTCGCCCGGAGAAGTGAAAACAAGCAAAAGGGGGCCATGTAGATGGCGTTTAGCTCAATGTTGGCTCCGCCCATGCCGTAGCCTTGACTGCGCTGTTGGTTGCGCCTGAATTCGCCCGCTCAAGTCAGCCGATTTCGGCAACTTGGCGAGTTGCAAAGTTTGCCGGACCGTTTAAGAAACATTTAGACAGAACTGCGTCGTAAGATTTCACGTGTGGTCTTCCTAGGCGATACTGAAGAGGACTGCATTGTTTTTTCAAAACCAAAAATGAAGCGGAGTTGCCCTTTAAGTCTTTTTTTGTTTTCTTTAAGGAATTATGTAAAATGGCTATGACCGGTCTCAAGGTCACAGCACTTGTGAGAGAGGGTTGTGCAGCTTATGGCAAAGAATCTACCAGTTTCAAGGTTTTCTTTTGAAGAGTTCACTCGGTTGCTGCATTAACAAAGGGTGTATCTGTGAAGGAGGTAGGTGGTGACAGCATCGTGTATATATAAGGAGTTAGCGGAATCAATTAGTTAGCCGAGTTTGAGACCATCTCCCCCTGGGTCTCTTTCTTTGACTTGAAAGTTTTTCGCCCTTCCCTCACCACTGTCTCGGGTGTTACACGGTATGATTAGCAGGCTGAATCCTCATCTGAAATTGCAGAAAAGGTTCTATCGTCCCCCAGGAACCTTAGAACGGGCCAGCCCGCAACAGAGCAAAACAATACCACTCGAGCATCAAGACAACATATCTAAAACTTAAAAGGGTACTCCGGCGATTTCTTCATGGTCCCCGATTTGCTTGAAATTTGGCTAAGCTCGCCAAACAACATCGCCAAAATAGTATCCCAAATATTGGGTCAAAATAAGTTTTTTTCACAAAGTTATTGAATTTACAATTTTGGTCCTCACAGTGTTTTTCAAACTGAAAGTCTCTACTGGCAACCACGAAAAAGTGACGTCATTGGAAGTGCAGGGGTTCACTCTTTGGACTGTAGAATTTGTTCCCAACTGATTCGAAGCAGTTTCATGGTGTCAAATGAATGCTTTAGAAGCTTGCTCCAGTCCCCGCGCTCCAGCACGGAACAAATGATTGGCATATTCTATTTTTTAGGCCGCTCGCTTGACTGGCAAACTTGCCTTCCACTGACGTCACGGCACTGAAAAGTGCGGGTATATTTGAATGTTGGTTTTTGCATCATTTTTCATTTGCCGAATTCGCAATAACTATTATGAATTTTGCGATACTAAATAGCATACCGGAAAGGGTAAAGGCCGGGGAGTCAGAAAATGTAGTTAGTTGAGGTAGCTCAAAAAATCGCCGGAGTACCCCTTAACCCTTTCATGGTCGCATTTTTTTTCCAAGGGCGCACCCCCGTGGTCGGGTTTTTTTACTCGGTGTGATAGCAAAGAGAATTCACAGGTTTATTGTAGCATAAAAAATATAAGACTTAAAATAAATAGTAACACACACTTCAAAAGATATGCGGCACGCTCGCTCGAGGTAGAACAAAACAAAAAGGACTAAATATTTCGAATTTTCAACTTTCTAGTACTTCTTCAAAGTGTGGTAGTCCTTAAAGCAGGGTTCCACACACAGGCCCTTGTCACAAGCGGCGCACATGAACCTTGTGTCCTTTCTTTGCTTCGGTCTGAGAGCTGTGTTGGCACACACGTGGCACCTTCGTTGGGTGTGGCTGCCTTTCGCCGATGTTTGTGGCACCCTCTCGAGGAAGTGTCGTGCTGTCAGCCTCGTTGGGTTGTCTCCGCTGGGCCTTCCACCCTTCCGCCTCTCGGTATGATGCTCTTCAACGAGCTGGTATACGACTCTTCTTCTGAACTCGGCGAACGTGATCTTGGAGGCACTCCTTTCACGGTGAAGGAGGAATGCATTCAACAAAGACATGTCCAGAAGGTGAAAAAAAAACTTCTTGTACCACTTCAGCGTCTTCCTGATGCTTTCAGTGAAGCTCAGCTGCATGTCTACTTTGTCCACGAGTCCCATCTTCTGGTTGTACTCAAGTACGCAAGCTGGCTTTTTCTGTGGAGTGCCTGTTCTTCTGTCCACCTTGCCAGTGTCCTCAAGATGAGCTTCATGCATTGAGGTCAACATATGCACTTCCCTTTTGTCACACCACTTCAGTGCCAGAAGAGTATCGGTATGAAATGACTCTACTTCTCCCCTTCTCATCTTTTTTTTGAACTTGGGAAGTCCCTTCCTGTTCTGTCGAACTGTTCCGCAAGCATTGGTTTGCTTCCCTTGAAGATATTGGAAAAGCGCCGGACTGGTGTACCAGTTGTCTACGAAAAGAGAATGCCCCTTTCCGAGATAGTGGTTGAGCAACTCGAGGACAACTGAGCCCGAAAATCCCAACTCCTTCATCATCGTCATTGTCGTGGAAGCTCCGGTATACACGATGAACCTCAAGATGTACCCGGTCATCACGTCGCACAGAACAAACATCTTCACTCCAAAACGGTGCCTTTTTGAAGGGAGGTACTGGCGAAATGAAAGACGTCCTCTCCAGGGCATCATCGACTCATCGATACAGAGATCTTGGTATGGGACCAGGAGACTCGCAAACTTTGCCTGAAGTGTCTCCATGAGTGGCCTGATTTTTCTTAGTCGATCTGCTGCATCAGTGCTGGCACTGAAATGAAGCACTCTTAGCAAAAGGCAGAAGCGATTTACTGAGAAAAGCCTTGAAAGAAAGGGGGTCTCAGTCATTGGGTCGGTGGTCCAGTAATCCCTCAGAGCATTTTTTCGGACGAGCCCCATCAGCAGAACAGCTGCCAGAAAGCAGTAGATCTCAGCGAGACCAACGTCTACCCATGCTTTCAGTCGCGATTTCCGTGCGAGGCCGGGCTGCGCAATCAGCTGGTGCGCGTAGTCATTCGTCTCGTCTGCAATCGAAGACACAACTCCCTCGTCGAAGTAGAGTTTGAAATAATCTGCTTCTTTCGCATCTGGCTGGAGTAGAGTGCCTGCAGGCTGTCCAGAATGCGACGCGTCAAATGGAAATATAGATGGGGAGAAGTCTTCACCTTTTTTCCAGTCGGTTTCGTTTTGACGCGCCCGCTTCCGAGATGGTCCAGCAGACGGTGCGGCTGTGTCGGATTCCGATTCCGAGCTGGTTTGCAGTTGTTCGTCGGACGTCGAGCTGTCGTCCGACTCAGAGTCCGAGAAGGGCTCAAAATCTGAATCCGAAGAGCCATCGCTCCAATCTCCGCTACCTCCGGAGCAGCTGGCACGCGCAGCCATCTCGAAAGTTATCGCGTGCACAGAGCGTCCAGTTTCGCAATTTCAAAAGCCCCTCCAAAACAAACGCGACGGGAGATAAGCGGTCGTAGTTCCCTACAACCCTATGAGATGGCAGCACGTCCCCGCGAGCGCGCCCGTTCACGCAGAGGCGGGAATTTTTGAATGAGGAGTCGCGGACGTACATGTACGTCAGCAACCATGCGGGACGCACCCGCGCTGACGTACGGGTACGTCAGTGACCATGAAAGGGTTAACGAGTCACATTTTTCAATTGTAACTATAGACAAGTGCACGTAATCCGCATTGGGCAACAAAATGGCTGCATCCACAACAGGCACGTAGCCTAGATTTTGTTTCGGGGGGGGGGGGGGGGGGGGGGGCCAGCCCATGACAAAATGCTGTATGAGGGGGAGGGGGGAGAGAAGGTCCCAGCAAAATGGAAGATTTCGGGGGGGGGGGGCCGGGCCTCATGGGCCTCCCTCCTGGCTACGTGCCTGACCCACAAGATAATCAGGAAATAGAGAGTCAATACTCTGAGTGTAGCTTATTTAGTTCCCCTGATTCACTAAAAACTGTTTTTGCTTGAGGAAACTGCAACTTCAAAAGACCAAAGGCAACACGGGTTATTGCTGTGCCCCTTTTAGTAGTTGTGTTTTGGTTTTGATCTAAGCAATGTAACAGAACGCTCCACTCTCAGAGCGCAGATTGCAACTGAGTTTTGTCATGCATCTCTTTTAAGAATCCCCGAGAGAGCTCACTGGAGGAAAGCTCCCCGGAGGTAAGCTTACTAGAGAAAAGCTCACCGACTTTCGTGTGGGTCTGGAGAAAAGCTTACCAGTTTTTTTACTGGCTAAAAAAAAAAAAAAAAAAAAAAAGCATACCTTGATTTTTTTTTTCTTTTTATTAACACCACGTGGTAGTTATTGTTTTAGAGTAGTAGTGCCACTGAAGCTACAGGGGCCTTCTACGAACGTCAAAATTACGCCGCAGCTTGTTTTGCGATTAGTTGAAGAGGAAGAATAAGTCGAAATTTCATTTATTTTTTGTGTAGAAGTTAATAAACCGAGACGAAAATGGATGCCTGTTTGACATTCAGTGAACATTGAAGGTTTAATGTAAAAGTTATTTGGCAAAAGTAAGAAGGTAATTTCATGGTCCCTTTAAAAAAAAGATGGGATGTGAAAGATTTGGCAACGCAGTGCTGGCTCTGTACTACCTAATTCAATACCTACCAGTTCAGGAGCTACTCAAGCTGCTATCTAGGTAGTATATTGATTATATTTTTTTTCCTACCTATTCTATCGATTTCTTGAACGTTAGTTATTCTATCTTCATTGTGCCACCCATGATGTGTATGATACTAATACACTTGCAAATAAAATTCATTTGCTAGTGAAGTGTAGAAAAATCGCATGCACTTACTCACACAGTACGTCAGTTGAGTGAACGCTCGCTTCAAAGATTCAGAGGTGAGCTTTCCTCCGCGTTCGTCAAAAGGTTGGTGAGCTTCTCTCCGTATCTGACAGTTTTGTGGTGAGCCTTTTTCCAGTGAACTTTCTGGTAAAATTTTTAGAGTCGCTGATTTGCCTTAAACTTGGTTCACCATGTTAATACACACATCGAAACCAAGTAACCTAATTACAAGTCAAAATAATTTGTTTTTGCCAAGTTAGTGAATTTGCAAATTTGGTACGCGAAGCTGGAAGGCACTACTGGCGACACTGAAAACTACGTATAATGAAGCCACCAGCATTTGTTGCAAACTTTGGGGACAGATGGTGCCACTCACCCCCCGCACCAGCTTGGTGTTGAGGGTGTCGAGGATGCCCAACTCCATCTCCTTGAGCTGGCAGCTGCTCTGGTTAGTGAAGATGATTGACACCACCACCTGGTTCACCACTCCGGGGAGGGGACGCACCTCGTAGACCTGTCGAGGGTGTCGGGGTGTTAGGGAAAATGCAACTTCCCCCAAGGACGCCGCAGCTGCATGTTACTTAACGCATGAATGTCACTCGGGTGCGCGACTTTCTTATTTTTACAATACCACCCCCATTGTCAATATTGTTCCCTCGGGCAAGCATGGGAGTGTTATATACTATAGGGTGTTTGTTTCCCAGTGAAACCAAGCTTCTAAAGGAGCACCTTTTTCTATATATTCACTGCATTCAGCGGGAGTTGACACCACGACGCTACCACAATATTTGGTGCCCCAGTAGACATCCGGTAGTGTATTTATTTGTTCTTGAGCAACGCACAGTGATTAGGTAAAAAGATTTTTCTTCGGAGAAGTATTTCTAATATGTCTGTAAGAAGCTGCGTGGATTGTAGAGAGTAGGACAAAGAACAAAAGCATGCGAGACAAATGGAAAAGAAGAGGAACACCAGAAGCACACAGGAGTTAGCCGAAAGGGGCGGTAGCAGGCTTATTTGTGAACAAACATCGGTAAATATATATATATATATTTTTGGGATGGCATTATTGGCCTAAGCAGATGTCAGGGTGCGAGCGCGATGTGATAATTAGCAAATAGAGTACTACCTAGAATGCATTACTTATGCCGTCAGGTAAAGGTATGTCCTGAATCGGGCATCTCATCTCGAACTGCCGGCACTACATTTGGGCGGAGTCTCAAACTACGTGCCAAACCAACAAGGGGCACCTAAAACGCCCCAGCGGAGGGCTGAGCATTAATTTGGACCACCCGGGGACCTTTCAACGTTTGAATCCTTTGGCCGGGATTCGAGCTCGCCACCTGGGGATTTGTAAGCTGGTGTCTTGCCTCGGAGCCACTGAGGCTGCTTGGGTAGAGTCTGAGCTTTTGAAAATGCATAGTTTATTGTCGGCAGCAAGAGAGACAAGCTCGCTCGATATATTCCAGAACCTATACTCAAAAAGAGAAGAACTCACCAGTTTGACATTCTGGTCGTCAGCAAGCAACTTGTAGTTGGATGCAGGCTGTGGGGAAGAAACACACTTTTTTCACCTTCGCAACTCACACTTTTAATGCAGAATGTGTTAGTATGTGGCTGGCACCCAAGCACATCTTGTTAGGTGCCAGTAACAAAAGTTGACGGGCCAACTGCCAGCCGAACCATTTCTCTGAGTGCCTACGTGTTACACCCGGCGAGAGTAAAACATCACGTGTTCAGACGTACAGTGGCGCTTTGCTCCGAGATGAAAAAGCAGAGAAAAAATGAAGCACACTCCTTCGCCGCAACGGGTTGACATAGTTTCGAGTGTCTGGTCTTCTTTCGCCATGAGCTGTTGACAGGGCTCTGCTCGGCGCTGCCGCAATCCAAGTGTTCTGTTTTCTGCAATCATCGTCTACAGCGTCTCGCACTTCAACGGGCCCCAGGTAAGTCGCAATTACGCTCAACCACACCCACGGAGTGCTCCCGCGCTTACCTTGCACGACACTAGGCCGCTTCTTGCCATCCAGTTCCCACACGCGTACACCAGTTTCTCCACACTAACACGTGACATTCTCTATTACCACTGCCTTTGTCACGCTAATACCGCAAAGGGGTGACTTTTTCACACAGAATGTGTTTTAGGGCAGGTTTCCAAGCCTAGAGTGTCACGAAACGTTACGAAGGTGTAATGACACGGCCGGTTGAGTCAAATACTTTCTGGTGTGTGCACTACCGTTTACGAGGTCCATAGGCTCGTGAACTGCTTCGCTGCGTCGATGCCAAGACCAGGAAGGGTTTCTCGAGACTGAAAGAGTTTGAGAACCTTCCACTACACCCCGTTCATCCCCATACCGACAGTGGCAACCGCCTCCCTTTCATCACCTGACCCTGCTCTCTGCACGTGGCTATGGGCAAAAGGGTGATCACGTGGTGAAAGATAGGTGTACGATCGGTCAAACAAGCTTGTGTCTTTCATTGCACCATCAGCTTAGGGGTGAACTAAGTATAGATTCTTTGCAGCAGCTGTGCATGGACACCGCCATAACCGACCTTCAGTTTTTGTTTCCTCCTATTCTGTTCTCTTCATTTCGTTGTTACCACAGCAGGACAGGTTATTGCCATTTTAGATTCTACCGAGTCCTTCTCGCCAGTATAGGCCTTTGTGGACGCTAGTTGACCCCTGCTTCGGTGGCTCAGGATCTCGGTCGTCTTGGTAAAACGAGAGAAGGTCGGCAATGGGGGCTCTAATCTGGCACGTGTGTAAAGCGTCTCTAGGGAGTTCTGAAAGATGGGTCCCACTCACGGGTGGCATGCAGGGTGTCATGGGGGTCATGGCCACCCCCGGCTCCTTGGAGGGCGTGGTGATCCCTGGGGCCTCCTCGTACTCTCGCTTGTCCTTGGGCGTGTCCTGCTGCAGCAGCATGGCAGAGTGCTCCTCCCCCTTGCCACTCTTCCGCTTCTTCCTGGAGGACTCGCGCTTCTTGCGGGTTCCCTTCTGCAGCGACCGATGAAACGCCGTGAGGAAGTGGGCACGCGAAGTAACGCCTAAACGGACTTTTCCAGTTTGTGAAGACGATAGACTGACAACCACAATCCAGCCCTTAACCCCGTGGGGTATTGTGGTTTCAAGACGATGCCACAAAACAACTGTGGTACAAGAGTTGAAAGGTTCAACCTATATTTAAGCTTTTTTCAATAATTCAGCGCAAGGGAAAAAAAATATAAAAAGTAACAAGTTAAGTTTTACGAAGAAAAAAAATTGATTTCAGAGAACACTCTCTCAATAATGCAAATATTTTTGTTTCTAAGAAAATTTTGAGTGTGCAAACTATTTTTTCAGAATATATTCGTAAAGCATACGTGGGTCAAATTTGTACACGGCATGGGCAAACTTGAGTGGGTAGTAGGGATCAATCGACCAATCGGCTTACCTCCCGTGACCTGGACAGTGGCACGTCTTGACCATTGGCTTCAGCCGCCGGAGCAGCCGAAGTCAAAGCTTCTGCCGTTTCGTCGGTCCCTTCCCTCGTAGCAGCCGGAGACAGCCAAAAGTCAAGGTCCTCCTGCATCACAGCAAACCCTCATACACACCTGTCCAAACCTGCTAAATTTAGAGGGGAGTAGGCTTTCGCACAGCTTTATTACGCAGGACGGGTTCCTCAGCTGTCAATCAAAAGAGATAGACTTTCCCCCAAATAGAAAATTTTGAGAAAACCTCCCTCAGTTCAAAAGAATGCTATGAAGTTTACTTCCCTGGGAGCACTTATCGGTTATATGCTCCGTTCACCAATAAGCTGACACGGTGGTGGAACCCACGTGTTTTTTGGACCATTCAACCACCGGTGTTAAACCACGTGATCACAATTTCATGCTCATAGCACCACACAGTGGGGTTCGTCGATAAAAGGCAGGTAAATAATTGGTCCGGCAAGAACAAAGCTTTCCTCCACCCTGTTAGCTTAGCGGTGGACGTACAGCAAGCATACTTTCTTCGATACAAATAAAGTAGCCCAAATGGGACGAGGACAAGCACTTACATGGGCTCCTCAACTTCAACGTCTGATCAATATTTTAAAAATTGGGGGACCTCAACCCCTAGGGGTCAGCACATTTGTTCGTAGCATATACCTCGGCCTGAGTGAGCATTCTTTCAGCTGCGCGAGTGGCGTTCCCCGCCACTCGAGCGTCTGTAAACGCATTTCAAGAAAGGAGACTTTGATATATAATTTTACTAGCTCAGCTTGCATTCCATTAAGCCTGGACGACCCTTTTGTGCCGTCGTAGTAGTCGTGGCCAGCTGCCACGGTGTAAGAAATCGCAACTGCCACAGGGGCACAGTCATCACGGCTAGAGCACTAAGGCTAAAGAATAAGAATCTCAAGAAAAAATAAAAGCCATTTACAACTCCCTGTAATGCCGAAATAGAGCGCAGTTCTTGAGGAGGAGGAGGGGAAGGTACAGAGAGGAGGCTATGCCCCTCCTCCTCTCCTCCCATTTAGAGGAACATTTTCTGCCAAATTTAGCGAGGAAACTTTTCTGCTAAATTTAGCGGGGAAACTTTTCCGCTAAATTTAGCGGGGAAATTTTTTCCGCTAAATTTAGCAGGGAAACTTTTCCGCTAAATTTAGCAGGGAAAGTTTCTTCGCTAAATTTAGTGGGGAATTTTCTCCGCAAAATTTAGCGGGGAATTTTTTTCGCTAAATTTAGCGGGGAATTCCTTCTGCTAAATTTAATGGGAAAATTTTTCCGATAAACTTAGCGTAAAATTTTTTCAGCTAAATTTAGCGGGGAAAATTTTCCGCTACACCTAGCGGGGAAATTTTTTTGCTAAATTTAGCGGGGAAAATTTTCCGTTAAACTTAGCGGGGAAAATTTTCCGCTAAATGTAGCGGGGAAATTTACCCCTAATGCACTGCGCGTTTACGCCGACGCCGACGGCGACGCCACTCAACCCGGAAACGGGCGCCTAAGAGCTGCGCTCTAAAAAGGCTCGAGGTACACCTAAGCACTTCTCACGAGTTGTGAATGCGAAAGCATGAATGTCGTTCTCGCGGGCATCCACGTGAGGTGGACGCGCCGCGTATCATCGATTGGTGCGCTGGCGGCGCGGGCATGCAGCGCCATGGGGTGGCTCTCCTTGAAACTGACGCACGGCGGCCCCATCCCCCAGATATCAGCTTCATTTCACTGCCATTTTGCGTGGCCTTTTGCGCGGCTTGAAAGCTGGGAGACTTCAAATTGCAGCTTCATTTAGCTGCCGTTTTGTGTGGCTGCGGCTTCACTTCGCTTCATTGGAAGAGGGAAATTTAGCTGCCATTTGGCGTGGCTGATGACGACGGCTCGCTCCACAAGACAGTTAATGCCCTTTCACATTAATAAAAATAAAAGTGGGTTGATCCCGGAGGCAGTGCAATATTAGCGGTATTGCACTGCCTCTAGGATCGAAAGAATTTTCTCATCCAGAGCCACCTGTTCTCACCGAGTACATACACATAATTTACTGTTTTTTTGAAGCTCGTTGTGGATAATATGATTTTCGGATGATATAAATATTTTCCATGACCCCAAGAGATTCCTCTCATCGAGACTCTACTGTATAGCGAGCATATTCGCTCCACATTGTTTTGTAGCTCGTCCAAACGTCGCTCAAGGAAACTCGAGGAAACGCCCGAGCAAACAAAGGGTCGGAGCCCCCGAGGTGCCTCCTGCCCCCAGCGGGGCACCAACCTTGGCATGGGTCGCCGGAGCGTCTCCCGCGCTCTGCTCCCCGTCGACCGTCTCTGCGACCGCGTTTGCAGGCGGCGACTCCTCCCGACGGCGGTGCTTGCGCTCCTTGGACTTGTGCCGGTGCTCTTTCTTCTTCTTTCGGTGTTTCCGGTCTCCGTCCTGAACAAGGATGGCAGAAACTCAGCCCCTTGGCCACTTACTAAGTCACGACCGTCCCTCGTGCTTTCCCACGCACCAAGAAGCCCCACCACAAGTCCGGTTCGTGAATCGGTTTCTGAGCTTGTTTCGCGTGCTCTCTGGAAGATGGCAGCCCTTTCACTATTGCCCGGCACCCTACAAGTTAATTTGTCGCATGTTTAGAATCTTCACCAAGAAAGGCGGCATAGCCTTAGCGTGGAGGTCCGTGCTGACAAAGGGAACTTTTAATTTAAAGATGACGATTGCACTGCCGTTTCCAACCACAAGTTGTACCGCCTCTCTGAAGAATGAATAGACACAACGCTGGCAAAGGAAGAGGAACAAGAAGGTGAAAGGTTGTCGCACCCGCTTGTGTGAGCGGGGGCCGTCCTGTGGCTCTTCCAGCTCTGGCGTCACGTCCGGCAGCACGCTGGGGTGGTCCTGGTGCCTGGGGGGCCTCTCCTCGTGCAGTGGCCTGCAACGAGCGTGGACCGGGTCACTCCTCGGGACCCTCAAATGGCCCGGGTCCAGGAACTTGGACCGAATCCTATCTCAGTCCTACTTTACCTCAATCTAAGTCCCAACTCGGACACAGAGTCAGACCTCTAAGTTCCACCTCTCCCTTTCAAACTATAGACGGCCTGGGTCACTCCAGATGAAACGGTAGCAAAAATGCACTCAAATCATAGCAGATAATTACTTTGTCGAGTGTCGAGCAAATATTATTTATTTATTTCGAGTTACCTAATCTTGTATTGCAAATAATTGCAAAAGAGAGCAGGCTCAATCGGATAACTTCATACCTTTCCCATCATGTGGCTTATGCTGCCCTTTTGCGAAAGAACATATTTCAAATGCTTAGTTCAATAACCTACGAGCTACTAAATAGGCTACAAACAAGACTACCACATTTTATGCGTCAACACTACTGAAACGAGTTTATAAAGGATAAAAGATGTCGCAAGGAGATGCCTGTTTATTAGTGTGGGGGTAATGGAAAAGTGATTTTAAAATAACTCAATTGTCTTTTCTAAAAAGCTGCTTTGGTTTGGTTAAAAATAAAACTTGCCTCAATCATTTTGATAAACCTGGGGAGCATGTATAATGTGCCATGTGTGCATTGGGATTTGCTTATCAGAACGATCGAGACAAGTGTGAATTTATTCAGGAGCAGAGTGTGTCACGAGCATGCTTTAATGAGGAGTTTTCCATGGGTTCTGCTTCTTTAATGTGTGCATCTGTAGGGCATTGAATCCTTTGTGCTCTTGAATTACAAGGACCCCCTGTGGTAAATGAAGCAGTCGCGAGAGCAAGAGGCTTATTGCACCCGCCATGCTACCTCTTGGCTGCTGTCTGAAGCTGTGATGTCATGTGGCTGCTGTGCTATCCGTTGGCACGTTATGGTCCTTGATGTCATGAGTCCACGTGGGGAGCTCTGCTTTGCCGTTTGGGAGACAGCTGGGTGCGCCAACGGTCGCCAGCTGACTAAGTAAGCTGAACTAAGTATGACTCACAGCCGACGGTCCCCTGTGGACTAAATAGGACTTGCCGTCGAAGTTTGCTTGCGGACTAAATATGCTGCACTACGCACGACTCGCAGCGGACGGTTGTCTGCGCACTAGTGTGCTGAACTAGGGTAAATATAATTCGCCGCCGATGACTGCCTGTGGACTAAGTATGCTGGACTGAGGATAACCTGCCGCTAACTGCGCATAGCCTGCCGCCTGTGGACTAAGTATGCTGAACTAAGTATGACTCGCTGCCGACGGTCCTCAACAGACTAAGTATGCTTAACTAGGCAAGTCAGTCCAGCTTGTTACACTCTCTTTCACCTCCTCCTTGTGTCGCTGTGCAAAGACATCCAACTGCGGATTGCATGGTCCATGGTTCGATTCCCGCTGAGCGACTCGGTAAATCTCGCTGGTTGCATGTAATTGTGTCTCGTTATGATTTTGTATAAATTATTAGGCCTAGGTATACCTTCTACATGCTTTAGATGTTTGTCCACTGCTTGCTGAGGGCTACGCATGTTTTATGTTGCCTTGGACCGCGTGTAACACTTTTTCGTCACACTAAAGTGTTAACAGTTTTCGTAAGGCCACAAGAACCACAGTTCTGGTGGGCTTGCTGCTGTGTGTGCACCCCCAGCAAAAGTCAAAGGTGTCCCCAAATGTTTTTCCAATTTTTCTTTAAACCTTAAACCACCTTAAAATTGCAATTTTTTTTTTTAAAAAAGCGACTTTTCCTATTTTTATGTATTGTGGTTCCCCAACTAATACTGTATACTCCTGCAAATTTTTTTGCAATATCTGAAGTATTTACAGAGATATGAAACATTTTTGGTAAGCCGACGATGCAAAATCATATGTTTTTAAAATGTGAATCTTCTATGTTTCCTATTTTCAAACTGCTGTAGCTTTGCACCGGTATGCTGATCATACTTTCATTGGAAAGAGCTTTCCTTCACAGTTTCAGTACATTAAATATCTTTCCTTGAGAGTAAACTCTATGCAGGCAAGAACACCATAGATGTCCAGCTTTCGCATAAAAGAGGCTACAGATATGCCCAAGAATCGAAAAGCCTGCCCTGATTGAACACAAGACTGACTAAAACCAGCATTCGTTTACAGAAAGTCGCGTGGGTTTGTCTGCTTTGTATTTCGATAATGCTTGCCCAGCCCATTCTTGCTTGGTTCATGCATTACAAGCATACCGAATTCCTCACTTGTTTCACAATCAATGTCCACATGCTGACAAAGAAATGACACTCGAAGAAAGCATTTAAAGCTCCGACTCGCTCAGCAAGGCCATGCAGGAGATTGGGTGTAAGCAGAAGGCACCTCTTGGTGTATTTTAGTTGCCACCACCACCAGTAAAATCAAATGTAGTAGCGTGGAAACTTCAAAGAGGCTTTTTTTTTTTTTTTCAGTTTCACTTTTTTGCAGCAACCTTTGTTTCAGGAAATTTATCATTTCAATGAACCGCTGAATGCATTCTTCATTGAACTGAAACTGAATGAGGAATGCGGGTAGATATTGATTTTTCTATTTAAATGAAGTTCTTATTGCCAAAAAAGCATAGTTTTAATGAGGAGGAAATGCCCCTTTATGTGGAATGCTCTTCAAATCGACATTTTGCGTAGAAAAAACATAGATTTTAAGGTAAAAAAATAGATAGTCGCACCCACCATATGTTCCGGTTAAGGCTGAAGCTTAGAAACGCTCAATATCCTGCAGCAATTGTATGTGATAGATTTCCTTGCCAAGTGAGGCAACATACATCAACAGCTGTGTACCTCCCCCTGTAGCTTGTCGGAAAATTGTCCTACGGAGATGAAATGTCATACAGTGCATTTAGGCAACGAGATGAATAGACCCTCCAAATTTCATTGATATTGAGCGCCTGGTTTAAAAGTCGAAACTTGGAGGTACTAGTGTCACCCCTTAATGTCAAAACGAAACCGTGCATTGCCGAATGCTCAATCTCTGCCTAAATGCAGTGCTAGCAGTCCAGCTTAGACGCCAAAGTTACAAGATGCCAAAGTTTCAAAGTTTGCCGTAACCTCATTCAAAAATAATGCAGAGAGCAAGTCACCTGCTCTTTGCACAGGAGTTGCGGTGACGTCAGAACGACGCCGAGCTCCGATTGGCTCCGATTGAAAGGATAATAGGTAGACCTCAATGCTGGATGCCTTGAGGCCTACCCATTATTTTTTTAAATCAGCCAATAAGAGCTCGGCGTTCTGACATCATCGCAACCCCTGTGCAAAGAGCAGATAAACTTACGCTCTGCATAGGCAATTTTCAGAAACTTTCAATAGGAGAGCTGTGGCCGACGAAGCCCGCAAATGCACGCAGATGAATGGCACCAGTTACCGAGAATGGACCCCATTTTCCTATTAAAAGTTCCAAAAAATCATTGATAACTTCGAGAAAAGAAAAGTAACGGTTAGTTCTAGAACTTTGGCATCTGTCCTGGACCGCTAGTGTTACGTTTGGGTGGAGAATGAGCGTTTGGTGCTACATAGTTTAGTTTTGCTGCAAGGAAGTCCCAGTAAGTGTTTCTAGGGGACACGCTGTACGTTTCTCGCCACCAAACTTGTTCCTCTCGGAAAGAGAGAGCAGGAACGATAGTCACGTGCACGCCATGCACGTCGTGCACTTGTCAAGCGATCCACACCCCCCGTCTCGGTACTCACTGCTCGAGATCAATGTCCAGGGCCCGGTGGGGGTCGTCCTTGTGCCTGTCGTCGTCCTCGTCGTCCGTCAGCCGTGCCCCCTCGGGCATCTCGCCCAGGGACGTGTTCACCGCCTCCGCGGGCAATTCCTCCTCCGAGGGGACATCCGGGGGAGGCCTCCTCTCCTCCTCTTCCTCCTCCCCCTTCCTTCTCCTCCTCTTCTTCTTCTTCTTCCGCCGGTCGCCACCTTCCTCGCCGTCTGCCACTTCGCGCGCCTTGCGACTGGCGCTCAGGTACTTGTCCGACGAGATCAGCCCTGCAAGCGGACGAACGCGCGGTGAGCAGCGCAGGGGCCAGGCAGAAAAAAAGCGAAAGAAACACATGTCCTTCTCTTTGATGGCCAACTTAAAAACATAAAAATTGGCCAAAAATTTGTCCATCTATCGGCGAGCTACAAGGGTCGTTCAAAGCTAACCGGTACTTTGTCCACAAGAAAACGCTAATCAAGTTTGGAACAATAAAACTTGTGGAGGACAGCATAATCCTTTTTGAACATTCGAAGTCTGGGACAACGTGTTTGACGCAAGTCCAGCAGTTCCAGCCATCGTGCCGACCTTCTGCCGGCCAGGAAAATGGTAGGCCACATCCTAGTCCCACTTGTCCATTACACCAGTTTCTGGTGCATAAGCCACACTTCTTTTTCTAAAATTTACGTGGGTGCATGCACAGACCTTAACTGCAACCTTAACTGCAAAGATTAGCCACGAGGGTTATATTTCTCGTTCGATTTGGTGATGAGAGTATTGAAACTGGCTTTTACTTGCACATATATTATAAGCTTATGCAGAATAGGGGCCATTTACACAAAGGTTATATACCAACTTTTTCTAAAAACAGTGGTTTATAGGGGGTGTGGCTCATACAAAGGTGAAACTTGTAGGCTGAAAAATATGGTACCTGTTGGCTCAAAACGCGTATCAGTCACACGTGAAGGAATAGCATCCACAATCCTCGACCCCTCATTTTCCACCCTTCCCACTGTGCTCGGCGACAGGTTTTTGAGTTTGATTCTTTGCAAGGAGGTGGACAATTTGTGGTCCATTAGAACTCGCGAAACACACAAATGGAGTGCGAGCCAAAAAAATTCAGTTCATAAAACTCTCCCGTGAAGCGCGTTTACGTAATAAAAAAAAAAAATGTGCTAAAAAGATGGAACAAAATCGCAGAAATGCACTGAACAGACATGTTTCACTGGAGTGCCTGTCCTGGGTAGTGTTAGAAGAGTCCATTATTGGCTATGTTACGGGGTTTCATAAGTTTGCCTGGCCCCAGAGACAAGCAGTGTTTGCTTTTAGGTGCCAAATCGCTTTGTATGTAATTTCATGAATAAAATCACCCTTGTTATTATTATTGTTGTTATACACCGAAGACTACACACACCTGGAATGTGCAGGGGTACAGACAGGTCAATCTCGGCCACCGGTATGTCCTCCACGCCAACCCCTTGGATGTGGCCGTTGCTTGACTGGAACGTTCAAACGCAGTGCTGAAACTTCCTGAATACACCGACTGGGCTTAAAGTATCCACAGTATATTCCCAATGGCCAAAAGCTAGACTAGTTTAATTTTGAGTAAGAAAAAGGCCTAATCTCATAAAAAAAAAGTGAAAGCCGTTTACAACTCCTGTAACGCCGAATTGGAGCGCAGCTCTTGAGGAGGAGGAGGGAAGGATACTGAGGCGAGGGTATATTCCTCCTCCTCCCTCGTGATCATGCCTGCTAGTCCTCCTCCTCCTCCTCCTCCACCCCCTTCCTCTCCTTCACCGCCTAAAACAACAAATTAAGCATTACGTGACTACCCCCTCCCCTCCCCCCCCAGATCACGTGACCCCGGGGGGTGACCCCTCCCCCCGCCGAAGTCACGTGACGCCCCGCCCAAGGTCATGTGACCCCCTCCCCCCGAGGTCACGTGACCCCCCGGACCTCTGCCCTCCTCCTCCTCGCCCCCCCAAGGTCATGTGACCCCCTCCCCCCGAGGTCACGTGACCCCCCCGCACCATACTAGACAATGAGGGGAGGAGGAGGAGAAGGAGGCGGGAGGAGGAGGAGGGGGAAGAGGAGGAGGGGAGGAGGAGGAGGGGGAAGAGGAGGAGGGGAGGAGGAGGGGGAGGAGGAGGAGGGGAGGGGCGCGGTTACGCCGACGCCGACGGCGACGCCGACGCCAACGCCGACGCCGACGCCGACGCCGCTCAGGCTGGAAACGGGCCCCTAAGAGCTGCGCTCTAAAAGTTCTCGTCGTTCGTAAACTGATACTGAGGCAAGATTTTGGATACTCTGACATGACAAAGAAATCGTCTAGTGTACCCATTGGTAAATTATGCCGTGGTCACGTGACCAGAGCAGGAAGTTAGCCTGCTATAATTAGCTGACGACACGACATGGCGAACTACAGTGAGGCAAATCTGAACGATGCTTCCGTCAAAACGCCTTCCGCGTTAATAAACGATTGAATAATTAATCATTTAATTTACTCACCCTGCTCTTGGGGGTGGCCTTGAGATAGTGTGGGTTGTTGGCCTGTTCCTGCTTCCTAGCCTCCCGCATCTGCGCCAAGGGAAAAGGTGCAGCAAACGGTTCACGGCAGTTGTCGTCTCTTGTGGGACGGGCCTTGGCAGGGCCGAGTTCCCAGGGTTCCCAGGCCTTCCACATTGTGTTAAAAAAGTCGCAGATAGCTTTTTCGTAGAACGACCCTTACCCGCTCTTAGTGTTTCGGCACCTGTTCGAGTTTATTATCGACCCACGACTGCAAAACAACAATCGAGGCCCCCTTCCTAACACTGACAGTAACATGGACATGACGTTACCTGGATGAAAAAAATAAGAGAAAGATGAAGAAGATGACATTGTAGGTGCCTGCAACATTTATTTTAGTGAAAAACAAAACAAAAAAACATGCAAGCAAGAAAGAAAACAATATTCTCTTTCATGTTTTTTCCGATATAAATGCCACATTTGTTTACAATATCACTTCTTGTTTTGACAATATTAAACTTAGTGCATAAACGTTGGATCATGAAAATATTTTGCATTTCTCTTTTACCTTTTGATCCAGTTAGGTATGATCATGTTCTCAAACTTTCGCATTCTATCATCACCGCATCTCATTCTGACAGAGTATCAGCTTTCTGCAATGCATAGTTTATTTACGTGGTGTACTCTTTGCTCAAAAATACCCGGCAGTAAGGTAGCCCGGAACAACTTTATGCAATGTCCAAGATGCCCGTCCCTTTGCTGGTAGTTCCCCAAAAACAGAGTGATGCACTCACATTTTCCAGTTCCTCGTCAGTGGGGTCATATTTCTTCTCTGTGTAGTGTGATGAAGATCTGGAAAGTATTGCAATGCAATCGGCGGAGTTGAGAGCGAAGGCGTACACAACGCCGAAAAAAGCGTGCGAGAGATAGTTAAAATTTCTAATACCGTAATTACCCGATTCTAACGCGCACCTTTTTTCCGGAAAAATAGGCCAAAAAATCGCATGCGCGTTAGAATCGGATACGAAACCGAAACTATCAAGACAGCGGAAATTTTGTTCTACCTATTGCCATCGCCATCTCAAGATGGCGCCGAAGCTTTTTGCCATCTTTCCTCCGTGCTTTTAGCAACCATTTCGTTCCTTCTTTGTTCCTTCTGCGTCACAGCTTCAGCCACTCGACGTGTACCTCAATAAGCCCGTGAAAGATCGCGTTCGTGTGCTGTACAACGAGTGGCTGACGAGCGGCTCCCACTCGTTCACGACGAGCGGTCGGCTGAAGCGTGCGCCTCTCGAGACGCTGGCGGGATGGGCGCGCGAGGCTCGGGCCACGATCCCTTCGGCCATGGTTGAACGCTCGTTTAATTTAAGAAGTGTGGCATAGCGAACGCGCTTGACGGCACCGAGGACGACATGTTGTGGTCAGCGGAGAGCGACAAAGAGCTCTCGGAGAGCGACGAGGAGGGAGATGAGTGACTACTTCGGTAAATAAATCGCCTGTTTCTCTCGCATTCGTTGTTCTTGATCACGAAGTTCTGTGCGCGTTACAATCGGAGGTGAAAGTTTTTCTGGTTTGTTGGCCTGGAAAAACGGGTGCGCGTTAGAATCGGGGGCGCGTTAGAATCGTGTAATTACGGTATACATCAAACAACTTTTATGATTCGACTCAATTCACAACGCCAGTTTACTACTTCAATTACAACAGGTTTTCAAACAGCATCTTGAAACATCTCGGAAAGCACGGTATTGTACACAGCCACTTGAAATTCTGCCTTAAAATTTTACAATGCACATCTTTTTGCTCTCTTTTTTCGATAATGCAATGTTCATAGTCGTGTGCCAAACCAAGAATGCAAAGTACTACCATAAAGTTCCGAGAGAACACCCGCCCCCGAGAGATCGCCCATCCCGTTTTTCTGGCTAAATATCTGCAATATAAAAATTCCGACATATCGCCCACCCCCCATTCCTGTCGGACGTCACGCAATGTCCGATGGGAATCGCATCAACCACGCAATTTGCTGTACCAGCACGTCTAACAAGCAAGTTTATAACGGGTTCCCGCGATTTCGTCCACAATCTGCGTGCGCGATCTCGGTTCCTTGCGAGATGGTCCCGCGTGTATATTGCATCGTAAAATATGATTCTGCTGCGTTCACGATTCGCGGTATTTGTTCCTGTAACATACGAGTTTGTAGCAGATTCCTGCCTTTTTGTCCGCGATCTGCGCACACGATATCGGTTCCCGTGACAGACAGGTTTGTTGCGGGTTCCTGTGTGTTTATGGCACCATAAAACTTGAATCTGCTGTGTCCGCAAATTGTGGTATTCGTTCCCGTGAGATGAGAGTCCTCGGCGGATTTCCGCGGGTCCTTAGCACTGTGAAACGCGAATCTGCTGCGTCCGCAACCTGCGGTATCCTTTCCCGTGACACAAGAGTTTGTAGCGAATTTCCGCGTGTTTATCGCATCATGACACGCGAATTTGCGGTGTTCGCGATCCGCGGTATCAGTTTCCGAATCACGTGGTTTGTAGCCAGTCTTTGATAAAGTTTTGCTGTGGCGTCCCCAAAGATAACCCACCCCATGTTTTCCATTATTTTTCTCTTAATTTTGAGTGAGCGTTTTTTCGGAACTTTACGGTATGTGAAATCCAGGGAAGCTCAAAAACACATTTCCTAATAACAAAGTCAAATCCCACAGAAAATGTACAATGCAAATGAAAAAACAGAATTGCATTGTTGCATATGATATTGTCAAATGAGAAGACAGTCCTTCTTTCTTACATTGTAGAAAATACTTTAAATGTAAGTAAAGTTCTGAACCTTGAGTTTTTTGGGTTTTTTTTATTAAAATTTAAATTGCGTTTTTCAGAGTTTGGCCTTTGCTGGAATTTCTAAGTTTTGCAAAGCATTCACTTGCAGCGACCTGAAATTCTGAATTTTTCAAATCCTCAGTACAAGCTTAGAAGCTGATCTTCAGTTGCTTGAACACTCAGATTCCATATATTTATGACTTCCACAGAAAGAGCTCGCTTTTTCTGGGCCCAATAAGTAAAATACAAAGAAGCAAGTTGTATGTCATGTTGATGAGTGTTTTTATATTGCTTTACATCAGTGGTTCTCAAATGAGGATCCGCATAACCTTGGGGTCCGCGAAGGCATTCTAGGGTTTTGCAACGCCCTGCCGCATCAGTCAAGCCCGGCAATAAAAGTTGCATTTTTTTCAGATTGAGAAGAAACGTTTCAGAATTCCATGTAAAATAAACCCCAGAAACAAAAAACCCTTGTTAGTTCTGTTCCGTTCCATTCGCTTTTGGCTCCACAAACTTTATTTCTACATTTTGGTATCCTTGCGACCCTAGTCGACAGTTCCACTCACCTGTCAGTCTTAATGAATATCTCTGCCACAGTATCCTCCTCCTCCTCTTCAGATGACTCCGAAGGCGGGTCGTTGATCCACTGGTCCAGATCCAAACTGCAAGTCCAGGTCCATGTCATCGTCATTTATACAGTTTTAAGGGCTCATACATGCATTAAGGTGAGAAGTTACAGTACTAAATACATGAAAGCAAACACAGTATTTTTACAACTACACATATTCAGAAGCTGAACTTTTATGTGGTGCAGACTATCTACCGAAGCGGACTGTTGGTAACTCCAAGGAAATGGACGTCGCCTAGCGGCTAGAACGGAAAGCTGCAGCGGCAGGTTTTCTCTGGCTTTCTTGAGGAAATCAGATGTTCACAGTGCCTGGAGATCTAAAGACGAAGGCGTGAAAGCAGGTTCGAAAATATGCAATAAAAATTGCCAGTATGAGGATTTGTTTTGGTTTTAGATTGTTCATTATAAAAAGATGAGGCAGATTTTTTTTAACTTCGAAGTCAACAAAGTAGAGGGCCTTAAAGCGATAAACTGGCAGCTGAAAGTGACCCCCAATTGGCCGCCGCCATGTTGCACTTTTTTGACCACTAGACACAAAGCCTTGTCGTTTTACATCACGATTTTAACGAAGTACCGCAGACAAATAATTGCTTAATGATTTTTAATAACAGTACCACAAGATAAGTTATTTTTCATTTAAGTCCGAAATGTGCTTTTACAACAAAAACTCAAGCAGCTTTGCAATGCCTCCACTAGAAGCTGTCAGCCGCGGTGCAGTATTTCGGGTTTTCATCGGAGCTAGACACTGACTTCTGGGGTTCACAATATTGAAAAAATAGTTTATCATGCTTTTACAGCGATCACAATAAAATACTTGGCTCAGCTTTGCGTAAAAGTCTCAAGATTTGGTATGGTCACGTGTCTCGTGGTCAAAATTGTACAACATGGGAGGAGCCAAATGTGGGTCACTTTTGACTGGTGGGCGGTATACCAGTTTATTGCTCTAAGCCCCTCTACCTTGTTGTTTAGAGTACAGTGATGTCTAATTAATATAGACACCTCCGTTCCCCCCCAAAAAAACATTCGTAATGTGGGCCGTTTATATTAACGAGACGAACTGCACATATTTATCCAGTTAGTCCCCAAAAATGTTGTTTACATAGTTGGGTATCCATATAAACGAGGTCGGTATTAATAAAACAGGACTGTATGTCAATGACGATTTATGTAAGAAGTTACTAATTACAGACCGATTCCACTAACGTTTATATCAGCGGTCTCAAACAATATTGCAGTGTCTGGGATCCTTCTCAGCAGAACCACATTGTTAAACTAGAAAGAATTCAGAGTCGTGCTGGTCATTTCGTACTGGTGCTGTATGTCCGCCTTTGTGCCTTTAACTTTTTTTATTTTTATAGTTCATTTATCATGCTGATATTTAGTATACCGATGTCTTTCTCAACGGTGATTTCAAATATGCCATTAGTTTTCAGATAGCTTTACTAGACAAAGAAATAACAATAAATTTGTAATTTTAATTAGGTCCTTACGTTGGCGTAAAATTCTTCAGAATATATAGAATTTTTTTATAGAATTGCATTCACCAAGACATGATTTGTGCAGTGATGTTATTTTAAGCCTGATTTAATGATATTACGCTGGTAAAAAACAATTGCAACCAAGTTGCACAACACAGGAGGCTATATCTTTTTTAGACTAATTAATTAAAATTATTGTATGACATATAAAGCAACAAAAATAGCATCACCGCACAAAACATGTCTTGGTGAATGCAATTCTATAAAAAGATTCAATATATTTTGAAGAATTCTACGCTAACGACCCGTAAAGAGGATTTACGGTAATTAAAATTACAAATTTGTTGATAACTCAGATGTAGTAAAGCTATCTGAAAACTAATTGCATATTTGAAATCACCACCGAGAAATACCGTATTAACACGATTGTAAGTCGACACCCACATTGCACACCAAAAAAAAAAAAAAAAATTTTTTTAGATGCGCGTTTTACTGCGGACACGGGAGAATGGCAAAAGTATCCGTTTCAAAAGCCGAGCCTCCAACGCGCGATTAATGCCTTCTGGCGTGCTTTGGCTGCGCATGCACGCGCGAAGTGCATGAGATGGCCAGGCGTTATCGAAACTAGGAAGTTCACGCTGGAGGCGGGACAACTGAAGCTGCTCCCTGTCGTTCTCACTCCGTCCGGGACTAGACTACGACTCGTCCGCGCTGGTGATGTCAGTCTCGTCGTCATCACTTCTCTGTTCTCGAAGCACGTCGTTGGCGTCATCCAACGAAATCTCATACTTTGCAAATGACAGGATCAACCGCATCTTCTGCGCTTGCTCAGCGATCGCGTTGCATGTCACAGGTAGGGACCGATTGCACACTTTTGCGGCATACGTTGCAAGCCTGACTTCCAACTCCGGAACCAGACTTTGGACTACGGAAGCCTCTTTGTTTGCTGTCACAGTTTAAGATCAATCTTGTTTAAGATCCATTTGCTGTCACAGTTTAAGATTGCAGACTCCACTGGAGCATCACCCGCTCGGACGGGTCGAATTTGCGTCCAACAGCGCATTTGTTGGTTGCTTCTGAGCGAAAAATGGCCAACAGCCATAAACGAGCACCGAAAACCTAAACTGCCCGGATCACGCGTGTCAATACAGAAAAACGTAGTTAGCGCTCCAGCATGATCTCGTCACTCTATCAAACGATGTGCTACCGTGAATCATGCGAAAAACTGCGAAGAGAAGCCGCGGGGTGAGTGAGCCATGAGGCTGTTCCAGCAGCCACCGGAGTGGTTCTTCCAAGAAGTGCCGCCACGCCCCGGGAGTCGGGCGCGCCGTGCGCTGTTCACATGGCTGTTCACTGCCATATATTTGGGTTAATTTGCGAATCGCTATCAATAATACTCGTTTGCGCAAATAAAAAATATAATTAATTTGTAAAATGAGTGCACAGAATAGTGCAATGCTACAGGTACAGCCTGCTGAACTCGTAACAAGCCGGGGTGTTCATGATATCACGATAGTTTCGTTTTTGCCAGCAGTGTAATGCTTTGGTTCCGTTATAAGTCGACCCCCCCACTTCGGATTTTCAAAAATTGAAAAAAAAGTCGACCTACGTTCGTGTAAATACATCAGTACGGTACATCAGTGTGTAAATTTCAGAACAATAAACGAAAAATTAAAAAAAAGTTAAAGACCCTTGTTCTTTCTTAACGCGATAGCGTTTAGGAGCTCGTGTCCCAAAACTCTGGCATTGGCGGGACCAAAAAATCCTATAATGCAATGTGTGCAGCCACGTGTGACATCACACGTGGCTGTGACATCATGACCCTATCAACCCGCCAAATTTGGCAGTAAGCTTTGCTAAATTTAGCAGAAAGTTTAGTGAAAACACGTGACGCTACTGACTAGACCACGCACACAAACTTGCACGCCTTGGGAACAAGCGCTGGTTTAATGAGAAGACTTTGCTAACAGGATCAGATAACACTATCGCGTTCCACTCTTTTCTGCAAGTGTAACCGACATGATTAAACAACTGGGATGGTCTAGTACATTGGAATTAGGACAAAGAAATTTGAGCTTCAAGTTTTTATACAATATATATCGCAATACAACTGGTATTAATAGCTCGCCTTACTCACTGCCTTCAAATTATACTTAAAAAAAAAAACAAAAAAAAAAAAACACACACACACATTCATAAGAAACGAGAGACTGTACTAGCACTGAATTGGGCAAACACTCTTTTTGTCATAACTATTAAGGAGTGGAATGCTTTGCCCAGCGAGACAGTGTGTGCCATAATTCAGAAATGTTTTTTTCAAGTTTATTTGCCCCTTGCGATAACACCTGATGGCGCTGTAGACCGTGACGAATAAAGGATGAATAAAAAATAAAGGTACGCCAAAGGAGCATGAAGGACTGTCAGCTCATATTGAATGTGATAATACATATCCTATCCAAGCAATATATATAAAAAAAATGGTGGCCTTTCAAAAGCGGCTGGTCAACAGGCCCAACTGTCTGGACTAAACCCCTTGATGAAAATCACTCCTCTCACAAGTACCGACAACAACAGACTTTTTTCCAGTTAGTTTCCGCGCATGCGTACACCCCCGTTGTCGCCATTTTTGCAGGACACCGAGACGCTGTGCCCTTCAAAAATGGTAACAGCAACATTGTCAGCATCTATCTTCACGCGTATTTGGTGTACTTTGATGCTTTGTTTTTTTAGGATCGGTAATATAGGGTATAAAAAGCACCGAAAACTGATACAATGGCACAATGCCAATTGTTTTGACAAGCAGAGGTATGTTGGGCTGTTCTTCTATTGTAGTTCGCAGACAAACTCCCCAGACCGCGCTCGTTACTTGAAAAAAGTCCATTGTTGCGTGAACGTGCAAATGCTCTACTGCCATTCGCTCCCAAGGGCCACTCATTTCAGTGTAGCAAACACTTTGTCTCCAAGGGCCGCCTTAGGCACGGGCCTCGTGCATTGGCGCATTTGACGCCGCTCACATGACAAACTCAAATATGTCGAGCAGCCAAAGCACGGCATAAGACGCGAATTGCGTGCTGGAGGCTCTTTGTTTGAAAGACGCGCCTCGCCGGTCTCGTTCTGTTGGAGGCAATGCGGAGAGCAAGTCGTCTGCTTCTTGCGCAAGCGTTGCGGGGATGTCAAAACGACACCGAGCTCTTATTGGCCGATTGAAAAAAATAGTGGATAGACTTCAAAACATGCAGCACTGATATCTACCCACTATTTTTTTCAATCTGCCAATGAGAGCTCGGTGTCATTCTGACATCACTGCAACTCCTCCGCAAGAAGCAGATGACTTGCTCTCCGTATAGTTCAGCACCTAGACACTCACCCCTCGGGCAAGGGCACCTTCTTCTGGGCCTTGGGCGCCACGGGGTTGAGGTCCCCCGCAAAGAGGGCCCTCAGCTCTTCCCCGACCCTCTCACCCCTCGCCTGCATCTTGCTCACTTGACGCACCAGGTGGAGGGCACAGCACGCCTGGGGGAGGGTTGGGCATGAGACAGAATTGACAAACAGAACAAAGAAACACAACTGCTAAACTGACACAGTCACAGTGCTGGACCAGCAATCTTTTAATGCTGGCTTTTCCGCTAGTACAGTATAATAATAAGTGCTTTTCTTTTCTGCCGTGCTTTTTTTTTTTTTTTCAGCCATACTTTATATTGCATGTATTTCTTTTTTGCTCTATTCTTTTCAGCTTGCCGCTTCCAGAAGTAACGAACAAACTTGATCAGCTTCAGCCCATAAAAAGGATTTATGACGTCTACAACACGGGTTCTCAGATTGGGTTCCTAGGAACCCCAGAGATCCCCAGAGTAACTTTCAGCATTCCCCGAGCTCCCAAATTTCCTCAACCGTCTCGGCCCAAATGTAAGGCATTCTTCCTGTTTAAGCACTACCTTGGAAGGCCTGAGCCATCCCCCGATGTCTACGAGCTAATCACTCCCTAATAGTATATAAATTATTGTTCAGACGACCTGTAAACTTCTGCACTGCTTTACTGTATCGCCGCCGAGAACTGGAAGGGTTACTCTGCCATGAATCGGGAAAGATACAAGCCCCTTGAGCGGCTTGAGAGCCAGTGCTTTACGATACAAAGACTGCGTGACCACCAGTCTTTGTATAGTAAAGACGTCACTTCTCCACTTCGCCAGGTCGGCGAGCCTGAAACAATATATATAATCTTACCCCTTTACTCCATTCAACCTCCCATCTTTCATCTCTGCCAGAAAAGACTACACTAGTCAAGCTATATTGGTTCTCCTTTTACCTTAATAAGCATATTCTTCTACTTGAGGACACGTGCCCATGCAGGCACTTCCATCATGGTGCCTGGACTATGCTGGTGCGTTTACTGCACGCTCTTGAACATAAATACTACAAGGGACAGACAAGGACGAGGACACAGAGAAGGGCCTGGCACTAACTCACGACTGTAATTTTATTTTATCTTTTCAAATGTGCGGAAATGTATAGCGTCTAGAAGTCGTCTGCCATGACATGGTGTCACTAAATGTGAAGCTGTCGTGCGACCACAAAAAAATTTGCAGTTTTATTTTAATTTGTTGATCAAACTGTCAGATTCAAAACTGCGTTTTATGAGGAACGTGGCAGACGCTGCCTCCAGTCCCAACCTTCCAGGTGCACGACGCCGGTTCAGCGTCGCTGCATCCTTCTGTCTAACCATTTTACAAACTCTACGCTTGCACTGCCGCCTGTGTTGCACACGCATGCCTTCCCGGTATAAAAGATTCAAAGTAAATAACCGAAATAAAGTGTTGACGAATGCACCTGCAAGATGCCATTTGTTTTAGGCTTTTGCTTCAGAACAGTTACTGCTGCACACACCAGCACGTGCCGCACATGAAACAGCAGTCCCTGCATTCTCCTTGATGCTTGGGTAATTTAGCAATAGGTCTATTTAGTAAATTAGTTATCAATAGGCACCATCTTCAAGATCAGTAGACTCTCAGCTAGATAATAAATATTTCTCAAAGGTTTGCCACTGTGCGACCCGCGTCGGCCATTTCCAAGCACTTGCGTGCCTAGTTTCCTTCTCTCCTGGGGTGGCAGTCCCATCATGCGTGTCTAGTTTCCGCTGGGTGGCAATCCTGTCGCGCGTGTCTAGTTTCCTTGGTCTTCTCGGGGCGGGTCTGTGTCGTGTGCTAAACAGCTTCGCTGGTCATTCACCTTCCCAGAGTGGAATGGCTCATGATTTTTGTTTGTTTCTTGATGTTTTTGAAGGTTTTGCTGCTGGTGAAGCATTCTTGCAGCATGTCAAAAACTTCCCTCCTGCTTTTCTCTTTTTTTTTTTTTCTTTCGCCGCTTGGTCGGCGGTGCTTGTGGCGCAGGTGTTCAGGCAATTGACTCACTTTTTAGTTAGCTTCAGTAAGAACGCAATTTGGCATGTAGGCGCTCACCCTCTCCTGCACCTCCAGGTCCCCGCTGTGCACGAAGAGGGGCAGCCGCTGGCAGAGCAGGGTGCACGCCTCCTGACCCCCCTCGCTCAGGCTGCTCTCAGAGTCGCCCAGGTTGGCCCGCTCCTCCTGGGCTAGCATGCGGGCCCACAGCTTCAGGGCGTTGTGCACGTAGGCGCTCTGGATGTGCGGGGGCAGCACGCAGGCCCTCGGCCGCAGCAGCGAGTCCAGGCTGCTCCGGGGGTCCTCCAGGAGGCTGCACCAGAGACGTGGAGGGGCTCACTGTCGGGCACCGCCTGTAATGCTCAATCTGCCCACCCTTACTCCGGAGTAAAAACGTGCTAGGAGGGTTTCACCTGGAGACACTGGCCGCATTGCGAAATCTACGTAATCTCACTCCAGAGGAAAGGTTTGGTAAGGCGGCTGTCGTGCCGATCAGACGCCTTTCGTTAGCAGACGGATGCCGTAGGTTCTCGATTTAAAACCTTTTACTCCGGTAACCTCGTTCGGTGAAAAATTGATACATACTAAGATCCACCACCTTCAAGCACCTCTGGTAAGTCCTAGCGCAGTACGTCACGAAACCGATCTATGAGGCCAATGATCCCCCCGATTCATGCGCTAGAAAACCCCGATGAACATTGATGTGCCTGTTAGCTTCTGGCCGGTCGTAATTCGTTGCCTGCTTGGGCCTCCTCTATACACGTGTTTTACATATATATCTCCTGTTGACTTTGTTATAACTTGACTTGAGTGTACCAAACCACGAAAATATGCTCCTTATCATCTCTATTTGACGGCAAGTGACCACACCAAGGGCTTCTGGATTTTTGCCTTCTTTCTCGATCACAGGGATCTATCGTAAAGTCCTGAGCAAATGCCAACTCAAAATTATAAGATAATCATGTGAAACTATGGGATGGGCACTCTTTAGGTCAACAATATGTAAAGATACTACGTCCTTTGTTTATTTTCCGAATGTTAAAAACTGAGGGGTGGGCAATTAATGTGGAGTGGGCAGATGCTCTGTATTTTTCTAGCAGCTAGTACCAGAGAACAGTGGGTTACACAGGTACACCCATGGAACGTTAGTTAGGGCACTGAGGAGCTCTGGTGCTATTTTGATAGTCAGTGATTTGCCTCAAAATTGGTTCAACACATTAATAGACACACCTGAACTAGTAACACCAATTACAAGTCACAATAATTTGTTTTGCTGCAAAGCTAGTAAAGTATTGAATTTGGCCCGAGAGGCTGAGAGGCTCCGCTAGCAATACTGAAAACTGCGATGTCAAATGATGGGGGCAGTACAGCTTGTTCCTGACAGATTACAAGAAAATTTATAGCCCGAAATGAATGCTGGGGAAGCCCCCGCCAGCAGAACGAAAAGAAATGCGCAAAATACTGCGTTTTCTAGGTTGCCTGCTCGACCTGCAAGTTATACGCCACAAAAGGTCGCCCCAACGTGGAGCATGAGAAAACGCAAGCATTGGTTCTGGCATTGTCTTCGTTTCCCGTTTTCTCATTAGCTATTTAGAATATCGAGGTGGTAAATGGCACAGAGAAAGAGTAAAGCTCAGCTATTCTGAAGTTGTGTTCAGTTTGGGTAGCTGAAAAAACCGCATGGAGCTCCCCTTTGACCACGACACGAAGAGGAGAGAAAGGAACGCACTCGGAATACTCTCCACAGATCCAGGCGGCCGCATACAAGACCTCGCAGATGCTGTTGCGCTGGCCATTCCCCACCAGCAGGTGGGTGTTCTCCAAGAGCACCGCCTGGAAAAGCAAGCCCAAACAGACTTTTAACCATTTACTACTTTTTCAACAAATAGTCGTAACAAAATTTTGTCTGGCACTCGTCGAAATACGCACTTCAACGAGCCTTCCAGGTTTACGATTTCTGAAAGGTCTTCCGAAGGCTAGACGCTTATACTCAGCGACAACTTTTCTTGACAATGAAGTGCAGAGGAGGAGAACCCACGCACAGCTTTAGTCAGCGCTCAAAATGAGAGAGGGAATGCGTGCCTGTACCCTCCACTGCCTTGCCAAGAAAAGTTGTCGCCGAGTATAGACACCTTGAAATAGTGGTTGTCAAATCAGTCCGAGAATATAGAAAAAAATAGTTTGCAGAACATTGTCTAGACTAGAGTCACATATTTGATGCACAATCTAGAGACTGCGTTTAATTAAAAATTATACGAGCCCGATCATGCTGACGAAGACTGGTGAGCACAGAATATGCGACAGGCCTTCCAAGAAAGAAAAGAGGGGCATCTGAATGGCAGCGTCTACCAAAGATTCGGCCTTATTTCTGATACATGTCGGGAGGCGGTGCAGCATGACAAGAGAAGCTGCAAAGCGTGTGATTGTGCGTTCCTGTGCCACGCGAATGACTTCGATTTTGCATGCTCCGACCCCTGACCCTGGATAGCACAATCGGCAGAGCACTTGCCTCAATATCTCAGGGTGGAGAGTTCAAATCCTGCCGAGGGACTGAAATCTTTTTATATGGTTCTCTATGGGTGTAACGCTTTTCGGTGTACAGTTTTTTGTAACAGCTAAACGTTACAGAACTTCATGGGAATCAACTAATTAAAATTGTAGAGCCCATCCACTTCACGTGAAGAAGAAGGACCAGCGCTGGTCCTCCATCTTAATGTGAACCTTGAGTATGATTCCTACAGGACGACGTCTAGGACGACCTCAAGGACGACGACGCCTAAGATGACCTCGAGGACAAGTTCTAGGACGACCTCGAGGATGACCTCAAGGATGACTTCTAGGACGACCTCGAGGATGACGTCTAGGATGCCCTCAAGGACGACTTCTAAGATGACCTCGAGGACGACACCTAGGATGGCCTCAAGGACGATTTCAAGGACGACTTCTAGGACAAACTCGAGGACAATGCCTAGAGATGATAACAAGAGATCAGGACCTCACTATTTAATAACGCCAAGGAAGGCAGACTCATGCTGGTTGCCCCCTCTCTTTATTTTTATTTATTCATACTTGCCACGACCAATGAAAAGTTGGTTGCCCCCTCTTTATATTTTTATTTATTCATACTTGAAATGAACAATGGAGTGTTATCTGTTGACATGTGAGGACTAATCTTTCCCCACACCCCAGCCCATAACAGCTTTGCTGTAAAACACATTCTATATTAAAGAAATGAAAAGAAAAACAACACCAATTTGGCTCTAAAGCAAACATAGTTAACGGATTTGAACCCCTTTGCCTCTGCTGTGTTGTTGCCCCTTGACCGTGTTTTCAGGCTAGTGGAGGACTGAAGAGGTACAGAAGTTAGTAAAAGACACTTATTATAAACATTCCCTATTTTCTGTTCATCAGTTCAGAATCATTGAGTGGTTGGCATTTATTTTCATCATTCAGCGCTTTCTGGGTTTGTATATTGCTGAAGAGAAAATTTGCTATTTTTTCAGCACATACAAAAAAAAAAAAAATACTCCACTGAATTACAAAAAAAAAAAAAGTCCCACTCTCACTTTATTTATTTTTATGCACATTCATGTCATCATAGAAACAAGTTTCTATGATGACATTTCACTATTTGACTCACCCTCACAAAAAAAATTCACAGGGCCTCTCACGTTATTTCTAAGACGACTTGAAGGTGAAAGCCCAAGTGCCAATGTAAACATAATAGCGAACCTCCGAAAACAGCACGCTCTCTGACAACGCACTTTTGGCGCCGTTTCATTGGCTCACTCAGATTGTGGCGTCAGCTGTGGTCCCGGTGATAGCGAACCTCCGAAGACAGTGCGCTCTCTGACGACGCACTTTTGCCGTTGTTTCATTGGTACCTTTCGTTATGGTATGTTTCGTGTCGCCGACGTGTTTTCGCTCAAGGACTGAACGATAAGACATATAAGGCTTCCAGACAAGGTCGACTGAACGATAAGACATATAAGGCTTCCTTAATAAGCCCATTTAAAAAGGCTATCGATGCACGAAACCCGCCTGTGGCAAGCTCACAGTTTGTCGCACATTACTAGCAAAGCCACTTGTTACATACATAGACTCTAGGCCGGGGGTGGCCAAACTGTAGCTTGTGAGCCTCGTGCGGCTCTTCGGGGGCCCAGGTGCGGCCCACAGCTTTCTGGTTAACCCCCCCTTCCTCTTCCTCTTTCCCCCCCCCCCCCCCCCCCCTGGACCAGATCAAAATAAAAGACACGTAGAAAAATGGACAGGTTGCGTTTTGTCAGCTTTGTGCCATCATATCATTGAACAATGTCCTTGTTTTTTTTTTTTAAGAATGAAGACTCACAATAAAGAAACACACTAAGCAATCGCTTTATGAGTGCAGTTAGCCATAACCACCAACCGAGAAGAAACTTCATTTTAAAGAGTGCCACACCCGTCTTTTATTGCTGCTCTTCACTTAAAATTGTTCCCTTTCATGGCTCTTAGATTATGTTTGTCTGGCCACCCCTGCTCGATGCTACGTGATGTGCAAAGGTACGGGACTCGGGAAAATCAAGCATCAAAGAAATGAAAGGTACCCAACATTCCCGGGGAAGGACTGGGAAATACTTCGGACTACTTCGAGCATCTTTTGACATGCTATCTTTGCAACAAACCCTCATCGGAGAGCGAGCACTCCGACTTGGATTTGAACTGGTCAGCCGGCGATCGAGACGGCCGACGAGTCAAGACGCGACAAGACACGACGGGACGTTACGATGCCTGGAGTGAGTCTCCGACTGGTGCGTTTACCGGGTCCTCAGATAAAGTTCCTTTGATTTCTGCTCGATGGCGCCACAGAAGTATCACGCTGTAGCCCGTCGCGATACGGATGGCGGCACAACGGCAGAGGTAGACGTGGCAGACATCTGTCCCGCCGCGGCTCCCTCTCGGCTCGAGAGTCCAAGGAAATTTTCGCAGCGACGCGTCTGGATGCCGCTACGGCGGCGGTACTGGCATTCGCCTAAACTTCTAGGACCAACCACCAGGATCACGACGTCCGACAACGCGACATGCCAGCTCCTACGACGTCATTCGCCGCAACTTCGAGACCTCTTACGACGCACGAGCGATACGGGACACTAAACACGCCGGTTAAGCATTCCAGGCACTGCAGTGACGCCAAGTGACGACTCACCATCTGGGAGACGCTGAATGCCCGGACAGCCTGCACCCTGACAGCAACGTCCATCATCTGGGAGGCAATGGTCAGGCCGTGCTTGGTGCCCTCGATGCGCGTCAGCTCCACCAGGACGCTGACGTACCTGCGACGCGCGTCGACACACTGTTCAGCACGAATGCCGCAGATACCACTCGTTGTTGAAGCCATTCCAGTTGCACGGACGACGCATCGGTCGAAAACGTCACTGCCACGACGCTGAAGCTCGTCAGCTCGGCGTCCTCGTGCAGAGCACCCTCTGTTGTGGTGTTGGGAGTGGACAAACTTCTGCTTCTGTGCCTACGCACTATACTCCATCTCACAAATGTCTGCAGTAAAGACAAAGGCATGGAGCCTAGCTCGGCAGAATGCTTTTAGGGGCAAAGCTCCTTAGGGGCTAGCCATGTCCGTATGTCCGTCGGATGTCCGGCGTCAGGTGCTCGTGCTCACGAGCACGTGAGCACATGCTCCCATAGGGAAAAAAAAAAAAAAAAAACGCATCTCCACGTGGTGAATGATGTTGATTGGGGCGAAGCTCTGGTGGTGCTTGTCTGCGTAGACGGTGAGCTGCAGCATGCCGAGCCTTTCGTTCGTTTTCATCCATGTCAGAAAGAGAACGTGTGGTATGGAACATGGTTATATACGCATTTGAGCATTTTACCGCAGCGTGACATGGATAAAAATGAACGAAAGGCTTGGCATGCTGCGGCTCAGCGTCTACGCAGACAAGCACCACAAGAGCTTCGCCCCAATCAACATTCACCACGTGGAGATACGGTTGTTTCTGTTTGTACGAGACCCCAGTCGGATTTTCTCCAACTGGGGTGCTTACTGTAGCACCGAGCTGGTATCCTGCGACGATAGGAACACTGGCGTTCGCTCGTCTTATTAATGCAGAATTCCACTATTACAGTAGCTAACTCTAATTTAGCCTCAAAAAGTAAAGTGTGCCATGGTCGTAGGGAGTTGGTCGGATGCCAGACATCTGCGTCATGAGCTCTGCCAGCCACACAACACGACTGTAAAATAAAACAAGAACACAAAAGAAGCGCGAGAGAGGACTCCGAGAAGACCTTGCGAGCTACTGAAAGCTTAAAAAAACAAAAATGGCACAAAAGGGGGATGTGGCAACATTAAACGTGGCATCGCGTGCCTGGAAGGCTGAGACTAGAGTTAGCATTTGCTGCGTTCCTCATAAAACGCAATTCTGCATTGTAAAGTATGATCGAGAGATAGAAATACAAATATTTATGCCAGGACCCGCAGGACCGATTGCCATGATCGCAACATCCGACGTGACACGAAGAGTTCTGCGACGTCATTTGTTGCCACTTCAGGACCACTTTTGACGTACGGGTGGTGTGAGAAGCTAAAACACGCCGATCGAAGACGCATCCTAGGCACCATTATATGGCAACCTTGTGGCAGTGAGACAGGGAGGGAGCCACGCACCACTCGAAGTTGGTGATGTACTGGTAGTTGTTCTGCGAGCAGATGTCGATGACCTTGGAGAGCAGCTCGTCCCTGTAGGCACTACCCTCTGCCCGGTCCATGTGAACCATCAGCTTCTTCACAATCTCCATCAGGTTCTTCTTGGAAACCTGATCACAAAGCAAAATGGAGGAACGGGAGCGGGTTTAGTACACGGAACATGTCAAAGTGCTGGGATGCTCGAAAAAAGTGCGATGAAACTCCACGGAAAACCGTCACAAGACATGGGACATGGATCTCGGGGGAAAAACAAACAAATACTAAACTGAGAAGAAACCAAAATACATGCATGTTCATTCAACCAAATAAGATGAAATGCAATAGCTTTACAGGAAGATCATTAGTGAACACAATTAGGAAAGGAAATGGTACAGTGATGAAATACTTGTAATACACCACATGCACATTGAGGACGATGTCAAGGATGGTGTCTAGGGCGACCTCAAGGACGTCGTCGAGGACGACCTTTAGGACGACGTCTAGGACAGCATTTAGGACGTCGTCTAGGACTACATCGAGGATGATTTTCTCGGAAACAACGTCAAGAATGACATCTAGAATGTCCTCGATGATGACCTCAAAGACGACGTCAAAGAAGACCTCAAGGACGTCAGGTCACATCAGCTTCAGCTACCGGCCCTTACGAGCTTATGTGACCTTGCACTTCAGCCACAGGCATTATGTGACCTTGTACACGACCTTGACCTTCAGCCACGGGGACATGGTCACGATACGTGACCTTGAGGACGAGGACATGGCCTTAAGCATGGTTGAGCCTACAAAGCTACCGCTTTAACAATTGGCAACAAGCTTATCTCCAAAGTCCCATACTGAATGGAATGCGGTACTTAGGAAGTGATCATTCAAATTAGCTTAGAAGACACAAAACTCACAGGACGTTAGGGTGTCAAGCCCCGACGATATGCGACACAATGTCTTGTTACATCACCCGAAGTCGCGTCACTTTAACGCCACTTTAACATGTTATGCGATGCTCCCTCACCATGCCGTAGAGCAGGTCTAGTGCCCGGAGGCGTATGGACTCGTCCTTGTCATCTAGGCACTGCAGCACCAGGTCCTTGTGGGCCTGCACGCTCTTGGGGTGAGTCCGCAGGATCTTGGACATGGCCAGCAGACCCAGGTACTTCACTGCACCACACCAGGTAGACCATAACGCACACTGTTCCGGCATTATTAACAACGCCAAGAAACACACAGGAACGAGGTGCACACCTTGCTTCATGTCTCCCGTGTTCTATGGCGGTAGCTGTTACGTAGACTTCTCGGCTACATTCGTGGCGTCGGCATCGTGCCAGGCAGTAAACTCAGTTTCCGCGTGTCATCGCGTGTGAGCTTTGTCTTATACTATGGTGCCTCGAATGCCTCTCCGACTGGCGAGTTTGTTGCGTCCTCACTAATGGTCCCTCAATTTCCGCCCGATGACGTCGCGGAAGAGTCCCGTTGTTGCCGGACGCGATCCTGGCAGTGTTGCAGCGGCGGTGGCAGATGTGGCAGACGCCCATTCTGCTGAAGGGCGTCTGCCACTTCAGCAGAATGTTCGCGGATGCTTCGGCAACCGCAAGCTGGGACTCTGCGACGGCAGCGATGCTCGCCTTACCTCATACTTTTTGACGGGACTTCTGGCGCCAACTGCCAGAGTCGCGATATCCGACGACATGACACGACGGCTTCTCTGACATCATTTGTTGTCATTTCGGAATGGCTTTTCATGTGTGGGCGAGATATAGAAAGCTAAACTCAACGGTCAAAGCCACGTTCCAGGCGCCATACTTCTACGGTTCGCGGAGGACGCTGCTACGTCTTCCTTACCGTGCAACTCAATTAGCGTGCATCGTCGGATGTAAGCCACTCCTCACAGTAGCTGTCTCCATTTAGCCTTAGGAAGGGACTGGTGTGTGCAGTGTACTTCCCTTTCCACAAGAAGAAACCACTGGAAAATCCCAAGCAAGTAGCCACTCTAAATTCGGAGAAAATCACTAAAAACTGGGAGATGGCCCCTTCTTGGGCCAACAATATGTTAAGGCTGGACTCCATGAGGTGAATACGCTACGAAAAATCGAAAATTTTTGTCCGGCGGCTTTTGCTCAGCACATGGCATCAGCACAGTGGCTGCTACGTCACACTCAAAGCGAGCGTGCTGTCGGGCGACGTCAGTCATTTATTCGTTGCATACTTCGCTCCATGGAGTCCAGCCTTCAGACAGTTTTTAGGTTAAAGCCTGCCAACTTTTTCAGGCTGATGTTTATGGTCTGTCGGGCTCATTCCAAGCTCGTGTATCCACCGGGCCGTGTCTCTACCGAGCCAGGTCGGGCCGGGCCTAGAAATTCCGGCCCGTGCAGCGCTCCAACACCGACATCAACGCCCGCAACGCCGATTGCTGTATTTCTGTTTTGGGGAGGGCAGGACAAAGCCCGCCGTACTTCAAAATCACATGTCTCAGCATATCGCTATATCTATGGCATACGGCACACATATGTCTCTTTCTTGATATTTAGCTCTATCTGTCTTTGTCCTTGACAGCCACATTCCCAGCTCAAACAGTAAAGAGCTTCCCAGTGAATTATCAAACATCTGTTACTTCCTTATATCTTGTTTTTGTGACCTATGCATTGTTAAAGTTGATTTCTCTTCCATTCTTCCCTTTCCCACATTTTAACGAGATAGTGTCTAGGAGCATGTGTCGCAGAAAACCCGGCGTCGGCAGGACCAAAAAATTTCATAATGCAACGTGTGCGGTCACGCGTCATGTTGCACATGGTGCCATGTGTATGATGTCGCACGTGACTGTGATGTCATGACACTATCGACCCGCCAAATTTGGCGAGAAAAATTGAGCGAAAAATTTTCCCGCCATATTTAGCGGAAAATCTTCCCATAGGGTCATTACATTACGGCCACGTGCGACGTCACGCTTCACGTGACATAACATCACACGTGATGCTACCGACTGGACCATGCACACACACTTGGGAAAGAGCGCGAGTTTATATGAGAAGACTTTGCGAATGGGGCCCAATAATGCCTCTAAAAAGAATTTTTTTTTTTTTTTTTTTTTTTTTTTTTTTTTTTAAGGCTGGTTGGAACACGCGTTTTAAAAAATTAGGCTTACGCGAAAAAAAGTTTTTTTAGAGCAGTATTGACGGTGAGGGATTTATTTGAAATTTTGCGCACAAAGACCATGACGTCACGCAATGGTCATTCACTCTTTCGACCTCACGAGACGGTAATTCGCTCTTCCACCTCAATGTGAAGGCGAAGCCGATCCTCCTCTCCTCCATGCGCCCGAAACGCCAGGGAGAAAACAAGTGGAAAGGAGGTGACTACTGACCAAATCGCGTCTCGAGCTGTCAATATTGCTCTAAAAAAAATTTTTGTTTTTCATGTTGAAATAATTTTTTTTAAAAGAAATAAATGTTTTTTAAACAGTCTGGGCGGGACACGTGTGTCAAAAATTAATTTTACGGAAAAAATTTTATAGAGGAATATTGACGGCGCGAGACACAATTTAGTTAAGTCACCTCCTTTTCACTTGTTTTCTCTCTCAGCATTTTGGGCGCATGGAGGAGAGGTGGATCAGCTTCGCCATCACGTAGAGGTGGAGAGAGTGTATGACCATTCCGTGACATCATGGACTTTAGCGCAGAATTTAAAAAAAAAATCTTGCGCTGTCAATTGTTTTTTTTTGTTGGTAGTATATTTAAAATTGTTGACTTGTTACTATTTTACTATCTTCGTTCCATGTATGTGCTCTCGCCCTCTGTAATGCCTTCAGGCCCTGAAGGAACTTTCAATAAATAAATAAATAAATATTGCTGTAAAAGGTTTTTTTGCATAAAATTAATTTTTTCACATGTGTGTCCATACGAGATTGTTTAAAAAAAAAAAAACACTTTTTTTCTTTTCAGTGGCCCTTCAAAGGCAAAGCTTAGGAGTCTCCCAAGATTTTTTTAGTTTGTTTCTTTTACTATCTTCTCCACTGAACTAGTCTGCTCAGCCCAACCACTAGTGCGTAGCTATATAAATGTCAGGTTTCAAGTTCAATCCGTTTATTTTGTGTTCAAATATTTCATGTATAATTGCTTGTATACTTTTTGTGCCTACCACATACCCTCTATTTATTTTAACCTTCGTTCACATTGCAGTTTAATAATTGCCTCTCTGCTCTCAATGGATGACCAGCTCATGGGCCAGCGCACTTCTTTATTATCTATTATAATTCCACTGCATCGAGTTTCATAATAGTTGTGTATTTAGTTTCCCTTTCCTAATATTTCCTTCATGTCCCTCTAGATATTTCCTTCACTCATTGAGCCATATCTTCAAATATATGTATTTTTTACATGGTCTATTACAATGTCTTGTATTTTCAGGGGTCCACGCTTTTCTTCGCTAAGGTTCCGCGATGTCGGATAGCGAACAAAATGTTATCAAATTAATAACTACCCCTTCACAAGACTCCCCACTGGTGCAGTGGTCGGGCCCACAATATTAAGGCCCTTGGTTCGATTCTTCTTGGAGGAAGTTGAGCGTTTTGTCCTGTCTTGTCAATTTATCTGCCTACTACTCTCCCACACAAGCGCATTTGTTACGTGTTATAAAGCAGTATTTTCTCGGGGGGAGGGGGGGGGGGCCTGCCGAAAGAAATGCTATCACATTTGAAACGACCGTGACTTATACGCCAGAAAATACAACACTCCACCAAGCACCACCTATGGGATAAAGGCACCTGTAATTGCAGATACCTCTGATTCCCCCTCTCACTCCTCCAGATTTTGCCGTATCATTCTACCAGAGTTCCCCCGATTAATTTAGGGTGAAACAGGCTACAAAACCAGCAATGGCGACATTAGCTGCCGAGATATCATTGGCCATTGTTACAGTTTTTGATTTATTTAGTCATTTATCTGTTCTATTTATTCATTGTTCAGTTTACTGCAGCCATGAACTGGCCTAGGACTTAAAAGTGAATGCATTGTGAAAGGCTAAATGCAAAAAGGTAAAAAGTAAGACAATGTAATTAAAAGAACTAAAACTGATGTAGCAAGACAGACCATAGAGATGTCATTAGGGCGCCAACAAGCCTCTTTTAAATAATACGAGGCAGAGGACGAAACTAGATCCCTCTTGTTACAGTTATTGAGAGTTATAAAAAAGCTCCGACATGCTGCGTCCCTGACATGTTGTCAGAGACGCAACATCAACGTTCTACTGGTCAACAAAAAAAAAGGGTACTGGATATGTTTTTTGTGGAACAATATGGTAATGTGTCACGAAGAAACAAAGGTGCGTTAATTATGGTATTCACTACCTTATATGCAGAACAAAAAATCTTGGATTACCTCTTTTCATACAAGGGTACCGACCAAAATGACTACTAAAAAGGTGCTTGTAGCCAAAATAGATGCGCCTCCCAAGCCATTGGTTGCAAGTGGTTCGCACGAGACGACGCTGTGCTTTTTCGAAGGGTAACAGGACAGAGCCACTCAAACGAAGTTCCATACTACTGAGCGCAGCTCCATTTTGTGACATCGAAACTCGCTCCATTTGTTTTGTCGATTGAATGTTGAAAATTATTGACAAGGTAAGAACGGCAGGGAAGGAGCTTTAGTTGTCCCACCTCCAGCGGAAGCTACCTACCTACCTTTGACAACGGGATTTCGTGCATCTCGAGCGAGCGTGCACAGTTTAAGCACGGTGAAAAGCACGGAGGGCAGGTATTCGAAAGATGAGCTCTGCCGTTTTCACTCCGTCGGTGATCATACGTGTTGCCGAAATACAAATAAAAAAAGCTCGCTGCTAACACAAACAGCCTTTTTCCACTGTTGCTTAAGTGAAACAAAGGTTGCATCCTTCAAGAGTAGTGCAAAAGAGAGAGGCTAGGAATAAAGCCGCTAAATATGCAACGCTTCAGAGTAACGACACTCCAGCCATTTTGTTGCTACAAACCATAGCTGCCACTTAGTGTCAGACGCTTTATCTGAAATTGCAGAAAACGCTTTTCAGCCCTCCATAAATATTAAAACAGTCTGCGATAGAGCAGCAAAACAATATTGCCCAAACTTCCTGACACTAAAACTTAAAAAAAGTGCAAGAAGTCTTATTTTCTCATCGTAACTTTCGCTATTTGTGCCTGCTCTGCACTAGAAAACAAACTGGCAGCGCCCGTGAGGTGATCAAAGAATGGAGCGTCGTTACTCTGCAGCTCGTTCAATGACTCTGGCCGGACAGATGCGCCACGTACGATTCTGGTCAGAGTCTTCAATGAGGATCCTCAGCTTTTGGACGCAGAGCTGCAAGGAAACAACAATGCACAATTACAGTTGCCAAATCTGCACGTGGGGTTCATTTAAAAATTTTCCTAAATAGAAAAGACATCTGATGAGCTTTTCTTCTCGGGATGCTTTATATAGTCTCATCATGAAAGCAACAAATCAACTTTAGTCTAAAGCTTTTCCTTTTATGTATCAGACATTACCACCCTATTATACAAACTAAAGATGCCAGTAAGTGATCGTAGCATTACAATGATCACTGCTGCTTGTGAGCAACGGCAAAAGTGAAAAAGGTGTAGGCTGTAAACACTGCCAATGCCACAAATTGTATGACGCTTGAAGAGCCAAGGTGCTTGGCACTTTACTAGAGTTTTTAAAATCTTTAAACGATTCCCTTTAAATTAAACAGGGGACAATGCTGGGAGATGTATTGGCGCTTAGTTACAACCTCAGTAAGTATATACTTATCAAGGTGAATTTTTGCAGTAAATATTTGTAAGTTACTTTTGAAACCCTGAAACTTCCATTTTGTGTCATAAAACTGTGCAAAGTGATTGGCAAACGACACCTTAATACTCTGTTTAGAAAGTTTTTCTACACAGAAGAAAGTTAGTGTAAAGTTGTCTTTTATTCTCAGCTTAAATAGATGTAGCATTCTAGCAAGTAAAACTCTGAATTCCGAAGTTTGATTGATTTTTCAATAATTGTTGTCTATAAACATACAACGCTCGTTTTACTTCAACAAGTTTCAGCAATTTGAACATGAAGAACCCACATGGCACTTCACTGAATGCATTTATTTACGTAGCCCATCTTCTTTGGAATTACAGCTAAAAGATATTCCATTGCCTTAGACTCAATGATAAGTGTTATCCATGTCACTATATCAAAATTTATTGTGAGCCAAGCGTAGAATCAAAACGGTTTTGAATTAATCTTTTCCCTACACTGAACCCCCGGGCTGCAAGTGGAAAGCAACCGTGCCCATAGCTCTGACATAATTCAATATGAGAAATTGCATAGCCATGCATTTGGGTTGCAGTACAACACACTCCATGGTAGTTTCTAAATTGCCTTTTCTTACATCCGTGGTATCTTTTTCGGTTTTTAATGGCAAGTTCTTTTCAAATACAACGAAACCTGCAAACCACATACTTGACCAACCACACACTCTATGATAATGTGCAGAAGTGATAAGGTCTATTTTTCCAAAGTGAAATTAACTTTGAAATTATCTATTAAGTTATTGCAGAATGAAAGAACATAAATCTTCAGTTATCTTCAGACTAATGTTTGCAGAAGAATAGCAATTTTCGGGCCATTGTTTAAAATTTGGCAACTTAAACACACACTCTGCTTTGTTAAAGCAATTTCTAGGTGCCTGGATATGACTCATAGGTCACAAAACAACCTTTCCCCCAAACAAAAAATATTTAATGCATTATTTAAAAAAAAAGTGATTTTTTTTTATTTATTTATGTTGGTAAAGATAATATAAATTATGGGAAGAACATGTCCCAGTGTGAACATCCAGATTTAGTAGCAGTCAGAAGGTTTTTCTAGACTCTTTTTCATTGTGTCATGTTCATCTGATGACCATACATTTTACAAACTCTGTGTAAAAGAAAAAAAAAAAAGGCAGCAAACTGTTCATTCTTGTGTTTTTCTTCTGCAGATCACAGTGGTGGCGATCAGTTCGTTGCGCAACGTTTTATCGACGGATTGCTTCGTCGACACAGCGATGTTTCATTGACAGTTCGTTTTACTAAAAGGCTCTTGCGTTCGTTTCAGACACACCCTGTGGCCTTTCGTTGAAAGAGCCTTTCTGCGCAGATTGCCTCAGTCGCCGGTATCCAGATGGTAGCCTAGCTTGCCAAAGCCTTGATGGTTCTGACAAGGCCTGGTGCAAGTTTGGGCTCCCAGATTATATCAAACTTTCCTGAAAGGGAGCTAAGCAAAGCGAGGGGTGACTGCACTCATGGCGCATTCACACTGGCTGTTGAGCTGCTTTTGCAAAGCACTTGTGGATTCAGCTCGCGAGTGACCCTGTTCAGACACACCGAGACGCGGTAGGCAGTTTCTCGGTGATCGCACGTGATCTTTTAAGACTTGTTGTGTTTGGCGACGTTGTTTTACAATCTAAAAGTATAATCCACGATCCAAAGCCAAAATTTATATACTTTGTTACTTTAGTTTTTTTTAGTCTGTTCGCGCGCATCACGAGTTCAGGCAACGAAAAAAAAGACATGGACCTGCAAAACCCGCCTGCGATTCCTACGACTTTGCGCACAAGCAAAGCCCAGCTAGGCGTGCCTCGCTGACTCGGGAGAGGATGCCCCCAACCTTTTCTTCAATGTGGATCCTTCCCACATGAATGGCTGACCTTGTTTTCGGGACAGAGGGCCAGTTTTCCCCTCTCGTTGTTTGCTTTTATCATTCTCAGAGTAGCGAGCGCACTAATGGACTGTGGTGCGTGAAATCTGTTTGGCGCTAGCCGGTTGTGGCTTTGTTGGAGGCGAACTCTTCTCTCGTTCCTTACACGCCGATTGAGTCTGCTCTTTGTCTGACATTAAGTTCAAATAAATGCCGTTTGGGTTACCTCAGCATCGTCTGGTATATACAGTTTATTTCTTGAATAGGTTCCTTTTTATTCCTTTTGGCAGTAGAAACATTACAGGTCGATCTAGCACAGGTACCCTGCCCGCTTCGCGGTAGTGCGTTGGCTATGCAATCAGGCTCACAACGTCTCTGTCGGCCTTCCTGGTGGTCATGCACGGTGTCAAAAGCTTTCAGTAATTGATGCCACTGCCTTAGTGGTTTCTAAAAGCTGTCATTTCGGTTGATCAAGGGCGGCGTCCAATGTTGTGCGGGAAAAGACTAACAATGCAGCGCAGCGACGAGCTTTGGCACCCTGAATAATAAACAAACTAGCTTACCCGAATCAAACCACCGAAGCGAGGCCCATTAAGATTACAAGTAAATTATTTTCGCGGTAGTCTCAAATGACAGACGTGAACATCACATTTCTTCGAAGATTTGTCTGCTGCAATGCTGGGACTACAGCGCCTTGGACGCTTCACCGGTGACGGATGTCATCTTGTTTCAAAAGCTACCACCGCCACATCAGCGTCGTGATGCAATTGGTTTCCGCTTTGCAGTTCGCGAAAGCGGTTGGGAGAAATCGGTCTTTAAGGGGGGACACTAACCAAGAGGGTCCACTTTTGAACCTTTGGCTTAATATGAATGACATTTACGGCATATACTGGCATTTGCAAGGCAGAATGCAGTGCAAAGTTTCATAAATTGTAAAATAAATTATAGTCGTTTTTATCAGGAACACACCGACTTTGCTTAGGAAAACAATCGTTAGGAAACTAATGTAATACCCAACATTTTTCTTCACTAGATACTCAGCAGAATTCCTGGAGAGTGCAACTGTGAAAGCGAAAGTTCCAAAAAGTAATTTATTTTATGCAAACATCGCAGTGAAAAATTAAATAAATTTTTTGCCTTTTATGTCGTCGACAAAATCTTAACATCTTTTATAAAAGACATCCACAAAGTAAAAAAACAATTCCACAATTGCATTGCCCATAAAATTCCAGTTAAGAAAAACAATGAGTGAGTCTTTCCTCTTGTCCCATTAACAAATGATAGTTTTCCTAAAGAGGAATTTATGCCAAAAAGTGGAACAGAGGAAAATGCATTCAAAGACCCTACTTTTTCTTTAGTGTTGGTGGACCGAAAATAATTTATAAAAAATGAATTATGCAGTGTAAACTAATGAAACCTTCTGCAAATACTCTCTACATGTTGGTGGATGCAAATATGGCATTTTTCAAAATCAACCTTTTTTGCAGAAATCGTTTTTTCTGGGTAGTGTCCCCCCTTAAGCGGTTGGCAAAAACGCGTCCCTACTGCTCAATCCCAGCCACTATGCAGTTGCGAATGCGCGAATTCGCTTCGCGTTTGCAGATCTACTTCCAGCATGAACATGCCATTAGTGTGGTCTGTTTGGAAGCCTAAGATTAGGGCTCATAAATTATTTTTTTTCCTAACGGAGTTGCCTGGGCAAATTCACTTTAGTTCCGGTATGCTAGCTTCTAGCGAACGAAATGAAGCCAATAATTCAGTCCAATCAACTCCATGAATAAAAACATTTGTTGTTTGTCAATGAATTGTTCCAGGAGCATGTGTGACTAAGCGCGTTTCCACAAAGCATCCAGTGTCGATGAAACATGTGCCGACGAAAAGTCCACGAAATGTTCTCCCCCCGATTCGACAAAACGATACGGACCCGTTCATACAGAAGGGGGGTGTCCCTACCTGAATGGAGGCCGAGTGGTTGGGCATTCCTGAAGATATAGAAATCAAGACTGTAAGTGTGGAGGGAGGAAGAAAGAGGCCCAAACAAAGTGAGGGTTGGGAAGAGAAGAGACAGACAGTGCATTAGCAACGCTCCACCACAACAAGGAGACAATCACACAAGTCCACAGCCAGCCACTGCTGACGCAAGCCACACCAGGCACCCAGTCAGACCCGAGTCGCTTAATATCCGATCCTGCTCCTATCTGCACCCCAAGATATTACTCTTAATTTCCGAAACAAGGTGAAGTGCTTGCTTCACCTTTGCCACGGGTTGACCCGGTATTGCAGTGCCTCCGGGATCGGTCCGCTTGAGAATCCACTTTCTTTTTAATTCACGGTTTGAGAGTTTTCCGGTATGAAGATGTGAGGAAGTAGCATGAGCGAGCGCGAACATTCCTTCGAATGAAAACGCTACATCCTGCTGGCTCCATTAGGTTACGGTGATCTAGATTGAACTCCCAAAAGATTGTTTTTTTGCCCATTGTTTCATTTCCGAGTTAATAAAAAGAAGCTCCTCCCCTCTCTACTGGTGCATCTTTGCTTCCTTGAACTCCTACTAATAAATTTTCAAACTTAGTTTCTGACAAGGGGCACCAGTTTTCATGAAAGAGAATTCTAAAAACATTAATCATTATCTAAATTTCTAGAAATGCCAATACTTGAATATCAGCACACCTCTAATAGTGGTAACCTCATATCAGCAAAATCCTGCAGCTTCCACTTAGAAATGAGGTGAGCACTCATGACTGCCACAAAGAAGGTACATGAAAACGTTACATTTGAAAAATGCTTGTTTAGAAATGATTCTGTATAACATTTAAAAGATCCCTCTTCGAAATGCAGAGTTGCTTTGCTTGAACTATCCCAGAGATATTTTCGAAAGAAGAATGTTCTGTCAACCAGACAATGAACTCCCACATCGAATACCACAGAGGTTTCCAAAGCGGGAAGACAAAGAACGCTTTTACAATCCACCTTTATTAGAGAGCCCTTTCTCACGCACTGGCAATGACACGCCGTGTAGAGCACTAGCACTTCCAAGGTGGTAAGGTATCTACCACAATGCGCCAAAGAGTATTCTCGCTTTTGCACCTTTTCCCTGGACCATCATAGAAAAATTATCTAGGCAACTTGGAAATACAAAGGTGCCTAAAGCCGCCAAGTGTTACTATAAGAGCACCAATTTATAGTATATGTTTTAACTATGAATTGAGATTCATGGTTGGAATGCCTGGCGGCCTCTCTACAACTCAAGGCAGATACACCCCTGAATCGGAGTAGACAGAGAGGCAGTCGGTGCACATGCTAAACCTGCACAAAATCCATAAAAAGCAACAGCTGCACTCACAAAAAAAAAAAAAAAAAAGAAAGAGAAAGAAAGAGAAAAAAAATGTGGCTTACCTGCAATCACAGTGTTGATACATTCGTACAGAAGGGACATGGCGGATGTGCTGAAAAACAGGTCAACACGTCAGCAACATGTTTGTCTCGCGAACGCTCGGGCAACGGAAAGAAAAAACAGAAGGAGGCTCGGAGGGTAATTTAATTCTCAAGAAAACAAAAGTACAGTTATGTCTTCAGCTCTAAAACCAAAGAGACCTCCTCAGGAACCTCAATTTCAAACAGAAACTTGTAGAGGGAAGAATTCATACACTTAGTGGTACACTAATATACCCCCCCCCCCCCCCCCCCCCCCCCTTTTCCAAGAAAGAAATTTTTGTTTAGGTGTCGGAAGAGGATATGTATGTCACAAAATAGCCTCTTCACACACACAAAAAAAAAAAGTTTTAGTGGAATATTTATGCTTCGAGGCTCATTCTGAGTTAGGAGCGATTCCGAAACACACTTCCATTTCGAGATTTTGGCCCGGGAATAGGAGGACCTTCTTTAGGCATTGCACAAATGAGTCTCGCAACATGGATATTGCACCAAAATATATATCTTTTATATGTTTTTATGGCATATGCATCTTGTGGCATACATTCCTATCCAGGTATTTAAAAATAAGTTTTATAGCAGTTCAGTGTCTTTCCAAATGCACACCTAGACAAAAACAGCAGTCCCCGCGATAGAGTTCTTTGGCACAACAAGTCAATTAAGCCCGTGTCTTTAACAAAAGTGTAGAGTGATCAGTGAGGCACAAGGCGACGCAGTGACAGCCAGCGAAAAGCGACTACGCAGCACAAGCAAGCATGCACGAGGAGGTAACGAGAAACAATGGCAAACTGGGAAACCAGTCGGGCAGAACAACAGAGGGGCCCTGTGGGCGACAGCGTCCACACATCGACTTGCTTTTACCTGTGGATTAAGTTAGTTAGAGGCTCGATCAACTTTTTTCCCAGCCTAGGTTCAAGGGGTGTGAGGGCACCAAACTGCAAAGGAACCAAAACAAAGGGCCACAAATAAGTGGGACGTCTACGCGACGTCAAACACAACTCCATTTTACGGCCGACGATATGCACCAACTCAACTCTCCGACGTCGCGCAACTGCGGAGGTGCTGCTGTTGGGACGGCACACTGTTTCTAACAGCTCAGTCAGGACCCTGCGGCTTATGGAACGTGTTTGCGATCCGCCTCCCTCCCTGCTTTCCTCCAAAGAGTTAATATAATAATCTAAAGGGAAAGGTCCCACGCCTTCGGGCCTCTTTGGAATGGTGGGACATGGACGCAGGCGTTGGCAGTTCTGATGTGCCCACATCGCCAACAACGCCCTAACCCCTTAACCGTTTTTCATTTTGGGGAATTTCTGACCTGCAACTGCTTAATCACTGTCTTTAAAATCACATTTCTTGCCTTCTAAATCAAGTTTCTAGCCACAAACAAAACGGGAGCAAAATGTAAAAAAGTTCAATGCTGCCATCTGTTGGCAGAGCTGCAAACGAAGCCATGAGTGAGCTTGGTTCATCCAAAACGATTTAGTGCATGAACCGGGGAAAGCAGACAAGCTACATTTGACCTGAACAGTTTGGGTACGGCTCCACATTGACGGGCTAGGCTCGTCCAAAACGGTTAAGGGGTTAATATGCACAAAGAAGCAACAAAACATCACCTGCATGGTCTGTACCTTGTTCTTTCCTAGCTTACTTTGCAGAAAAAGACTGGAATCGCGCATTGTATAATACTAAATACAATTGACAAGCGCTCGAGCAACCTGAACTCATCATGGCAAAACAAACATTCCTAACTTTTCGTCTGCTTTCTTTTTATGCCCTTCTGTCACTCTCTTTCTCTCTGGATCGCCAATGTCAACGCCCCGGATTTACCGCGCTTTGCTCCCGTCTTTAACCCCCGTTTTCCTCTTTGCCCTGCGACAGTGTGACACATGTGCGCTTACGACCAATTTGAGCAAGAAGCTTCTGCCAATAAATTGCAAGCGCTCTCCATGGTTTGAGTTGCTCCCTCTCTGAAATTAGGTTCTCTACAGAAAAGCTTCCTCTCACGTGAATTTGATTTCTGCACACTCGCAGTCCTGCCGTGGGAAAACGCGGGCATGTTTGTCAACAGCGTGCTGGTGTATACCGAAGTACTTATTGGTTGTTTAAACCTACGTGATGCCAAATTAATTTAGGATAATGACTCAAATATAGCTGGTACCATACAGGAAAAGCACGGCGCCAGAATTTACCCCAAATGGCACATCTACCATATTTTCTGGGCTATAGTCCGTGGACTATACAAGGATTTATTTATTTCAAGCTTGTTCATTTTGACAAGATGTGATGAATTTTGCAAATTACAGGTTATGCTAATGATGACTGCTGAATTATACACACATTTTTTGTGCACAAATAAAACGGGCATTTTTCGAGGTGTGCCGTGTAGAATTCTTTTTTCAGCCCAAATTTGCGCCTGTGGACTATACACCGGGTGCCGACTATACAGTGCAATCCACTTATAATAATACCACATACAGTCACCGACAGATTTTTCATACGCCGATATTTCAGACACGTCCGGTTATTTGGACGTTTTTGCCGAACCGTCACTCACTCCATAGAGTTAACGTATAACATTGATCGAAATCTCGGACGCCATAAAGCTTAATGCTCGATATTTCTGACATAATATGCGTGGTTTCCTCAGTTTACAGCCACAAAACAGCCGCCACAATAACACTGCGAGCTTAGTCGCTGCCATTTTGATTGTTTTGATTTTGCCCTGCAGCCTCGATACCATGTCCTACGCAATAAACAAGCTAGGTTGAGCTTGTAGTCGGGTTCTTCGGTTCCGCTATAGCCAACATGACCACCGTCTGCCCATTTTTAAGGTTCTTCCAGTTCTTCTCATGGACAGTGTTTTTCGAGTGAGACCGCGAGAAGAGCAACTGTCTGCCGTTCTCGTGGCCTTTCAGCACGAAGGTTTTTTGTTGATAGGCTTAGTACTGAAGCGAGCTTCAATACTACGTTGCCTCTAAATAGTGCCAAATGGTGCCAACTTCAACTTCGCTGTTTGTGCCAACGAATGCACTGACAATGCGCAGCACCGTGATGAAACAGATCAACAAACAAACGAAAAGTGAACACTAGAAAGCGGAAGCTGCATGAGAACTTAAAATTGACATCACGCAAGTGGAAAGTCGCCAACACGCAGCGGAATCTGCGCGGAAACTTGATATTTTGGCTGAAATCGACTTTTCAGACCGCTTGAATATTTGGACAATTTCGTGGTCCCCTCCAAGTCCGAAAAATCGGTCGGCGACTGCATAATGAAATACCACTTATGACAATCAGTTTATATAGTTTCTAGACTAGAAACTATCGATTTCTAGTCCAGATACAATGATAATTGGTTATAACGATTGCATTTTCGGGTTTTCTAATTATCGTTATAAGTAGAATGCACTGTAGTCTGAAAATATGATAAGTAAAAATTTGGGCAAAATACCAAAGTAGAAATACACCTCACACGGAGGTATGTGAAAAGGGAGTAAAGCCAGAATGATGTCATGCCTTCCTTTTTACACTTTTACGAAAATAAAAAGTCTCTACTGTCCACAGTGCAGTTTGTTGACTACAGGTGGCAAAAAGTAGGCTCAAACCTCATCTCAGCACGAAAGCATTAAATTTTTCTTTTTCTTTTTGATTAGACCAAGTTTAAGCTTTCATATTTTGGCAAAATGTGATTTTATGAGAGATAAAAGCATTGTGGTTCGATAGAAAGGAACATATTGTTAAACCAGGGATGGTCTGTCTGAACTGACCTCAAATCAGGTTGACATCATATATAAATCAAATGTCAATAAGGTTATATATGTCTATGATGTTGCATACACATTGTCGTCCATTTTGCATAGGTAGTGTAACTATTAACCAGTTGAGAGGAAATGAGTAATTGAATTTTAATCCATGCTATCTTGCATGAAGTATTCATAAGCATGCAAATTGGCTCGTCTTGTGCACTAGTATGCAAACAAGACATTAAATAATTAGTGAATGTGATTCTTCAAAAAATTAAACTAGCCTCCTTCCGGCTATCTTGATGCAGTCAGTATTGCAAAGAGTATCCACTTGCGAATAAAGTTTTCACAATAAGATGCCTTCATATGTCATATTTTCCCACAGACTATACATGTCTAAAACATTATATTTTATAACATACAAGGATTTGTTTTTTCAAGGTCATTCATTATGGCAAGGGTTTGGTGAATGATAGAGTATGTAAATGATGATTTATGCTTGATACAAGCTAATAAAGCAGACTAGGCACCAAATGTTGATTATGAACCAAAGGCAGACTATGCGCTAGGTGCAGACTACCTAAGGAAGAACCTTTTTTTACACTGGACTTTGCCTTTGCAGGCCTACTAGCAAGTTTTTTTTTTCTTTCCTTTCAAAGTCCCTTAAAACAGTATTTGGTGCACTTGGACCCTTTTTCTATATATCAACATCTATGCATATTTTTGCATAGAAAGAGTTAAAAGAATTAGTAAAGAGTCAATTGAGCCAGCCTGCACAAATTTGGGACATCGAATAATGAGTGCATGTGGCAAAGCTGGACCATCTGATACCCTAGGTCAGAGGTCGGCAACCTTTTTCATCAACGGGTCAAGTCGTCACGAAGCTCACATGGAAGGGGGCCGGACGATAAGTCGCGAAGGGGAGGGGCAGGCAAAGAAGAGGCAAACAGGAGCTGAAGACGTTCTCTTCTCAAGTATGGGATGCCGGACAATCCCCATTTGAGGTCGAAACTGCCGTGTGGTTCTTGAGTTGGTGTGATGAAGCGGCAGAGGGGAAGAGGGGTTGCTTTTTTGGTGTCGTGTGGAGGGAGGGCTGCATGAAAGTGGTTGCCGACCTCTGCTCTAGGTAATATCAACAGTAGGATGGAACATCCTATTCATTAAATAAGGTGACTGGAAAAGCGAAAGTGTTACACATCCCCTGAGAAAACTGTAAAATAATTTTACCTTCTACCCAAAGAGTGACCGAAATATGGAACGAAAAAGCAAAGCATGATTGTGAAACCACAGCCTCCGAGGGACAACTCAATTCTATGTGACTGCTTACATTTAAAGAAAAAAATCCTAAATGATATGTTCACTGACAGGACGAGTACAGCTTTTGTAGGCTCCGCCCCCCACAGCCTTTTTACTCACTCCACATGGGGCTTTACCTGTACCGACAAACCCATGACATTTGCCACAATGTCAAACTCGCAGACGTCATAAAAGTGAAATGATAAAGAATATGAGAATGAGTTATTGATTTGGCTATCAAGCATGATTCCTGTAGCATGCTGCTACAATGTAAGCAAACTGTCAGTGTTGTTTGCCAGTAATGTATGTCAAGAATGAAACACAATGAAACAGGATTGTGTTCTCAAGGTTGTTCATGTTATAAACACAAACACAAAATATTATATATATACCATATATTTCTAACAGAGTGTTCCATCCCTTATCATTTGGTGGTTTAGCTTGCCTGCAGCACACTTTATACTATTTCAAGTGACAACATATTGCCCAATTCTACTAGCAGACAGCCCGTGTCATTGAAATGGGGCATGGCTAAATACATAAAACAAAACCTTCACCTTCTTTTTTTTTTCGTTTTTTAATAGGAAATTATGCAATTAATTAGGTTGCAGAGTAAGAGAGCTATAAAGCGGTAAATTGGCGCTAAAATACATGAAGGTAGCAGAGTGCGTGTTCAGCCCTTCCTTGTGCCCACTCACTATACTAGTGCTGCTTTACCTTTCTATAATTATGTACCAACTATAGTCAAACTTAATGCCTCGCCGAGACAATTTAGCTCGATGGACAGTGGTGGCACATGACCCAACATAGGCCCTGGAGTTTTTGCCCTGTCAGTAACTGCAGATACTACGCGGCACACATAAACAGCAAGAGATGAGCCAACAAAGAAGTTGGCTCAT